AGGACTGATGGATAGATAAAGCTAGATTCAACGATCTATGAAGAAGGAAGAAGGAAGAAGGAAGGCCGCTTCAGGTGGGAGGTGGGCCTCCCATATATATAGGTACATGTGGAGGTACAATGTACTTGTACCGTAACACCCCTTAAAGGGGCAACCTCCCACTGTATCTATCTCTCTCTCTCTCTTCCTTTCCTCTCTAGTCTTGATATTCTCGTCAATAGAGTAATAGCTGCTTGCTGCAGGCCATGTCCCAGCTCCCCAGTATGCTCGCCGTGACACCAACCACATACCAACAGAGGACGACAGTTAGGTACTACAGAACCAGTCGCATCTAGCTGCCCACCTTTGACAGCAACTGCACACAGACTCTTGGGATAGGCTGCCCTTTCAGACCATGCTTGGCTTTCAAATTAATGAAGGAAACCGACCATATTTAGATATATGAGGGTATCACCCGAGGTCGCTGTCGCCTCTCGTAATGGCTTCACCTGCGAGACTGACATTTTGGTGGGGAACACACCCAATTCGGCAGCGCGGTGGGTACCCGGCTCATCTTTGGCCCACGGCGATTGAGAAAAGCGGGCCCTTTTGCAGCTGCACGCCGGTTGCCGCTACCAGATCGGTAGAATATGGCAGAAACTGGCTCGATTGGATAGTGGGGAATGCGCCTGGCCCCACCACACCAATTAAATATTGACAACCCACACAAAGGTCTCGGGTTCAAACCTGGATCTGAGCATGCTAGCTCTTTTGCAAGTCAGCTGCTTTTGTAGCTGAAGGGGTGTGTCAGATACCAGCGCACCATTTGGGACATGCACTGACCATGTCACGTGGATGACAGCGTACTAGACTGCGGCCAGCCACCAGGGCAAAAACTAGTACTAAAAACTCGTACACAGACAGACAGTGCCTATACAACATCATAATACACATATCAATTGACTCTCGTATTCAACAACTACTTATATATACCGTTAAAGACGTTATATACTTATATACACCGTTAAAGCCCGTGTAAAAAGATATTAAAAACTTTACTCATCGCTTTATTTAATATAAAATACTTTAAAACGTAAATAACGTATGAAACAACTTTAAATATATTTATAGCTTATAATAATTGCTATTAATAGCGTAAAAAGAATATAAAATAATGAATAGTTAAAAAAATTAAAGTCGCGCTGCGTTAAAAACTTATAAACTTTAACACCGTTATAAAACTTATCAATGCCTTATTACAAAAGTTTTTAAACTTTACGCTAGCTATTGATATAACTTTTTAAAGTACGGTAAAAGACTTGAATAATTTTAATAATTAACCGATCGTAATAAAAAGACTATTTAACGCGTATAAAACAGGCGTTCCTTTTTTTATATAACTATTATTTCAAACATTATGATAACTATAGCTTTTATTATTATATTTTATAAAAATAATAAGTAACAACCTAGTAAAATTCCAGCGTAAAAATTTACCAGCCCGTATTTACTCAAACTACGTATCGTTAATACATTTTGATACTTAATATATCGACCGAAACTTCCTATTTATTAATCTTGTTAAAAATAGTAAGTAAAAAAACATTGACAAAAGAAATCTCGTTAAATATTAAAAAAACCTAATTCTATTTATTAAACCGGAAACAAAAAATTAAAAGTTTAATTATACGATATAAATATACCTAAAATCTAGGCCGATAAATTATATAACAATATTAAGAAACAAATTATTGATTTACGTAACTTATAGAAATTACCGATTATGAAAGTAATAGCCGTAGATAAAACCAGTTTATAAACCGAATTATAAACGTAAAAAAATATAAACCCGGCTTATAGCTGGAATTCGTAGCGACGATTTAACGTCGAAATTAAGAGGTTAAAAAAATCGCTATCAGTATAAAGCAATATATTAAATAAATCGGCTAGTAATTATCATCGACATTGGCGTTAGCGACGGTGCTTTAACTAGACGGAATTTTTTAACCTTAATTTAATTTAATTAATAGTTAACTAACAACCGTTATAAACCTTATAATATACTTATTAAAATATATAATAAATATATAATAAGGCAGTTTTAAGCTATACTTAAGGTATATATCTGTTTTAATAATATTAAACGTCTTATAAAAAGTAAGTGTAATCCGCTTATTATTATCTATTTTAAAAAACTTAAAGTAACGACTTTACTTTAAAAAATCTATTTTAAGCTATTTTGTGTCACGACCAGATCAAGGCATTGGGGCGAACTCAGTCCATTGGGTGCTATAGACGAAGATTCTAAGCTAAAGAGAAAAGGAAAGAAATGACCAACAACGCATTGCGAAAAGCGCGACCAAGTCCAGGAGCAGGTGGAGCTCTGCTTGTGCCTGATCCCTACAGCCAGCTTCCGATTGGCTACCACAGTCCTGGCAGTTGAGGGCTGCTTGGGAGCAGGTCCTCACATTTTGCATATTATAAGCCGCATTTTTAAAATAAAGACTATTTAAGTATTCTTTAATATATATATACTATTACAATTAAAACTCATTAATTATACCCTTTCGTTTTACCTTAGATTTTTAAACGCTTACTTTTATGGTTTAATAAGAACTTGATATATTTAATAATATTCAAAAGAAACAATTATATGAAAAGTACTTTATACGGCTACATTAAACGTTAATCTTTTTCTTATTATATACTTTAAAAATTAATTTGTGTAAAAATAAGGCTTATACGCGTGTTATAGCTATAATTTTACTAGTATAGCTATCGCGGCCGAATCTTTCTCGTTTAAACCTTTATTAAAGCTAATAAAGCCGCTTTTGAAAAAAAACCGTCTTTTAACTTACTACGAAATAACGTTTACGGCAAGAATAACGTTTAATAAATAATACCTATTACTAAGTAATAATACTACCCCTTTTTAAGTATCATTCAGGTGATCGTGTTCCCTTCTTATTTGTGTTAACTATCATTTCCGCGTTAGCCTTTACTCTCTAGGCTGCGCGCAGCGCAGACCGGAGCGAGCTGATAAGCTTATTCTATACCTAAGGCATTGGCTGGGCTGTGATGAAGAGCAGCGCATAGAGAGGCAGCCGCACCCGTGGGGTTCTATCGCTCTCCTAGCCATATAAGGTAGTAGTTGAGCAGCGAGATACACAAAGACAATGAATAGTATGGCGATGTAGCAGAGCAAACAAGCAACAACACGAGATCTTCCGGCTCATCAACCTAGCAGACTTGGTCTATATACTCAATGATCGCATGGCACGTCTCCCATAGCGTGTCCATCAAATGCAACAGGTCTGGGATAGCGATATGTCTTGTCACAGAACAAGACAGCACTCCTCCCTATCCCAGTATTTGCCATGTCACATTGCTATAACTCCTTTCGAATCGCTTGAGCGTCAAACATGATGCAATGAAGCTTACATCCCGTTCTTAATTAGGGCCTAAATCACTGACCTGCATCTGGGTTCAATGCTCGTTTGGAGTTTTTAACATTAAGCCAGTTAAGGTAGCTCCACTGGCCCGTCCTCTCGTCTCTCCACTTCTCCCCCCTATTGACCTTGCCCGACCGTGTCATAAGGCTGGTGCTTTATGGTGGTGTTACCACGAAGTTGTCAGCCTTGCACGCCAAGTAGGTAAAGTGACGGTATCCGAGGTCAGATGATGCACTTCACCTTCTCGATATCGACAATGCAGCATGTGCCTACCCGTCTATTCCTTCACAACCTAAGCGAGTAGGCGTGGTAGCTGTTCCTGAATGATATATGAGTATCAATGCCTCGCGGAAGTGCAACCGCGTCCCAGGTGTACGTACAATCAATGATTTAACTGCAGAGTGCAATGGTGGACACACTACCCCCGTCTCTTGATCGCTTTATGCTTTCCCGCGTGGGATGTTGAACTGGTAGTGTCTTACAAGCAGTGCCGATGAAAGCAACGGGCCACGGCGCCTGCGATTATAAGGAGCGATCACTGTCTCTAGATAGGTCGACGACTATGATGAGACAGGTGCTCCGAGGTCGCCACCATTAGCTGTTAAATCTTTTGATATCTACATCATGTCTTCATTGCTATGTGGCGAGGCTCTTTCCAAGCTAGCAGTCTAACCATTGAACGACAGTAAACATCAATAAATACATGACTTAGTGCAATCGAGGTCCAACTTGATAATGGACGGCTATTCCCCCCCTCCCCCCTCATTAGTCCTGAAGATTCGCGTCCACAAGGATTATTGCTGACCGCACAAGTACTTGGACACGCGAACGCTCTGAATGCCAATCCGGGATCGAGAACTTGACACCAAAATAAGCACCATCGGTATGTCCTTAAGAAGCAGGACCGCCCAAAGACCTTAGGACTGAGTACTTCGCGGGCAAACAGGTTAGGTCCATCGCAATTCTACGGGCGTAATGTACGATTGGCCTAGGGGCTGATGTCCACTCCCACCGCATCGAATCTGCACTGACTAGAGGATTAGAATCGAAAAGAGAGAGACTTTATATACCCTTAAGAAATACATCGCGCCGTCATTAAGAGCCTGGGTAGAAACTGGCCATGGCCCGGCGTCTTGGAGAAAGGGGGTAATCACTCCACTCATTTTCAGAAAAGGGGTAGGGAGAACTATTAGGTTGCTTCCATCAACACATATAAACTACCGAAAATAAGAAGCGTTAAGAGGTAACAACAACATGCTGTGGGAAGAAAAAACAGCAAAACGATCCTATCGTAGAGGCAAAAAAAATAAACAAAACATACAACACCGGGGATTCGCTGGTCGTCACCGACCCAACTACTAATCCGGCGGTATCAGGCTTATTTAGGGCAGAGCGGACGGGATGCCAAGTTCTCCTGATCCTATGGTCGTATGTGATCATGTTCGCTACAATTCCTGCCTATATAAGTCGCGACCACCCGCTAACTGCCTCCTCCACATCCTCACACCCCTCTCACCCCTCTCACCCAGACCTCCCCTCTCCACTTCAACATCCGCCCCAACCTCTAACCTAGGCCGTAGGAGCAGCCAGACAGCTAGCACAATACCCGCACCCGCCCTCCTTAATCAGCACGTCGACAGTGCACGAGGGCGGGTTGTACGAGGTGACAGTCGGGAACGAGCGGCCCGTCGGCTCGCCCGGCTGGCAGGTGCTGGTCGGCCGGATGCAGACCTCGGCGGCCTCGCGCAGGCAGTGGATGTTGGTCCCCACGGTGCTGGTGATGGTTGTGACGGAGCTGCACTCGTAGTGGCCCGGCATGGAGGCCACGGACGTGGTTGTTGCTTGCGGCTGGGGGACGGCCAGGGCGCTGGGGTTTTTGTTAGAGGGACGTCCAGCTGGTATGGAATGAGATTCAATAGGAGGGAGAATGGGGCGAAAGTGGAACATTGGAGGCGAGTTTTGATGTGGGGGAGAGGGTGCTTACCTCGGGAGCATAGCCGCAGTGACAACGGCGAGGTGTGTAATGAACTGCATCGTGACAATGATGGGTGGATGTTGACGATTCAGTAGTAGATGATTTTCAGGTCTGATTATGTGAGTGATGTCATATGAATCCTACCTTCTTCTCACCTGGACACGGGAATCTTCTGAGTCTATATACTTTCTTGGCGTCCACATAACCCGAGACCGACCACGTGGATCGGTCGATCCTACGATCCTGTGAGGAACACATCGCGGTATGGTCGAAACTTCGTAACCCACTACCCCGGCTCTAGGACTCCGGGGAACAAGTAACGTGAGCCGCATGCTTATTATTACGCAGAGGCGGCGGCGTAGGATCGTTATTGATTATGATCTAAGATGAAAAGTGCGTGGGATTGGGTGTGAGACGAGCAGGTTGATCGTCCGCCTCGTCAAGTAGCCTTCCATGTCCGCTGTTTCGGATGAGACGGCGGCGGCTTCGGGTTAGTATCCCGTATAAACGGCGCCCTCGTATTCAATCCAGAGCACCACAATACCCCCAGAAGCGGAATAAGCTTCAGTATGGATGATTCTCGCGAATACGCCATGACTGCTATCGTTTTCCGGATATCTGATCGACATCAACGACGGGGTCCCATTTGAGGTCGACGTCAACTCGTGGCCGTCTCAATACGAGGCCACCGCGAAGGGATTCTGTGAGGCTTCAGCCCTACCAGGTTTCAGTCACGGGGAGGCTCTTCTTGCATGCCGAAATGAGCAGTAAGCCACTCAGCCCTAAATGTTTCCCAGACTGCTATTAGCCCAGTCGAAAGGACCTATGTGCTCAAGACCCCTGTCAAGCGTCATCCGGTGTGACGAGGCCAGTCTATCAGGTTGGCAGGTCGGTTAGAGAAACATGTCCCGAATGGTCAGTGCAATGTCGGTAAGCTTACTTCCTGGGGTGTGACAAGCTTTCAGTAATCAGTCAATGTTCAGCTCACCTCGGTGAGTAGTCTAGGCCTGCCGGCTTGAGTCAGCTGATATTGGGCTCTCTGCCTGTACACCGATTCCGGGAACAAGCTTCGCATATAGTCCTTAGTCTTCTTGTGCCTCGACTGACGATACCGAGACCGGTCCCGAGAACGATGAGTGACAAGATGATTGTGCAGAACAGGACACAAAGTCTGAACGAGGCTCGCCGACTGGACAAGGCGGTCAGGATGGCCACGACGTCGAGGTTGCTACTCGCTGCACAGACAGTGAGATTGCAACGGGGTGACCCGTTCCATCACGACCCTGGGCGCCACGACCTCAGCTTGTTGGGTACGGCCATGGTAGCTGACAGCCCCTCGAATCCTGATTTGCTATGACACTCGTCACGACGGAGAGGTATTCTTGTGTGACATATGCCGCGCCTCGGCTTAATAATACCCGGCTGCGGATGTTCGCAGGGTGTCCCAGGACCAGAGTGGGTGGGATCGTTTACGATGGGCGTCCGGCGATGGTCGTTCGGAATAGTGCATGACTGTATGGCATTTTCTCTTGTGTGGATCAGACGTGACTACAGCTGGCCGCTTCATCGTACACTGAAATGAGCAGGTACCGTTTTTGGTCAGAGTGCGCATAAGGTACCTAGTATGAGGAACGTCAACTTGGTATACTATGGCGTCGTATGTCTTTCCAAGTAATCAGAGTCTGCAACTCATCTCCTCCCTTAATCAGGATTGCTGGGGGATCATTCAGCATCGGTACCAAACACCGAGAATGTGTAAGATAATAATGGCATCCCATGGCTCCTGAACTGGCAAGGGAGATAATATCCAGTCCCCACGGAAGGGCGCCAATGTTTTTCGTACCAAATGGTGAGAGCAGCCAGATCTATTCTCGACATCTACCAGACGCTTCCGTGAGCGATTACACACTAGGCTTTTTGTAGGCCAAGGCAGCAATGGATTACCATTATCCTAAGTTGTGGCGTCTTCCGTCCCCGCCGGATCCTCCTGAGGCTCTTCCTGGGTTTTCTCCTTGGGTGTCTCCTCGGCAGTCTCCTGAAGCTTCTCTAGAGGCTCACCTTTCGCTTCTTCAGGGTTGTCCTCCGACTTGGCTGCAGACAGATACAGTTCGTGCAGGTTGTATCTCTTCATAGCATCCCAGTCTCCATTGACGACACTCATGCCGCAAAAAGTCTACATAGTCAGCGGTCAATCATGTCGAGCATGTGACAAGGGGCGTACCTGGTATATGTCGATGAGGATGACCTTGTCTGGTGTTGTTAGGTTGACCTTATGCTCCGGCGCAATGAGCTCCGCGACCTGGGTTATGACGTCGGTACGCTTGAGGGTGTTGTGTGCTCGGAACGATGGGCGAATAGCATACTGTCGACCAGGGTTAGTCGTTTCCTTTTACGACGAGTATCGTACGGTCGTGTACTAGACCCGTTCAAGAAAGTGCACCACGTGGTGAAGATGCTTTGGGCCACTTACCGAATATGCTGCGCCTTCTTTGCCGGGTGCTTGGTCACCCTCGTCCCCTTTCAGTTGGAAGTGATCGCGAAGGACTCGTTTCGCAACCTCATCGACTCCCTTCTCGGTAGCCTTGCCCGTGTATGTGATTGGGGTAAACTTGTTGATGAATCTCGAACGCCACTGTGTCTTGCTTGTAGTGGCCGCAGCGTCCTTGCATATCTCTCGGACTACGTGGATAGGGTCAACAGGCTCCCGCGTTTTCATGAAGAGCAAGCAATCAAGGTTCGTGCGCATCGGCTCGAATGCTGCATGCTTGGGCTTGTTGGCCGGTGTCATTCCTTCGAGCTCGTTCTTGATGGATGACTCGATGTCCTCGACCTCCTCCTCATCTACAGCTTCGCCTGACTCCTGAGATTTGATGCCGTAAAGCTTGTCCCCATACTGTGTCCACGTTCAGTACATGGGCAACAGGAATTTTGTTGAGACTGGGAGATTGGAGAGAGTTAACGTACCTCGTGGAAAATGGCAACCATCTCATCGATTGCTTGCATCTCCTTGTGTCTCACGCAGGTCACCCAGACCCCCGTATCGCCAACCTCCAAAGACCTGCCCTTCATCGCCTCTATCCTGGCCTTGTGATGCGGCGTCTGCCATTTGCCTGCACCGCCTCCCTGGAGAAACCGCAGTTAGCAAGCCCCGTCTTGATTCTGATCGAGCCCAGCTCTGTAATGCTCTCACTCACCCTGCTTCTTTTGTGGGGAGGTCCCCGAGACCCGTTAGAAGCATCGTGCTTCCTCTTTGCGGAAGTATCCATCGCGCGAGGTTGACGAGACTCAGATGACAAGCTGAACCGGTAGGATGTGATTCGTGCAGTGGCGCATGAAGGCAGGCATGTATTTTGGGTGCTCAGGATTGACAGGCAGCCCGCATTTGTTGGATCAGGTGGTGAGTGGACTGCAATGGTCTCGCTTCGATATTTCCGTTTTGAAGCATCCTGCGGTGGCCCGTGCGCTCTCATATCTTGTGGGTGGCATCATTAATACTAAGAGGGCCTCATAAAACCACCCCCAAAAACCCGAAAGCTATCGACAGTACTGCCATGGCTGCAAATCTCTCGACATCAAATTTTCAAGTGGGTTTCTACCCAGACTCTTTTCGTTATCCCATAATCTGACAGCTGGATGACTTGCTCCGAGGATTATATGTCGAGGTACGTTGAACTTGCACAGCAAAACTCACAGGGGAACAGCTCTCGCATGATTATTCAATATATATTGCTCTTGTCTACGTATGGTTCTATGTACACCACAATGCTGTGGTCCGGGGTATAAAGCAAGGAAATCAAACCAACCCTTACCAAGATGCGAGATGAGCGATATATTTAATAACACCAATGCCGCCCCATGCCTCAGTACCTGTCCATGCATCGATCCGTCGTATACCATGAAAACTCAAATACTCGGCCATCATACCCCCTCTTCCTCAGCTATTTGGACCTTATCTGCGTATTCCCTAATGTTGCTGACAATGCTGTCCTCAATCATGAAACCCTTGCCAGCAGCGATCCTCAATAACAACTCGTTCAGATTCTGTCGCCCCAGAATATCTACATGGTCTCCTGATTTCGGTCCTCCACGAGGATTGAAACGTTCAGGTTCGTGGGGCATCTCGACAACCGTGATCTTGGCGCCTGCTGGGTTATAGCGCTTCATTCGCCAGCCCTTGGAGCACATATACCCCGAGCTTAGAAGGTTGACTGTACCGTCACCCTCGCCCATAGTAACACCATGATCGATCTCATCAACAGTCAGGGCCGTGTCGATAGTGATGTTGAGCGTCGTCGAGTCCGGAAAATCAGGAGGGCGGTAAAAGTAACCTCTCTCGGTTGGCTTGCCTACACCGTAGAAGCAATACACCTTCAAATTGGGAGCCAGAGGCAGCCTCGTCTCTAAAGGGTTAATCCATTTCCGATGGTCAAATTCGTTGGCCTCCACCTCGGCAGTGGTGTGGGCCACACCGTGGGAGTAGCTGTTGCGGATCTGGTCACTGTACCAGTCGTCGGTGGTGTCCAGGAGATAATCCATTGCTTGCGAAACAGTGAGGTTCTTTTCTGGCAATGTCCAGTTCCCACCGGCGCGGAAATTCAGGAACGAGCCTTTTGAGTACTTCTGGCCCGGCTGGTCGTCTGGCGCCCAAGTCAGGTTCCCCCACACTGCATCTCCGCCGATGGGCAGCATAGATGATATACCGGGCATGGCACGGAATATCTCGGCTCTTTCCTCTTTGTTAAGGAACTTCTCGAGGCCGTACACGGCGAAGGCGTTCATCTGTGCGGTGTCGCGCATTTCGCCCGAGAGTACAGCTGTCACATCCTTCACGGCACCAAGCATACACCCGCTAATATTGATCCATGCTTCAACGTGGTGGTCCACCCAGTCGTCGCCCCCCCTGCCGCCCTGGGCAGAGGCCACCCAATGGAAGAAGTAAAACAGAACTTGACTTCCCATGCTGTGCGAGGCGAGGACAACCTTTCTGCCCGAGAACTGGTGTGCCATTTCGATGTGGGTCTTCAGCCGCGTGAAGTACTGGTCCCGAACCTCGAGGTTTTGGTAGGAAAGCCGCCAGTCATAGGCGGCGGTGAAGGAGTTGGTTGGATCGTAACCGAGAGAGGCGAGGTTCTCGAGGATCTTATTCCAGATCCAATATCCGGTGATGAAGAAATCAGCAGCATCAAAACCCTGAGCAGCCCTTAGTTTGACACCGGGAGGATCCAACCCGGTCCGTTTGTCCAGCATGATGTGCTTCTTCCACACGTCCTTGTCCATAACCAGAGCTTTCATCATGGTCCAACTGCCCCATAACCGTTTCCGAAAGTAAGGGCGAGAGCTGTTTGCGGTGCCCCAAGACTCAAGGCCGGTCGAAATGACGCCGGGAATCATTATGACGGGATGATGGACTTCGAGCCCCTCGGACCGAGCTTTTGTTCCCACGGCGAAAGAGTCGTAACTATTGACGTAAGCCCGATCCCCTTTCTGCGAGCGCCAAGGCCATTAGTCGAGGCGCGAGTTCTTGCAAAAGGAAGTGTGTACGTACGGTCAGGTCTTTCATATCCTTGACGAGACCGGCAGGCAGGACGTCAAGGATGCTATCCATGCTCAGCTCCCCGATCTCGGGGAAATCTATCAGATCATTGTTTTTGGCGAAGAAGCCGGCAGCGATGAGACCAAACAAGCTGCCCATGAAGAAGATGAGGGTGGTCCTCCGCTTTCGTGAGGGCTTAGTCTCATGATGGACAATGGTGACATTATCGCGGGGTTTCGCGGGACTCTGCTCACGCGGTGGTGTTGGAGTTGGCGAAGCAGATTCCGAGGCAGTGTCGCCGGCGAGTGCTCGACGTCGAAGTTCTGAAGCCATAGTTGTTGCGCAGCTCTACATGGCCAACCAAGCAAGACCGGGTGAAACACGGGTGACGGAGCACGAGAGCTCGGCCTCGGCTGGCTCAACTAGCCCAGCGTTTCGGCTGGGGTTGAGAGTATTCTGATGTGCTCAGGCAAGCAGGGACCACGGCATGGGTGGATTCGCGAAGCAAGCCGGGCGCAGTTGAGCGAAGACGTAGACAAGTAGAGTCTAGGTTGAGATGTTCTGGCTATCAGGAATGAGAGTTAGCCCTGCTGAGCTGTGTGCCTGGATCATAGGACGACAGGTGCCAAATTGCCAAGATCTGAATCGCATATGAGAAAATGCAGAGACACTGGACAGGCTTGACTCGCGACGGGCTGACGTCATGGGGAGCCTCAACAGCTCCTTCCTCAGTCCTGGATTGAAGCTAGAGCCTAGCTAGCCCTGTTCACGCCGGGCAGCTGCGCGCATCACGCGTTTGAACTTTGAATTTAATTTAATTGCCCAAGTCCAGTCACAGTGCTCCTTCCGGCGTGTCTCTAGCGCGCATGGTTTATCCATGGTGGAGACCGCGAGACACTGACAGTCCGGTCGCCGATACGACGCGAAAATTGGAAACGTCCGGATTCGCATGTGAAAGTGGGTGTTGCTAGCCCTGTCTTGCATGCATGCGTGCATTTACTCCTCCTCAGAGAGGGACTGTGTGTCAACTGTCAAGGTGATACTCTGACTGAATCTGAAGCTTCGACCGTCCCTTGTCAAGGACCTACCCATAACCCTTCTTCTCCTCACAATCCCGACCCCGCCTCCCGCTTCTTCCCAACGTACGCCCATCTGCTTCGAATCGTTGGCTACTCTTGTGTTGCGACGTCGCCCATTGGGAGGACCAGTACCCAGCGAACGCTATTCGCGCATGATCGCGGGGTTCAGGAGGAGGGGGCTTCGCAAGCACTGAGTGCTGGCCATGGAGGCCATACACGCAAGCCAACCAAGCCAACTTCACGCCGATCTGCGATACATTCAGTACGAGCATGGCCTCGAGGAGGCGTTCCTGCCCGCCATCCGCGCCCTGATCTCCAAGGACCTCAGCGAGCCCTACAGCATCTATGTCTACCGCTACTTCTTGTACCAATGGGCTCACTTGTGCTACATGGTAACATCTCCAGTCATTAAATGGGGGAGGACACTCGGCTGACCACTTTTCCTCACGTAGGCGCTAAATCCCGCCGACAACTCCCTGATGGGCGTCATTATCTGCAAGCTCGAACACCATGCGTCGCACTCCCCTCCGACCTATAGAGGCTATATAGCCATGCTGGCGGTATCCTCGACCTTTCGAGGGCATGGCATAGCAACGGCGCTGGTGAAGATGGCAATCGATGCAATGGCCGAACGAAACGCCGACGAGATCGTCTTGGAAACCGAAGAGACAAATATGACCGCCATGCGCCTTTACGAGCGATTGGGGTTTCTGAGGTCCAAGAAGCTCCACCGCTACTATCTGAACGGCAACAGCGCCTATCGGCTGGTCCTGGTGTTGAAGACGGCAGATCCAGACGCTAGGGACCCCGACTAGGATTCGGATGCGCCACCGCGCGCTGTTGGTCGATACATCTCGGAACCCAAACACTATCTGAAGACATCCAGCATAGCCGAAAAAGGATATGCCATGGGAGCTGTAAACGCTGCCATAGCTAGGGGGGCGCCAAGAAATAACCGCCCCATTAGTTCTTCTTCTGATGAGGGATAGGATGAATCCTAAGAGCCTGGAGATTCGTCATAGAGGCCACTCCCTGGAGGAAGTAGTTGATGCATTTTCACAGTGGAGGCAGCATTGAAATGCGAACATATGCATGCATCCTCGCATGGAGTATTCATATGACTTGGTGGTGTTGAAAAGGGCAGCATGTAAGCCATAAGACCCCAGTCGGCCTTTTTTTGTTTGTATGCGGAACTGTCCACGTTTTCTTATTTACCCATGAGATAGCTAGCATAGCTGAAGAATTAAGGTCCCGGAAGCCAAGGGTATCTCCAGCAAATTTCAGGCCGTCGCGAAGATCGTATCACTCTAGACTCTGATCCGCTCACTCCAACACAGGCAGGTCGTTTGCCAGCAACATTGCGACATCCCAATCTTGCGGGTTCTCTGATGGCGTGATGGACCTCTTGAGAACATGAAGTGGAATAGCCCTCAGGCGCAATGCCTATACTGTTGCAAATCGAGGAGCATGACCATACTTGTGTCCCTCGTCCTCCCTCATCTTCCGAGCATGGACTTCGTGTCGTATATGGACGCCTTGATCTCCCATGGGTTTCCAGACGCGATACCCAGGTAAGTGTAGCAATCTGACCACGTTAGCGTCTCCTTGAAAACCGCCGAGACGAGCTCACGGACTGACTGACCAGGTTTGTAGTACAGGGGCTTTGCTCTGACAAGTCCGAGTAGCTTCAGACGCTCCGCTACCCTCTTGACATCCTTCGTGTCCGTGAAGTCGGCGGTATAGACACAAATGAGCCGCTCCGTTCGCGTGTCCTTGGTTGACTTGGGAGCGACCTTGGCGGCGATCCCGAGCTCGTTGTTTGCCGTGGCGTGGGCAATGATCCCCCAGACATCGTTCACTTGTATCACATCGCAGAAGAGCATCCACTGTACACGTGTTAGAGGTGCACAGAGATTGACAATACATGGCAGATAGGGGAATGTGCAATATGCATCGGGACTGACCTTGCCGCACGTAACTCGCAATTCCTTCGCTACGTCCAAGATATCGCGCGAAGCGTCTAATCCAGCCTTCCTGCATTCGCGAGTGATAAAGATCTTCGTCTGGCCAGACGCTTTGCATTCGTCGATGAACTGACGCGCCAGGTGCAGGCGCTCCTCGCCGGCTTCGACAAGACCAGCCGGATCTGCCCCTTCCTCCTCGGGCGCCTCGTCTTCGCCACCTCGGATCCGTTGGTTGTTTGCTTTGCGCTTGGCCTTGCGCTCGATATAAGGGTTGCAGATCCAGATCCAGAGAGAGTCGATGGGATCCTCCGTCGTCGCTGGCGGGACACGCTTCAGGAAGTCGTCCACCGATTCCGTGAGCTGCCAGGCATACGGCTCGCCGGCATAGGGGTTGTGCAGGCGGGTTTTGCCTTCGTCTGCCTGCTTTCGGGCCTGGAGCTTCAGGGGTGTCTCGATGGTTTTGTGGTCTTGCCACCACTCATCAACATCAAATTTGCGGACCTTTGCCTTGAGGTCCATGAGAACGTCGTCATCACCTGGAGGGAGTGTCAACGGCAGCAGTGAGAAGGACGGAGAACTAGGCTGCAAACTTACCATAGAAATCGGAGTCCTCCTCGGAACTCATGATTGCTTCTCAAAGTCGAAGCTGTCGGCCCAAACTAGGTAGGTAGGGACACAGAATGTTGCAAAGTTGAGGACATAGCAAGACCACCTCGGCTTCTTGAGTGGTGCGGCGAACGGATCACTGCACTTTGTACAGACGTTCACGAGGAGAGAGAGAGTCTCTTTCGTACTGAATCGGTTCACACCTTAGGAGGGTCACGGTGACAGGCGGATACCTTTAATGTAATATGGAGATTGTAGATATTCCTCAGTCTTCCATGCCCGGCGATGTCAAGTAGACAGACTCATTTGACTTGCAGATGCGTAGGCAGGCAGATCATGAACGAGAAGCACCCAGGTGATCAAAAAGAACAAGATAACCCCAGAGACCGAATGATATCTTGAGACATGTAGAGAAAATGTATCATCTGCGTACGTAGGTAGATCTCAGGACTACTATGTAATCATTTTCATCTACAGAAAGAGCTACCGTCGGCACTTGCCCTTGTCCTGTATCGATTCTTTCAAGTTTGAACCCGGTCCGGTGCCCCTGAACACGATCTAAGGCTACTAAAACTGCCACTAGACTAGGGCCCGATAGCGGGGAGACACCCGAACGGCTACGGCGGGGTAAACCAAAAGAAAAGAAAACAACCTGGAACAATTCGGATCACTTTCACCAGAGTCAAACACGCCTCCTGAATGCGACAACACCATTCAATGTGAGAGTGGAAGATCAGCTGGGGTGCTCCACATAACTACCTACGTTTAGGTGATCTCGCTGGAGCCACCAGACCTTGGCCATGGATAGAGAAAACAGCAGCATCGCGCCATTGCGGTCGTTGACTCTGGAGCTCCCTCCAAGCTGCATCGAATTCTGCCCAGCTCATCCAGAGTATTTCGTTGTCGGCACGTACAACCTACAAAAGGAGGAACCAACCGAGACAAACATATCTGAATCCTCGGGAGACGACGATGGCGAGCAGCAGACATCGAACAAGCCCCAAAGCCGCAATGGAAGCCTGGTGGTATATCGACTGACTGAGAAGTCTGACATGTAAGTTTTCTGCTTGTTCTCTTTGGACTATCCTGACGAGTGTCGCTCCATTGGTCAGAAGCCATGTACAGACCGTCTCTTGCCCATCTGCCCTCCTTGATCTTCATTTCCACCCTGCGCCAGACAAGCATGAGGTCGCCGCTGTTGTCTCTAGCACTGGCACTCTTTCATTTTATCGACTCTCTCCTATGGAACCATCTTCCGACTCTCTTAAGGAACTGGCCACCCACAAGCCGTTAGGGGACGACAATAGTGTTCTCTTCTTATCATGCGCATGGCACCCGACCCTGCACGATCTTCTTGCAATCACCACATCAGATCATCGTGTCCATATCTTGCGAGTTGATGACTCGTGGTGTGCCCATGATACAACTTCTGGCCCGATCATCACCCACACACTTGAGGCCTGGACTGTGGCATTTTCGCCATACTTGGGTGATCCTTCACTGGTTGAGAGCGATGCGGATTCGGAAGGCCTCCAGGTACTCACGGTATTTTCTGGGGGCGACGACTCAAACCTCCTCAGCACCAGCTGTCTGTACCGTCCCCTTCGGACAAGTGGCGACGACGAAGTGATTGAGGCAACCTGTCCTACAGCTGCAACCAGGGGGCACGAGGCAGGCGTCACCGCTATACTACCGCTGGCCCTGAAGCTGGCCGACGGCTCCAGAGTGGTAGTTACCGGCAGCTATGATGACTGTCTGAGGGTATACTCGATCTACCCCCAGGATGGAGGGATGATGCTCAAACAGCCCAAAATGCTGGCGGGGGAAAACCTAGGTGGCGGGGTGTGGAGGTTGAAGCTGATCAGGTTGGAGGATGCGGGCAAGAGCACATCCTCAAAAGCAAGGCAATGGACGGCCTTGGTTCTTGCATCGTGCATGCATGCGGGATCTCGGGTGTTGGAGGTTACTGGTGACTACGGCGAGGATTGTCAGGTCAGGGTCCTAGCTCACTTCGAGGAGCATAAGAGCATGAACTATGGCAGCGACTTTCAGCCAGGATCTGAGCTGAGCAGTCTCCCTCTGCGTTGTGTCTCGACCAGCTTCTACGATAGGTTGCTCTGTCTTTGGGAGTCATAACCGAAATAAAGTTTATGAGGTATACAGTAAAACGTGGAAGAAAGGTGCCTAAAATGATGACACAAGACCACCAACTGCACTCTTTCCAGGAACAATCGCCATCCAGGAATTGTTTGCATTTTAGGTCTTTAAGGCTCAGCCAGGGGTAATAGCACAAAGAGAATGGCTCGATGTCGGTATACGGTTACTCAGCTTTCTGTTCGATGACTGCAGTGGCTTTCTGAGACATAGGTATTTAACCCACCTGGATCTCAGGTTAGGCAGAGCACTCCCTTCCCGACTGTTCATTATGGTCATGATCGGAGCGGTCTAACTTCAATTCGATGTTTTGGTGACTACCCCTACCTGGTTGGTACCTGACCCAAGGTAGCTGTATCTACGTATCAGCTCTCAACATGTGAATGGGCTGAGAACAGAGCGTATATAGGGCAGCTGCACAAATACACCAGATATGTATATATGGACTCAATGAATCGATTATACATACATGTGTACTTGGATATGCCTTCATTAACCATATAATCACCCACGCATACGTGTACCTCGAGGTACCGCTGGGACGTTCCTGAATGGGCAGGCTGCCCAAGCGGAGTTAAGGTTAGTGGATATTGGACCCTTGCGGACAGCCGGTGGCCCCCCGTCCCCAAGGTTAATAATAATAATAGAGTAGATTTAAGGTTTCAACTCTAAGCCCGACGCGCCGCAGTAATAATAAATTGGGCGGCTTTCTACTTGCCCGACTTTTCGAGCTTCGCCAAGCGTAATAATTCATCCTTGCCAAACACATATCTTGGCCCAACACTACGCGCGACCACCGCTCCAGCATAGACATAGACATACATCATCGCTGCAGTACGCAATACACATACCTCCCCTCCGTCGGCCTTCGATCTGTGAAACCTCTCGTGGCCCAAGCTTACCGTCGTCAAGCTCCTACCGGTACCTTGTTGCATCCTCTATCGTCTATCGTCAGCCTGAACCTGATGGTCCACGTCTAAGGCAGAGTCGGTCGATCGCTCCTCCCGCCCACCCCTCTGAGATCGTCGTCCGCCAGCCGTACACTCTGCCCGTGAATCGCTCGGCATTATGGCTGCGCAACCGGTCAACGGAAACATGGGAATGGGCGGCGCAGGTGGTGCAGGTGGTGCTGGACCCGGCGCTGATGCCGTAGTGGCCAAGATCCACGAGGCCCTCGGGGTTGTCTACAGTCCCCAGTCCTCCAATACCGCCCGCAAAGATGCGCAATGGTTTCTCGAAAACATCAAAGACACTCCCGAGGCCCCGTCACACGGCTTCCACCTAGCTTCCGACAAGCAACAGTCCCCCGTCGTCAGACACTACGCCCTATCGTTACTCGAGCACGCAATCAAACACAAATGGGCAAGCTACGCAGGAGCACAGGCCGACGCTCTGCGCAGCTGGGTCTTGGAGCTCTCGCAGAACATCTCCAAGGGCGACCCTGCCTACATAAGGAACAAGATCGCACTGCTATGGGTTGAGATTGCCAAGAGAAGCTGGGCGGCAGAGTGGATGGACATGGACTCGCTCCTGGTTCAGCTATGGCAGGTCCCCGATTCCGGAGTCCACAAGGAGTTGGTCTTGGTTATTATAGAGATCCTGTCCGATGACATTTTCAACGGTGACGACCCAGTGGTTGGCCTTCGCGAAGGGGCCCTTAGTAAGGCCTCCGTCGAGATATTCACACCTGCTGTCGTCCTGGCAGAGGCCTTCCCGAATCGAGAATCTGGACCCGATGTCAGGTGCGGAGAGGAAGGCTGGCTTGCAAGGATCACTGACCTGCTGCGTCATTGCCTCTCTGGGGACATACGGGCGAACGAGGATCTGCAAAGTTGTGCTGTGCGAGCGCTTGCTGTCATCTACTCTCTAATGCCCTGGGTCATCCCGAAGGCTGTGGCCGTCACTGGGTGCGTGCCGGTCTTGTGCGAGGGCCTTGGTGCATCTCACGTTGAAGTACAAAAGGTTAGCGACATGGCAGCCCCCGTTATCCATGTGTATCTCTTACTGACCAAAATAGGCTTCATTGGAGGCACTGCATGCTCTGTACACCCGTACAAGCCTTATCGACCAGGAATTCCTTGACTTGGTCGTACCACTATACCATCGCAAATACGTCGGCCTGTTCACTGGGCTCCTAGAGTGGTCCGTAGTTGATCCTGACGATTTAGATGATGACAAGTATCAATTCTCCAAGAAGCTATCAGAGGTATGTCTATTGGCGTTGCTATCTCTCCCAGCATTACTAACAACTTTAGATGGTCTCGTTCCTCGGAAATTACATGGACCGACGTTTTGCTGTGCTCCCAGCAGATCCAGAGCGGGTTGACTTCCAGGGTTTCTTGCAACTTCTTCTTCTTGCCACCCAAAGCCAGAGTCTAGTAGTGTCCATTCCGGTACTTGTAACATGGACTCGTCTACTGAACAATCGATCCCTTGGCCCAAGCATTGCAGGGATTTCTACATTTGTTGCGCCGCTCCTGGAGGTATGCAGCTCCAGGCTCATCCGCTACGAGAGTCTCCCTGAGGATACTGAGGACCCTACCTTTCGTTTCTTACTGGAAGATACCGACACAGTTCCTGAGCGACATGCTTTCCTGGGCAACTATAGACGCTACAGCGCACAAGTCATCGAGACCATTGTGCTGCTCAAGATATCTGATGCAATGCAACACATACTAAGCCAGACGGAGAATGTCTTGGAGCATCTGTATGATGGCACTCCAGGTTTCGATAGTAAGGCTGACCATTCCATATGCACTCCATTTGTGACCGGACGCATGCTTACCTGCTCTCAACCCAGTTGCAAATTATTCCAAAACATCTCAGCCGGTCCTGCGCGTCGATGCCCAAGCTACAGTCATTGAGGCTGCCTTGAAGGGATTTGGCAAGTGGCGGTCGAAGTCGTCAGGAGGCGAGCTCCGTGTAAGTTCCACAATGCTGAATTCTTGAGGCTTTGCTGACTAGCGCCAGAAACAGGAATCGACCGCTCTGGAGAACAGCTTGGAAGCATGGTGTAACCGCCTGCTCGCGATGAAGTTTGAGGTAGGTCGAACAACATTACCTTCCACGGTCACATGCTCATTGGATACAGGATCCCTTAATCAGGAAGAGAATCTTGCAACTCCTTGTGGCATTCTCTACATCTGCGCTCGACAAGAACCCGTCATTCATGCTCAAAGTCCTGGAACACATTCTGGTCACCTGGCCGTCGACACACCCAAGATACCAAATGTATACCGATGCGATCAAAGATCTGCAGGCAGAGAGCATGGTGGAACTGCAGAGGCTCGCCATAAAAATGCCCGACCATCTGCTTGTGAGTCAATCCTGAGCTCCTGTTGGAATTGACAAAATACTAAGTAAAACATCAGGACGTTTACGACAGGATCGCAACAAAGGTTGAGGAGATGATCGGTTCAGGAACACTCGACGAAAAGCGACAGATCACGTATCAGACTTTTCTGTTTACCATCATGTATGTTTGTGCAAATCAGCATATTCCACACACATACTAACACGCACAGTCACCGATCTACTCGGGTCGACGAAGCCACGAAGATCCAGAAGCTTCAACCTTTCATAGACCCCGTCAAGTCTCAATGGCAGGACACCCGTCTGAAGCAGGCCTTATCCTCGCATGCTGGCTTCTTTGAGCTTATGGCTCTTGACAAAGCTCAAAGCTATCTAGCCCGGAAGCGGATGCATGAGATCCCTGACTGGGGCGCCGTGGAGCTTGATGCCGAAGGGCAAGCTCTGCAAGCCGAACTTGAAGATCGCCAAACCGTAGGTCTCAGGTGTCGTTGTTGATGGTGGTGCTACCCGCGGACTTACCATCTTCTAGCTTTTGCCCTTGCGCCCTACAAAATCGTTCCTCCAATGCTCCATCGACAAGCTTGACAAAACTACGCAGCCATACCAGGTTTCGTGTGCTTTATGGGGTAATGGGCTCTCTCTAATGCTGCCCGAGCTCCTCAATTTCCTCAGGTAAGTTGGCCCTTGTCCCGCTGACTGCAAACCACAACCTAATCTTGCTGCCAGTCATGCACATGCTTCTCACTCGACCGACAACTGGACCGGACTACCATCAGAAATGAGACCCATCGTTAGCCGCGTTCTCACTGACCGATTTTGGCAAGCCGGCATCTCGGAAGGCAGTAAAGATGAATTCTATGCCCGGGTTATGGAGAAGAAGCTCACCTTGGAGGGTTTGGCCTCGACAATTCGAGGATCCATACGCTTTGTGCGAGAGACTTGCTACGCCATTCTCTATTGCATGACGAAACTGGAGATGCAATTCTATGGCTTTAGTGAGCTGCCCGAGCCGTTGGCCCGCGCTCTTCTAGCCGACTCGTTCAGCCTCTCGGCGCATCAGCTGGTGAATCTCCTAAATCTGGTACGATTTCTGGTGGACAACTGTCCAGTACAGCTGCGAGGACAGTTTCTACCTCCCATCCTCGCAGCGTGCTTTCAGCGGGTGGATACCAGAGTGAACGCGGAATGGGCACAACTCGACGAACAACAAGGCGTCAAGTCCGACGGAGACGCTCTTACCGAGGAGATGAAATCCGAGAGCATCTTGCGACAACTAACGTACACAGCCGTGATGATGGTGGCTGACTTCCTGGACCCGGCTCGGAAAAGTGAGTAGATCCCCAGCCGCACCTGTGAGCTGTGCATGCCGCTGACACCTGCACAGACGCCCCAGCTGGATCATCTGACTCGGGAGAGGCACAGGAATACCCCTCCCTGCGGAGGTTCTGCTTGATGCACTCCTCCATTGCCGAACCCCTTCTGGTATTTTGCACCCACGTCTTACGGATACGAGATTCGCGATGCTGCGGTGTAATGCTGCGGGTATTCAAGTCCATCATCCCGGATTTTCAAGTTAGCGAGAGCTCTTCACAACACTTGATCGCGGAGGCATCCAGAAACGGAGGTGATGCATGGTCAATACCTTCCGGCACAGCCTCGGTGATCCGCGAGTACATCTCGTCGGAGGTGGTCAAGGCCTGTATCACGTCGATCCACGAACCTTACTTTGTCGAGCTGCAGAAGGAACTGGCGTCCCTTATTGCTACCATTGTGAGCAGTTATTCTCGTTTCACGTCCACAGCGCGGGACGTACTGGTTTCCCTTCCGAACATGAAGCCGGACGAGGTGGACCGCGGCATTGAGCACATGAGGAAGGCCGGCACCAGCAGCCGCGGACAGCGAGCGGTCATCCTCGAGCTTTTGCGCGAACTCAAAGGAGTTAGTATCTCAGAGATGGGTAAGCTGAGCAAGAGCATTGGGCAGCCAGTCACTAGGGCCAAGCGACCACCTCGCAGCAAGTTGGCACAGAAATTCATGACGGATGCGGCACCGGCCAACGGTGGGCCGGGTGCGGCGGGCCAGTCGACGAGTAATGGTCAAGCAGATGGCGCTGATGACCTCGAGGGCGTTGCCAGACTGTTCGAATCATAGGATATGACGAACCGGCTTCTTCACGGTTTGGCGTTCGGGCGATGGCGTCGGACAAGGCGCCTGTTTACACCTGGTTGGGCACATTTGCATACCCACACTTGATCCTGTATAGTACTAGCGATGCATTCCCCAGCGACAAGTCGAGGCTGAGAGCAAGGAAATCGGTGAAGTCAGACAAGGAGGTGCCTCGGTAGGTCACAGTCACGCTGCTGACAGAGGCATGGCCTAATACCCCATACCCAGAAAAGTTTTAACCTTAGGTAGCTACATACTTACTGTACTAAGTGCTTACCTTAGTGAAATGGATTAGCTGATCCAGTCTTCTTTGGTTCCGTGAGGTGACGCGGTTTTGAAGGTTCATCTTGAAGTGGATTGAATGGTCCGTGAAGCTTTGTGTTGAGTTAATAATTAGAGTATATGATACGTGGAAGCATATATCTGCTACACTTGGAGGCAGTTCCATGTGGTCCAAATGACTATAAAAACGCTTTTACCTGCGGCAGGGGTGAATCAGACTTGTTGGTGGCGTAGGCCATTAGCGAGGGCATGTATTATCCATGGGTATAATGGAAGTATGAAGCGGACTCGGGATACCTACATATGTAGATGCATCGAGAGTCTAGACGTGTGACGAATAGGTGCAACGCTGACAATACTTACTTTGCCGTCATCCAAACGATGCACAAAGGCGCAACATTGAACATCCTGAATGCGGGGAATTCGGCGGGAAAGCCACTGGCGCCGTCCGTTTTCTAGAACCGATGGAAAAGCGGCAATGTCCATGTGCCACCTTAGCTAGCCAAGGTTCCGTAACTTTAATCCCACATATAACATTTTGACATTCAGCATCCAACATCCGTACGCCTATCGCACTTCGCACTTCGTGCTGCTACCAGACGCCACCAATCAACGCACTCCGGTGTCCTGCCGTCTACTTGAAGCTGCGGCTTGCCTGCTTTCCTCTGCGCGGAGCTCGACTCTCGTTCGGTATGGGAAGCCCAGGCTGCTGCTCAGGCTGACCTTCCCCCGCCAACATGGCCGATTTCGACACAACGTATACGATAGAGGATGTGGGACAGTTACGGTCCGGTATGTCTGCAACGAAACCTTCCCATCCTCAATCCTCTGGGGGCCGCATCATTGCTAATCAGCATTGACCCTGTCGCGCAGAGCTGGACCACGTCGTCGACACGCAATGCGCCGCCCATGCCCACGAGACCATCGACGACGCCCTGCGAACCTGGCTTTCCCTAGCCTCCCGCTGCCGCCATGAGTTCTGCCAGTCCGAAGATGTCGTCGCGAGCTGCTCGCGGGCTCTTTTACGCGGCAACCTCTTCAAGACCAACCCGGACTATGTGCGCACGCAGATTATCTACAGCTTGCTGGAGGCAGACGAAGACGACGCCGGACCCTTGTACATCATCGCCAGCTTCCTGCTGCTCGATGGACAATCACATGAGGCGACTTTCCGAAGCATGATGGAGTGGAGCTGTTTCCAGCGGCTGGTAGAATTGATCAATGGCCGGAGGGATATCGATCCGGGTCTGCACCGGCTGCTTCTGGAGCTCCTGTACGAGATGTCGCGAATCGAGCGCTTGAGCGTCGACGACCTCTTGCACGTCGATGACGGCTTCGTGACCTATCTCTTTCAGCTCATCGAGGATTATTATGACGACGTACATGACCTGTACCACAAGCCCATCATTCGCGTTCTTGTAGGTCAACCCACCAGTGAGCTGTTTGCCGTGCTGAGCTGATACATCGGCAGCTTGTTCTGAATGAGCAGTACATGGTCGTGTCTGCCTCGGCCGTCACCGACCCTACGTCGCCGTCTGCCCCCATGACCAACAAAGTTGTCAAGTGCCTCAGCCTCCACGGCCTGCTCTTCAAGACCTTTGGCGAGAACATCATACTACTCCTCAACCGAGAGACCGAGACAGCGCTGCAGTTGTTGATCCTAAAGCTGCTGTATCTCCTATTCACTACCAAGGCGACGTACGAGTACTTCTACACGAACGACCTGCGCGTTCTCCTCGATGTCATCATCCGCAACCTCCTCGACCTACCGAACGAGCTCATGTCGTTGCGGCACACGTACCTTCGAGTTTTGTATCCGTTGCTCGCGCACACGCAGCTCAACCAGCCACCGCATTACAAGGAAGACGAGGTGCAAAAGGTTCTGAGGATACTGGCCGGAACAGGAAACGCGCACTTTGCTCCAGCGGATGAGACGACGCTCCGGCTTGTAGACCGCGTGGCCAAGGTGAAGTGGCTTGCGAGCGACGGCACGGGCGCGGGTGAGATCGCACGCAAATTCCTCGGCATTAGTCTGTCGCCCACCGACACCGCCAGCAACATTAGTGTCGTCGACGTGGCGGCTGTCATGGAGAAGCCGGGTGTGAAGACGCCGAGTCGGAAAGCTCACGAGGAGGCCGAGACGGACGCCGAGAAGGATGCTGTTCCCGGCGCGGGAGCCGAAGGAGGAGCAAAGATACCACCAATGCCAGACAGGGCAAAGAAACCACCGGTAGTGCCCAGACACAAACACGGCAGACCATATGATGCTGCGTTTTCGTCGGTGAATGGAAATGGCAGTACGAGCAAGGGACCGCCGCCCAAGGTACCACCACCACGGAAGGGGAGGCTCAAGCCCGTGGCTCCAGCTTCCGAGGCATCGACAGAGCAGGTGTCCTAGTAGGGATGGATGCCAATGAAGCAACGATGGAGCAAGTGGTCAGGCCGCCGAGAGAGGCCGTAGCTCCATCTCGCGAAAAGCGTATTCACTTTCTTCGTCTGTACGCGGCCAAAGATGAAGGCAGAGAGAGGCACTATGGTGAATGACCAAATTGGCATAGGGCATGGCAAGGCATGGCAAGGCATGGCATGGCATATGGCGTTACTGGATTGGGCACATGCTTATGAGTGATGAGGGGTCAAGCATTGCATTGCATGAGCATGGCGTCGAGGCACGGGTCCTTTTTCTTCATTTGAAGGAAGTAGTCGAGGAGGCCACGACGTGGCTCGTAGGTAATGTGTAGTGAATTGATACCTCGGCGCCCCGGGTTTGCGGTAGCATTTTAAAGACGGACCAACCCCAGCGACTCGGTCCCGCAATTAAGGTCCAACCTTCACATTTAGGGGATAAGCAGGCCGCTGCTAACGGCACCGAACGGCTTTTAACATCCATGGATCTGCCACCTAAAACTCACAAGTCTACCTTTCTGCCAACTAACGCCCAACCTCGCGTGCCTGCGTGAAAAATGGCTGAGCCCACGGCCCCTAAGCTGACCTACAAGGGCAACTGCCACTGCGGGCTCGTGCGCTTTACCGCAGCGCTGCCCGACATCCGCATGGGCACGGTGAACAGGTGCAACTGTTCCATCTGCACCAAGAACGGCTATCTCCTCGTCTACCCGAGAGTCGAGGATGTTACCTTCGTTTCGGGTCTCGGCGGCGAAGGTGACGACAGCTTGAGCGTGTACCGCTTTGGCAGCGGGGTCAAACCGCATCGGTTCTGTCGGCGTTGGGGGACCAGTATTTTCATCGACTTTTCCGAGTCGGACCGCGCCGTGGAAAGGGCGGTCGTGGCTATCAATGTGCGTGGGAGTCAAAGACGCAATCTTTACTCTTGTGTTTCCGAGCCTGACCTGAACGTACTCATAGCTCAGGACTTTCGCCGGGATCGAGGACATGATGGGCGAACTGAAGTTCCGGGACGTGGATGGAAAGCACATGCTCGGGCCGCCTTATCGGCCGCCGGAATGAACATGGTGCCGAAGCGATCGAATCCTCAACATGTACATGGCCATTGTGAAGCAGCTCTGTTCACGAGAAGTCCATGATCAGTCAGGCGGGGAACCGGCCTATGCGAAGGACGCTCCGGAGTACCATCAAGCGACTTGCAAACAAGCTAAAAGTATTGTTCCCTCTTGTCGGACCTACCGAGTTCTCTGTCGTCACTAACTGTGATCTTTCCACTCGCAACGTTATCGTCAAAGACGACCAGCTCGTCAGTGTTGTCGCTGAACCGCGTAACTTTACCACGGTGGGCTGCCTGCGAGGGCCCCCTTTAGCTATGTTATGAACGATGGCCTGACTATGAGGGTAGATCCGAAACCTATGCAGCCCAAATTGCGCGTGTGAATTGGACATGAAAAGCCCGGCTGCGTGGATTACAGCGTAGCATTGCAGCAAAAATAACCGCCGTGCCGCAGGATGGTGTTCAGACATGGCATCCAATCATATAGCTGAGCGACGAGCGACACGAGCGCAAGCTTTCCCCTCTTCTTCTTCCTTCTCATCCTCCTCTTCTTCGTAGACTGTACTACTGTAGATGGTTTCTTCACAGCTGACCTCCCTCAATCCGTGTCAAAGCCTCCGGTGAAACACAATGTGATCAACGTGTACCGACTTATAGAATGGCGACCCTTTCCTTGACCCATTGGGAAAAGCTACGAGACACTTTGACACCCTTGACACCCCTATTCGCTTCAGTGGACTACGACGCCTTCCGTACGCACGGCCTTGGCGACATTTCACGACCGCGAGGTCTGTCCACACAGCTCTGAGCGGTAACTCTACTTCCAGCCTGCAGCGATACGTTTTCGAGACCGAACGAAACGGTGGCATGTTCTCGTCGCGCTGGCCAAGAACTAATCAAGCGATTACTTGATAGAGCGAGCTCGGTCGCACAATCAATTACAATGGACTATCGAATTTTATATGGTTATCCATATGGTCTTCCATGGTTAAGACTCGATGCGAAGAAGAAGCAGTTCCGTCTGCTCAGTCTCCACCTAGGAGAACCGAACGCAGAAGTCAGCTGCTCTTTACTCCGTGATTCCCTCGAGGGCATGCCCCTACAAAAATATGAGACCATCTCGTATGTCTGGGGAGACACTACGACGAAGAAGACAATCCGTCTGAACGGCTATGAGATCGGGGTAGGCGCAAGCGCGAAACGAGTGCTGCGGCGCTTCCGGCTGCCGCACCGGTCTCGTTTCCTTTGGATTGACGCCGTCTGCATTATTCAGAACGACTTGGAGGAGCGCAGTCAGCAAGTCGCTTTGATGGCCGACATCTACTCCAAGGCTGCGCATGGCCTCATCTGGCTCGGCGATGATGACGGGTACGCACATGCTGCGCGAGACTGCATCAACGCAGTATACGAAGATGCGCGAGGACAGACGGACAACTTTCGCCTACTGAAAGAGACGGTCTATGACGATACAGGTCGTCTGCGCTACTCGGCCACGGGCCTTGCGATCGACATAGATCCTGCCCCTCTAGCCCGGCTACTGGAATGCCCATGGTTCCAGCGTCTGTGGGTGGTACAAGAGGCATCACTAGCAGACACGAGCACATGCTATTGGGGCGATGTCAAACTATGGCTAACGAAAGTCCTCACGACTTGGTTGACGCACAAATATGCATATCTATCATTCGAGGTGCTGACGATGATGCCGAGAATAGATAACGCGTCGATGATGTGGGAGTTGGCTGATAAGGCCAATAGCCCATTCAGAGGCAGCTGGGCCAAGGACATAGATCTCATATTCCTTCTGGATATGGTCCGCTCATTTCATGCACACGATTCGCGAGATCATGTATTCGGCATTATCGGGCTGTACCAAAGATTTACCAATGACTTGGTGCCTGACGTTCCGCTCCCGGTGGAGTTGGTGCCCGACTATACGAAACCGTGGGCCGAGGTATACCGTGACGCTACGCGGTTCGCTGTGGAAGAAACTCGTGATCTGTCTTTACTTTACGAGTTGTATCGCCGCCCGGCTGAAATTGCAGACGACATGCCATTTACCAACATGGGTACCGCGCTGGGATCGGCCTTTAGATAGTGACCACGATGCAGAGAGTTTATCAAACTGGTTCAATGCAGATCTGGGCACGACAATGGAGCTTCTTGGTTTATCAGCATCTGGGATCGACGTTTTGTGTGTGAAAGGAGTCTTGGTCACAGACGTTGCTGCCGTATCAGAGCGCCTTACGAGACACACTTTATGGGAAGATAGCATGTCGGGAAGGATCGATTCTTTCAGGAACCTCCTCTCAGGCTCAGTGCCTCCTGGGGATGCTGCAGCAAGGCTCGGAAGTGCGCTCGCCATTACGTTGTGCGCCGGTGTTGATCGTTCAGAAAAACGTGTGACTGATAATTATGCTTCCCGCGCATTATCAGTATTCGAGGATTACCTAACAAAAGCCGGGACAACGCCGCCTTGGATAAGTGAGCTCAATGATCAGGCCCACTCCACCACTGTGATGGCTTCACAGTATCATTACAAGATGTTGGAAGTCTGCCATAATCGCTGCTTCTCCGTTACCGCAGATGCTCGGCCAGGCCTGGGACCGCATTTCATGCTGAAAGGGGATGTCGTCGCTGTGCTGTTCGGCTGCCAGCTCCCGGTGATACTTCGACCACTGCAGGAAAGCGGTCACTACGAAATACTGGGCATAGCCTACGTGCATGGCATCATGGAGGGCGAAGCGGTACAAGCGCATCGACAAGCGGGAGCTGAAGACGAACTCTTCTATATCCACTGAGATCAGACGTGGTAGTCGTGAACACCGCGATGACCGTCTAGGGATCCACAAAGCCGGGAGTGGATTCACGGAGTCGGAAGCTTGCTTGTGGGCAAGGAGGTTCAGACACTCGGTGTTGTCGCGCTCGACGGTGAGCCCCTGAGAGACTCCATTGGCAACAGCGGCGTAAGGTGAGGGTGTGGTGGAGCCCGGAGCAGGTCCGGAGGTCTGAGATGCCGTGAGCTACCGAGAGCAAGATATTTGTGCGCACTTGAGTATCCGACGATTGTTTCCATCATGTATACATAACTGAAAGGTAGCCTCAATCTGCATGCCCAAGCTCCAAGGGCTGGGGAGGTGTGGGGTCTACTATTATAGATATGTATATCTGTCTGCAATCCTGGTTCATTCATGCGGAATAGGGGTAGATTGCCTTTCTGCTTGTTCCCTTTGACCCGCTAACCACCAAATCCAGCACTGCTCACAATATTGCTGGAAACAGGACTGCCTCATGCATTTTTATTGATGGTTTGAAGTGAGTTGAGCTCATCTCAAATTCACCTTGATACCTGTCTAGAGGAGAAGATCCCGAGCCCACAACCACTTTCGAAGACCATGTACGCACCGGGCACGCAAGCTCATTGGAATTGTGATGCAGGAATTACGCAGGCGCCATTCCGTACCCTGCTAACGGAGCAGTCTTTTTCGTTCAGGAGCTCGCGCCTTGGTACACTCAGCCCTCATAAGTCTCCGTACGTGCATGTTGGCCAGATTCCATCACCAGTGGGATAGTTGGAAATACCGGAATAAGCATACAGGAACAAGCAGCTTTAGTCTGATATACTACATACTTCTGATGCTTATTCTAGTGTGCTTATTCCAATTAGATAAGTTTACCGTTGTTTGCTAAGACGGGTGTTGTACGGAGACTTATGAGGGCTCAGTGTAGCGGATTGTCTGGCTGCTCTGAGCTTCGGGATAAGGGGCTCGTCGTCGGAGTCGGGGGCGTCACCAGTATCTAGTCGCGAAGCTGCTCTGAGCTTCGGGATGAAGGGCTCATCGTCGGAGTCGAGAGCGTTGCCGGTATCTAGTCGCGAAGCTGAGGATTGAATGTCGAAGTCGGCCTGGTCTGCACGTTTATGGCTGCGGGTGTTTTGGCGAGGCCCGTCGACGTCTGCATGCCTACCATCACGTCGTTCTCCGACGATGATACAATCCGCCCCACGGTCCAAGGAGTCTTCCGAGTCTGATTGCGCAACTAAAGGGGCGCGACGCTTTCGCCGACCTGTCTTGAAGCTCCTCTGAGACACAGGGACCACCACATCGCTGTCCTCATTGGGAGGTTGTCGAGTCGCTCGGGGTTCGGGGCACGGCGTAGTCGCTCGTGTAGACATTCTACGTCGCTTTCGCCCGCCCTTCGGCGACTGAGATTTGTCTGAACCGGAGTCAGACTCGCTGTATGTGTGAGTAATATACGAGGAAGCCAACTTTCCGTTCGACCGGGTCAGCCTCCTCGAGGGTGTTGGGGTCTGCTTGACCGCAGACGACCGTACGATCTCGTCAAGAGATGGCAGCGAGACGGCCGAGCTTTCGTCATCATCCCAATTGGTGAGATTTTCACTAGTCCCGGGCTCCTCGGTCCGTGGCAACTCCTCTAGTACCCCGGTATCGTCTTGCTCACTCCCAGCGTCGTCGAGGTCGTCGAGGTCGGCCTCTTCATCCTCTTCATCCTCTTCATCCTCAAGAATATCCATCTCGTTCCCCTCATCCTCATCTTCTTCATCTTCATCCTCTTCGTCGGGTACTACGAAACCATCATCGGTGGCATATGACTCGTCGTTATCCGACGCTAGCCTGTCATCACCCAGGCCCAGCTTCTCACCCACCGGATTCACGATGGCCGCTGGAGCTCGAGAATGATACGATTTGTGCGGACGCTTCTGCTTCCAGATAATGTACATTCGTTCGATGTCGCGGAGTATATGGCGCCATTTGTCGCAATTCTTTAGTAGCCATTTCCATCTTCTTGGGTAATACAGGACCCGTAAATCGTGGCCTTCATACTTGCCGAACCAGATGATGGTCGACATAGGACTGATTCGTTCGTCGAGCCACTCAAGGTATATGTCATGCACATCGCGATACGCGACCATCTGCAAGGGTGACATTATTAGTTCAGTGCTATCGGTTTCACACCGCCAGGAGCGTTTTTCACCTACGTCCGCCGAATGTGATTTTCGGGAGAGATGAACCATATACCATCGATAATCGTCTGCTAGTTCATCCAGGCGCTCCCCCTTGAACTTCCCAAACCACATGACTGTAGCCCCAGGTTCGGCATCAAGTTCCTCCAGATTCCCTCCGTCAGCAAGAGGAACGTGCTCCATCTCGGGTCGGTCCCTTGTCCTTCTGTTCCTCAAGTCTCCCGGGGCGTTTTGCAGGCTCTCTCAAGCCAATGCAGGATCACTGCTAAGTCTGCTATCGCAAAGACCTGTGCGGACACTCGAAAGTGAAGAGGATAAATGAGACTCAGATTGGGCTGCGCGATGTTTTCGAAGCATTCGGTTCAAAGTAGTCGTTCTGCTTTCACGAAGGACCGGAAGAGCACGTCTGGGAGCCACGCATGAATACAATCCTGTGCTTTATTCCCAATGGACCTGGAGGACGAATATGGTTCTTGTAGCTATCAGAACTGAAATAGCCATGCTTCGCCATGAACTCTAAAAGTCGTACTTGCGCCCGTTTGTAAGTGCTGCCTCGCCACTGGCCCTAACAAGCAGAATATGTAGGCAGCCGGAAACCCTCATCCCACAAGCCGCTCCCTTGTCACAGTGAAAAACGCAAGCGTCCTCTTCTGAAGGAAACTCTCCTCGGGGACCTACCTACCTAACCTTGGCTCAAAAGCACAACAGCACGAGACGGAATTACGAAAAGATTCAGCATATGAGTGTATATTGTAACGAGATGGGAATAATATGTTTCGCTCAACATGTGCAGAGATTCGACGAAGGTGAAAGCAGATGGGCGTTATGGAGAATCACCTGGATACCTTGTCAGATTTGTTATTCAGGGATGCATATCGCTGTAACCGACAATGCAAAGCTACCAGGGCCTCGGTAGTTGCCGACTACCCTGAGAGCATTATCATCGTACGATGTCTGGACGATGATAGAGGGATCTGATAAAGGCACGCACGCCGGATTTTTAATGCAGATTGCCGTCCCTTGTATCTTTCCCTACTGCCGAATATCGGTATAGATTGTCCAAGCAGCCAAGATTGCTGAACGTGGGCCAAAAACATGGTTCTAGTTTCTAGTTCTACCTCGCCTAGCTGGGCAAGCACTCGGACAGGGCTCCCAGCTTCAAGCTATTACTAATTAGGTGTGTACATGTATCTCTTCGGTTCGAGGGGGATATATTTCACATGATTCCAAGAGCAATTGCTGCCAGAGCACAGGGCCATAGGGAAGCAAGCTCGGAAACCCTGAAGTCAATGAATGACATCTAGCTCAAGAAAGAAGTCAAAGCCAACTCTACATGGACTGCACGGGAACTACGAAAAGGGGCGCTCTACCAGCTCCAGTGCTCCGGGCATCAGGCCAAAGAATAAGAGGGGCAACCAGCTTCAAAGAGGTGCAGTACACAAGCCCCATCGAGAAAGACACAGCATCGCAAAGACTCTTGTAATACTGAATATCTGATGACAGCATTATATAGTCTTACGAATGAAGTCGATGTCTTTACAAAGGGGGGAAACGGCGGAAAGGGGGCGGAGAGAAGAACCCCACTATGTACCTAGGTACCTCTGGACCCCTGCTCACTGTTGGAGCCGGGCTCCGAACTGCGCTGCGAGGCCGAAAACTTATCAGATCCCGTCTCCAGCTACGTATTCGACCTGGGAAGATTTTACACTCCCTTCAATCCGGCCCTGTCCTGCACCACTTCTTGCGCCAACGAGCCTGCCGCTCCCCAGGCGACGTCTAGACACCTTTACCGAGCTCGACCACTCTCCTCGCCATACCTGTGCCAGATACAGGGCGAATAACCTCTCAACGTCATCACCTCCAGCCCCGGAGAGCTCCAGCCTCCCCGAGTTGATTCTCGCGCGGCAACTCGCCTGCCTCTCTCCCAGCCGTGACCCTGGCGCTTCAACCACGAGCCTTCGGCGAAGGCCCAACAGCTGTGGCCAACATGGCCCAGCCAAATGCCGAGCCGGTCGAGGAATACGAGTATGTTGCCCACCCAAACCGCCAGAGCGCTCCCGAGGTCGCGCGTAAGGGGGCTGACCGTGTGTGACTCCTTTAGCTACGAGTCGCTGCCGCCAAACTTCTCCCTCGCCCAGAACATGGTTGCTGGCGCCTTCGCTGGCATTGCCGTACGTCGTCATGGTTCGCCTGCCTACTGGGCGCGTCGAAGCTGACCTCTGGTATAGGAGCATACCGTTATGTATCCCGTCGACGCGATCAAGGTGCGCAATAACTTCTTCGGCCCGTCGCTGGACCTGAAGCTGATCTATCCATCGCAGACACGAATGCAGATCATAAGTCCCTCGTCCAGCTCGGCCTACAAAGGCATGATCGAGAGTACAATGCGCATAGCCAGTGGGGAAGGTGTTCTGAAGCTATGGAGAGGCATGTCCAGTGTTGTAGTAGGAGCCGGTAGGTCGCGCGCGGAATTCGGGTATACCTCATCAGCTCACAACTGCGTTTGAAAGGACCTGCACACGCTGTCTACTTTGCTACATATGAGGCTGTAAAGCACCTGATGGGCGGCAACCAAGCCGGTGTCCACCATCCTCTTGCGGCAGGTAAGCTTTACTTCTAGGTTCTCTGAGCACCCGCAGGCGCTGACACTTTGCCTCCCTTGCCAGCCACAAGCGGAGCTTGCGCGACGATAGCCAGCGATGCGCTGATGAATCCCTTCGATGGTATGTTGACCGCCACCCGTATGGCCGGAGATGCTGGTGGAGACCTCTTCTGACCCAGGCGCTAGTCATCAAGCAGCGCATGCAGATCCAGAACTCGAGCAAGATGTACCGCTCCATGCCCGATTGCGCACGATACGTCTACAGGACTGAAGGCTTATCAGCCTTTTACGTCTCCTACCCGACCACCCTGTCGATGACCGTCCCATTTACCGCTCTCCAGTTCCTTGCCTACGAGTCCTTGTCCACCGCCATGAACCCGAGCAAAACATACGATCCCTTCACACATTGCACTGCGGGCGCTGTGGCGGGTGGGTTCGCCGCTGCGCTGACGACACCCATGGATGTTGTCAAGACCATGCTACAAACCCGAGGGACAGCCACCGACCCCGAGCTAAGATCGGTGAATGGGTTCGTCTCAGGCTGCAAACTGGTGTACCAGAGAGAAGGATTCCGCGGTTACTTCAAGGGTGTTCGGCCGAGAATCGTAACGACAATGCCGAGCACCGCCATCTGCTGGTCGGCTTACGAGGCTTCCAAGTAAGCACAACCTCTCCCTCCCGGACGGCCGAGCTTCATTCGGGCCCGTTTACTGATGTTGTGTCGCAGGGCTTACTTCATTCGAAATAATGCATCTTCGTGATGGCATTGAACACATAAATCTATTCGTCTCAAAGACTTGATGTCATGCGGTATTGATCCTGGCTTATCGTCTCCCCAGGGTGGCCCGAGTATTTGGACCGAGTCCGAACACCGCTCCGCGCCCCGATCGAATTACCGCTTGGCATCAGTCACACACCCTCTCTCAGGAACCCCTGGGCACCTCTTAGCTATCTGTGGTCTTCTACGGTCGTAATTCCTGGATACCTGAGACTGGACTTTCCACCGAGTCCGATATTCCCGGTACCAGCCGGGCGACCCAAAGATTTTCGTGGAGCAATCAATGGGACAGCACCAAAAGTGGTCGGCAATTTTGACATTAATGTACATAGCTCTTGATCTTGCGCCATTTTCAACTTGGTGAGCGTTTGGGGACATATCGGTTGAGATAAAAGGACTGGACCTTGCACGCGACAGACAAGACGGCGTTCTTTGTTACTCACGATACCAACGTTTGGGACGTGATGGCTTTCACGAGGCAAGACCGTCACCTGTATAAATATGAACCACGATCATGGCGTCAAACGAGGAAATAGACCATTGGCTCAGGCGAGTCAAAGCCTTCGTCGAGTTACGTCCTCTGCTCGAGCTGTATCAATCATCGCCGTGACTTATAAATCCGCCACGGACTATAAACCCCTGGAATGGAGAGGAGTCTGGGCAGCTTTGAATATGCAATGAGAGGAGGGAACTGCGCTTTCAAGCGAGCCAGTGCTGAGTCTTCTATAAACTGCTAGTCTTCAGGAACGTTCCCAGCCCAAACTTCGCAACGACACACTAAAAGCTCAAAATCCGAGCCGACGGCCGACTCACAGGTCCTGACCGTCTAGCTACTTGCTCAACAACGTAACGCCCATCCCAGCAAGCGGTGCCCTCTTCGCCACGGCGCTCCCGCCCACCTGCCTGGCCCTCAACCCCCGTACATCCTCGCCCAAAGCCAGCGCCGTCGCGCCCACGCCCCCGCTGCGCCCACGCCAGCGAGCCACGTACGTGTCCTCGGCCGCCGCGAGGTAGAAGTGCGTCTCCAGGTTCTCGTTTCTGGTGAGGGGACGGGGACGGGGAACAGCATCGACTCGTAGCGCGTCCAGAACAGCATGGCGTCGGCGCCCAGGGCGGCGACGCTGTGTGTGAAGAAGAGCGGGTCGGAGGCGCTGGGGGCGTTGCTTAGGACTAGGAAGGTTGGGTCGGGGAGGTTAGGGAAGGAGGCTGTGGTGGTGGTGTCGCTGGGTGTGATGTAGAGGAGGTCGGCGCGGGTGTCGGGGACTTTGGGGTTGTGGGTTGGTTAGTTGTGGGTTTTGGGGGAGGGGATAGGGGCGAAAATAGGTAAAGGGGTAAAGGGGTAAAGAAGAGGGAGGAAGAGGGAAGAGGAGGAAAAGAAAAGGAAAGGAAAGTGGGAAGTATTCATGAAACAGCTGAATCGTGAAAAGGGGCCGTCCAGGAACGGACTAGAACCTGAACGAGTAGGGGTAATCTCACCCGTGTAGTTGAAAGCAGTCTGGATACTCGCCGGCACCGTCGGGCCGACGTACAGGTTGCCGTCGCCATACCACATCCGGAGCTGTACGGTATGCCCGTTCTCGACGTACTGAACCGAGATATTGTAGGCGTTGGATGCAGCGCGCTCACGCCTGCGAGTGCTGTGAGGGTTGCCGCTAGGCGGTCGAGGAGGGACGTAGTCATGTTGTTAAATGTGGCTGGTGTGATTATAGAAAAGGCGGGTGGTCCCGGCGCTGTTGCAACTGGACTAGCTAGACGCCTGATGTGGACTGTATGACGGAGCTCTTGGTGATAGGGCAGTTTGGGAGGAAGTTGGAATAAGCCCTAGCTAGAGTAGAAGATCAGAAGTAACCTGGCCGAAGTTGGGAGCTACCCCGTATACGAGCTCTTGAGGATGGTCGAGTATTATATGAGAAGGTAACCATAACCAGGTATGTACGTGAAGTTTTGTTGTGATAGTATTTGTGGTATTGGTTATGTACCCTTCGCATTATTGAAGGCGCCAGTATTTTGAAGTGGTATTAATTTACAAGCATCATTCTCGCTTGCATGTTTCTCATATGAGATGTGATCCCGTGGGGAGCGAGAGCGAGCTGGCATTGGGAGAACGGCAGTGGTGGACAGCCTGCAGCTGTACAAGAAAGGCAATTGCTAATTTGGGCCGCTATGACGGAGGCACCATGTGATGGAAATCCGGGGGCAGAAGTTATGGCGTTTGGAGAAGGACGCAAGGTGCCATTGGAGTTTAATATGAGACTGGAATCGTAATATGCCATATCACAACTCATGGTTCCGTATCCTGCTAATGTACATTGGTCAGCTGTTTGGTGGCACAGTAGCATATTGTCCTTGGGAATCAATTTGGAGCTGTCGGTCCCCTGGGTGTCAGACGACGAGATGGGAGGTGGTCGCCCTCCTAGGCGAATAGATTATCACATCGACGACATGCTACGGCCAGATTGGTGAGAAGTATTTTTTCAGCGGATGGTTGAAAGCACTGTTCACGGCGCCACCTACCTTCTCCATCGCCAGGATGAGGTTACAGCTGGATAAGAAAATGCTGCTTCCAGCTGTCACTTCGCCTGGTGGCTGTGTAGTGTAGACTCGACGACCTCTTGATAAGCAGCGCTATATTGTCTAGAGGTGCTCTTAATTATCAACACTAGATTGAGCCTGGGTGGTGGCTTTGAAAGTGGCGGTTCCTCCAGCGGGCTGTTTAGGCTAAAGGCATATGTGCCAGGCGACTTCCAACACTGCTGTTGTGGACAGACCGTGAGGAGAGCTGTTCATGAACCAAGTCCCATCCTTTCTTGTAGACGCAATACAGAGGCTGGACCGCGCATGATAGGTCATTGCTTGTGTGAACAACTGAAGTCGCCATTCCGAGCTATTGAGAGTCTAGTTCACTTCACGGTCTTGCAAGTGCAGCCCCTTTTCATGGCATCAACGGACTCCGTTTCTATGGCGGACAAGAGGTTAGTTCCACTGCGTCAGGACACGGAAGTTGCTCCTTTTACTGCCTGACAGGTACGCTGTCACCTTGGTCCTTCATGTTTCAAAGGGGGAAGCTGTCTGTTGTCTTTACGCCGAGTAACGAGTCGGTATCAGGGCACTGTATCTGCCGAATTGACAGAGTTATTGCCAATACACGATTGATATAGGGCTCCAAGCCGGCGAGAAGCATATCGATGGTCCTGAACGAGTTCGCCACTGACTTCACCGACTGAGTGCGACTGACAAGTACCATAGGCCACGAAGTTGGATCTGCTGGATATCCGTCGATATCCATGCCTTCCATGTCCTCTTGTTGTCCACTGGACGATGTAATGCCACCCAGGGAACTGGGATCACCGTCATCGTCTGCCTCGTCGTCTGAGCCAGAGAGAACTCTCAAGTCATCTTCTTCACTGGTTGATGCCTCGTCCTCTTCAATCTCCGAGTCGTCGATGCCCGAATGCTCGAAATCTCCCGGGTCTGAGCGATCGGCTTCGTGATCGGCATTATGCTCCTCCCAGTAAACGTCGACATGATTCCGGATTCCCGCCCGGATCCGCTCGTATCGGCTTACGCCATCATCTATTTCCCCGCTAAAGCTGAGGTCTGAGAACCAGACCAACGGGGCGATGTGAACCCTGGGTCGAGTCCCAGTCAAAGGTACCAATGCTTCCCCAGGTTCTTTTGCGGCAGCAAGTTGCTCTCGATATGCTCTCGCCTCTCGATTCACGCGGTAGGTGGGAACTTCGTAGCTAGCAAAGTCGTAGTGGTTGACTAGATTTCTTCGAGCCTGTTTCGCCATCCGCCTCGGAGTCCTCTTCCCCCACAAAGTCGAGAAAGAAGCTTCTGATCTTTTGCGACCCGCACCAGGAGAGGTCCTTGTTTCTCTTGTGGTCTGCACGCTCGGTACAAAAGTGGACTCCTCCAAGCTCGGGAAATGGTGTACAAGGTTCACAGGATGCCACCAAGCAGAACGGCCCGCTCCATCAAACAGATTCTGCTCTACGGCCAAGTTTCTCAGTCTCAAAGACACTGTTGATGCCTGCGCCAAGCACACTGGAGAGGCAAGCGTTTTCTTCCGGTTGTATGAGAATAACGTCTCTCTCTCGGTGATAACGGATCCGTCCGCGGCCGTCTCAGATCTCGATGACATCCGGGTACGCTTTCATGGCTAGAGTGCGGCTCTCGTGGTTCGTCGCAAGTACAGCTCTGGCTGTGGCAGTCTGCTGTTCCAAGACCACGCCCTCCCAGATGCTGCAGGCGTCTTGCTTCGTTCTTATTAGGTCAAGCTCAATCATGCTGGAGGAGTTGCCTAGGAGGTCCGGGCAGAAGAACTCCCAGATCAGCTGACGTAATTCGATGGGCAGCCGAGAAAACTGGGCGAAGGAGATCTGGTCTTCGTCTCCTCCGTCGGAACTGGACTTGTCTCCAGACTCGATGGCTTCGAGTTCAAGCAGATCGTTGCTTGCGACTGAGTCGTATTCTTCGTCCAGTTCACTCCCGCCTTCAGAGGCAGTGTCGTCCGGGGCAGGCTCATCCGTACCATGATGTCCGTCGGATACCGAGGGGTTAGGCATCTCTTATCGCTTGCAAAGGATAAAAACGACTAACGATCTTGCCTTTGTCGGTCGTGGGGTCCGTTTGTCGAAGCACACAATTTATCTTGGTCGTGGCGGGTTTACCGAGGGCTCTCTTGTACAATCGTTGCGACTATGGATGTCTTGACGCCTGAACAAGCCAATACCTTCCCCAGCACCTACACTGGAGCCGTAACCTGGCCGTATATTGATCAGATTCGGATCGACCAGGTAGGTAGGTGTACCGGTAGGTGCGTGCCGTAAAAGAGTTGCTTGATGTAGGCGGTAGATGTGGGTCGCGGGGTGAAGGATTTTGATGTTGTCTCGGGAACGGCAAAAGCAACTTACACTCAGCCCATATTACCCATAGGATACTTTTAAATACCGGAATAAGCCTTGAGAAATAAGCAGATCTAGTTCATACGTTACTCTCAATGCTTATTCCAGTATGCTTAGTCCAATTCGATGAATATACCTTACTGTTGTATGCTGGACGGGTGGTGTACAGTACGGAGACTCATGAGGGTGAATGCAATCCTCGTAGAAGAAGACTTCCGCCGCTTTTGCTGCGCGCAATGGCGGAAAGCGCTATGTACCGTCCCAAAAGGTAGCGTCGTTGCATTGAGTATCATGAGGCACATTTGGGAGCGCTGGATGCATGCCAGGCCGCCTAGAATTCGAGAGCAAATACTTCAACGAAGCCGAAGAGGCAGTCCAGCACATGCAACCCTCCCCCGACGTAGGTATCAACCCCAAACCCTCGAATTCGATGCAGAAACCCAGCTCAAAACCGTAGTAATGAACATCTGCAACGACCGCTATATGATGCATCGTGAGACGTCCACTTTCTGTCACTGGTCTAAGTGCTCCTGATAGAAGCGCCGGATTAGATGCTCTGATCGACGTCAGTGTATGTGCTCTGGGAACTGTCGGTCATCTCGATCTCCGAAACCGAGAGACACATTCTGGGTGTAGTCAATTGCGGAAGATGATGGGTTAGTACATCCCCGGCAAGCCATCCGTGGCAGTAACATGCATTGGCAGCTGAGATGACTGAGAAGAAAGGGGGTGTCGGCTGGATTCTGCAGGAGAACGACAATGTGATCATCAGGAAACCGAAAGTGAAGTGAAAGCAGATTGAAGTCGCACCTTTCAGTGACTGACGTGCGTGCTCCTCGAAACTAGTGCAACTTCTGCAAGGGCTCTGGAGGCGGATGGTGCTATGAGGCGGCGGGTGTCAATTTGGAGCAGTACCACGCCGGCACTCTTATGAGACAACGTCGAAAATTGGGCTTCCCTAGCGATATCAGGTGAGTCTTCAGTCATAGGGTGGTCTTCGACTGCTGTATCTCTCCCTGTCGTATGGTGGTCGTTGACTCCGGTCACTCTCCCAGTCATCCGGCGGTCGTCGACTACGGTCCCTGTCCCTCCTGCTTCTCCGCTGACGTACTCCGGAAGGCCTGAGCACGTACTCGGCCGTCTCAGGGTCATACTGCAGCAGCTCGACCTCCAGAGGCTTGAGTGGCGCCTCGGGCAACATCCTTTGGAAGCCCTCCTCAGGGCTGTACCTCGATCTCCAGAACACATCGGGCCATTTCCCACCATCTGCATGCGCTTCGATCACCAGTTTCCAGTCGTCTAAGGCTTTGCATTCGTACGGGCCCTTGTCGTTAATACCAGGTCCGCCGAGCCTGATCCTTGATCTGACCGAAGAATGAATGTACTCGTGGGTATTCAATAGCGGCTCACCCGTCTGCTTGCCGTTGGTGGGGTCCACGACACAGTAACGACCCGGGTCCCTAATCTTGGTGCCACCGACCGCATAGATACCCGCCATGCCGTCCCAAATCCTGCCGAAGGACCAAGGCCTAGGCTTCTGGTCGTGCTTCTCGTAGAAGTCTTCTGCATCCTCCCACTGGTCCAAGAGGTAGTCGATATCAAAGTCGATGAACGGCTGGCATTGGGCCATCATCCATGCGAGCGTGAGCGTTGCGACCTGCTGGTCGTCATAGCCTCCTCCGATATTGGCGTGAGCCCCCGGAAACCATACTTGCCGCAAGACTGTCCGGTTGCCCTGAAGCTTCTCCCAGAGCGTGGGTTGGAAAGCGTACCGGCGCTCATCGAGAGCAAGGGCTTGAAAGGCATGCTCGATGCAGTTGCTTAAGCTTGTGTCGTAGAACGAGAGCTCCTTCATCGCGTTTGACTGCAAGCCAACGCGCTGCAGCCAGCCTATCTTCGGCGTACCGAGGCTTCCGACGGTATCAAATACCCCGATCACCTTGATTCGAACATGCAATCGCGTCAAGCCTTTGCGCTCCAACGTCTCGGCGTATTCCGGATTTGCGGCACTAGGCTTATCCCGGAATGGGATGTCAGGATGCCTAGGCTGATAGTGCTCATCGTGCTGATGCTGTACATCCCTAAAGATCTCGGGCAGGAAAGGCAGGCCCGCTTTGGTCAACAAGCCTACGTCGCCTATCAGGCCAGCAATGGCACGAGCGGTATAAGCACCTCGCGAGAAGCCGAATATGAAGATCTCATCGCCGCGAACCCAGTTGGTACAGAGAAACTGGTAGCCTTCTCGGACGATCTCGGCGAGTCCAGCGCCGGTGGCGCCCATGAGCTTGTCGAGGACACCACCGCCTGCACCGACGCCATAGTGGTAGTAGGTGACCTGAGGTATGCCATCCGAGCTTTGCGTCTTGATAGCGCGGGAGAGGCGGGTGATGTTGGACGGGATGGCAACGTCTCCCTTCAGGCTGCCGGAGTCGGAGTTCAGCCATGTGCCTAGGTAGCATTATTAAGAAAAGGGTCCGGGTATTATCAAGACGATATTGACGTCAGCGAGACTCACCATCTTCACACAATATCAATCGTTTACTCGGTGCAGATGGCAGCAAGGACTGCATCCGCCGCCTGCCTGAGTTCGCTCGCGCGGGATCATCAACGGCGACCAGGCGCGACATGCCGAGGCACCCGCAACGAACCGCAAGGGGGTGGAGGTGTAACTTTAAGAAACCGGTTCATGCAGCTTCATTCGAACGCCCTGGTGGTTGTAGAGTTGAGCGCTAGCGAAGAGGGTGCACCTGGTCCGAGCGCCCAGCCACAGACCGTCTTCAATATCGTCTTGATACTCGACCAGTGATTTACCGTCTCGCACTCCTGAGTCCTGATCAATGCCTTTATACTGATCATAGTCGGGGCACGAGACCAAGGACTGGAAATACACATACGTCAAGCACATTGAATCTATTAGTCTAACTCCGCATCTCATCATTGCATGCAGAGCCGAACGCAAAGAGCTATCTTTGCCACCAAAGCACTCTTGTGGATAACTGACTATAGCACCATCTTCATCTTCAAATCCAACTTTGCCCCGTCCTCTGCACCCATGCTTCGTATTCCTCCGGCTCCTTCCCCAGCAACTTAACTTGCTCCCCATACTCCTGCTCACTCATTCCGAACCCAACCTTTTCAAACATCTCATACATCATTCTCAGATCCCTGCCCCAGCCGCTCTTCTCGGCATTGGGCCGTCCGCCCCCAATCATGCTCTCGAAGTGGTTCTCAAAGCTTAGCAGGCCAGCTTCGTCACTACGGCACATGTTGATAGCCTTCCCGCCAAGGGCTGTGGACCAGAGGGCCGTGACGTCGGAATCGGTGAAGCGGCGCAGCGAGCCGATCATCACTTTCTTCCCGCCCCATTTCTCGGTGGCGAGGAAGGCGTTGCAGGCTGCAAGGGCGATGTCCGAAGTGTTCACCCTGCTCACGCCCTTCGTGCCAAGCGGCTCGTCGAAGAATCCATCCTTCAGCATACTGCCCTTGCTCCTCACATCGTTGCTCATGAACAGCGTCGGCCCCAAGACGGTAGTCGTCCACGGGAACTCGGCATACGCAAGCTTCTGCTCGATCAGGGGTTTGACCAAGACGTGTCCGGCGGAGCAGATGCTCAGGAGGTTTCGGAAACCTTCGGGACTCACGTAGTCGCCGCAGGCCGAGAGGTAGACCAAGTGCTTCACTGTCCCCGCCCGCTGCATGGCGTCGAGGAAGTTGAGCGTGGTGAAGATCTCGTCGGAGCCGGTGAGGCAGAGGAAGACGGAGTCGACGTTGTGGGTGGTCAGGAGAGACTGGATCCATTGGGCGTCCTTGATGTTGCCTTGTTCTATTGCAGTGTTCCCGGCTGAAGCTGTGCTTGGGAGCTTTGACTTGAGGCGCTCGGCGTTGGAGGTGGGCAGGACGACCTTGATGCCATCGTGAGAGAGGAGCTGCGGGACGAGTTCAGAGCCGATATTGCCTGCTGCGGCTGTGACGAGGATGGTGCGTTGAGCTGCCATGATCTTGAATTGGAAGAGTTTATGCTTTGTAGAACTGGCGAGCCTGGGGTGACTTATGGTTCGTGCCTATATATCCATAGATCTCATTGCATTGACATCTGCGTTCAACCTCCAACAGAACACCGTCGGAACGCCGACAGAATTGATGCTTTGTAGAGCTGGCGGTGCTGGGCACGCTCAGTACCTTATGTTGGTCAGCCGTAGGATCAGGCGCCCCATATGACGAACCTAGGTAGCCAATGGCATTGACCGTCTCTCTCGGCCGTATCGTGCTTTCGGCCTGAGTTTCGAAGCGCGAGACCCGTATATTAGAAAGCAATCGCTGAGGGCTAGTATGAAGGATATGAGAAGCACCTACCTTCCATCGCAGATGGTGCTGCCGCCCTGCACATCATACCAACCCCGACGGAACCTCCCACGGAACCTCCCACGGAACACCGTCGGATCCTACTCCCCAACATCCATCTCATCATCCTCATACTTACTGCTGAATCTTAATACCCTCATCCATCTGCTCGGCATCAGAGGCGCTGGCCCTAGAACCAGCCTCAGCCCTCAGCCTCTTCCATCTCCTTGTCCACTTCCTGCGCCGCAAAGTTCTCATACCCTTCGAGAGATAGTAACTGATGATATCGTTCAACATCCTCTCGAGCTCTGTGTGAAGTCCTTCGCGCAGGGAAGAGGAGCGGAGGGTAGGTTATTCGTACCTACCAATGACAGTCAGCACGGTCGCAATCCGTCTTTCTAAGGACAGGTTGGACTTTTACTCTAAATTCGTGCTCATCTCACGCTGTTCCATAAGTTGAACACTCACTCTCCCCTAACCCCGCCCTCATCTGGGATGCGCCACGCATTCATGATAGGTGGGTGAATTAACTGTATGCTCAATTGATATGCTAGTACTCCCATGTCCTCCCACGAACTCCAAGAAACTCCGGTCAGCCTGTCCCAAGCAAAACCCCTCTGAAAGTAGGTCAACTACTAAAAGGGGAATCCTCCCGGAAAGCCTCCTCCACCTCCACCGGAACCGAACTGGAACTTAAACTGTTGACCACCGCCGCCCTGCTGGAACATGAACGGGTTGCCACCACCACCGCCGAACGGGCTTCCTTGGAAGGGGCTCTGTTGCTCGTGCGAGTTCGGGTCGTCTCCCCGGTCGAATCTTGCCCTGAGCTCCGGGTTGCTCAGTACCTCGTACGCTTCGTTGATACCAGCCATCTTCTTCTCAGCAGCCTCCTTGGTCAGTCCTGCCTTCATGGCCTTGTCCGGGTGGTGTATCTTCGACGCCTTCCTGTATGCCGCCTTGATCTGCCGCTCGTCTGCGTCATGGGCAACCTCGAGGATCTTGTAGTAGTCCTTCGTCTTGCTGCGCTTGAGGGCAACCTGAGCCTTCTGCATCAGAGGGTTGACGACGTTCTTCTTGTCCGGACTGGCCTCGGAAGCCTTGTTGAGTGATGCGATGCAGGCATCGAAGTCCTCGGCATCCAATTGAGTCTTTGCTTTATGCAGCAGTCCATAGAACGAGTTCTCGTTCAGCTCCAGCGCTTCGACACAGTATGTGTCTGCCTTCTTTCCATTTGCCTAAATTTACGTCAGCGAGTGGTACTTGATGGCCTCAGAAGACTACGACTGACCTCGTAATAAGCTTGGCACGCAGTCTCGACCAGCCTTGTGAGCAGAGCGTTTGGCGCCTTTTCCGGGATAATGCCATCCTGTTTCAACTCCTTGACCTGCTCCTTGACTTCGTTGATCAAGCCAGGCTCCTCACCAGACGGTACCAATAGCTTGACGCCCGACATGGGCTGTTTCTTCTCCAGAGACTTGTCGACCCTGGCCAACATCTTTTCGACGCTCTTCTCCTGCTTCATCAACTTCTTGCAGTTCTTGGAGTCAGGATCCGAATGCAGACACTTCTTTATCTGTCCCAGCCCCTGCTCCAGATCACCAAGGCCGTAGAAGGTAGTAGCCGATATCCGCATATGCGGCGTGGTGTCTCCGGGCTTCATTTGTAAAATGTGATGCATGTCGCCCATGCCCTCCTCAACTTCTCCCTTCTCGAAGCGACATCTTGCGCGCAGTTCTCGTAGGTGAGCGGCGCGGTTTGCGACCATGATGGCGGCGCCAGCCTGGTTGATACACTCATCCCAGTTTCCGGCTGTCGCAGCGGTCTCGGCCAAGCTCGCTGCACCCTGTGCTTCCACTATTCCCTCGAAGTCGGGGGCATCAGGCTTCTGTTTTGCCAATAGGTATTGTTCCTTTGCGCCATCCCAGTCGGCGCCCTTGGCCTTGAGCTTGCCCAGCTGCAAATGTGCGCCCTCGAAGCCTGGCCTCAGTTGCAGAGCCTTGTTGAAATCGGATGTGGCTTGCGACGTGCGACCGAGGGAGAGGTAGGTGGTGGCGCGTTTGAAGAAGGTCAAGTAGTCCTTGGGGTCGCGGGCGATGGCGGCATCGTAGTAGACCAGGGCTTCGCTCGTTTCGCCCTTGGCCAGGTGTGTTTGCGCCGAGGATAGCAACTGCGATATGGGGGTGTCGGCAGCTATGTCGGAGGAAGACAGCGCGTCTATCAGACCGCACGAGGACAGGATGCTGGCGGCGAGAGCCAGGGTAGACAGAGGGACAATCATGATGACGGGACTGGCAATCAACCGAGAACGCAGGGGCGAAGCAGGGTAAGCATCAACGCGACGAGAGACTGATTACCAAGTACCTAGGCAGGTGACGAGGGTGGAAACTTGAAAGGCCAAGTAGTAGAGGGACAATGGCAAGATATAAAGTACAACTGAAGAATGAAAGATGTCCTCAAACACCGAGGAATGAATGATGAAGTGTCCTAAGGTATTGCGTACAAGTATGTCGGTTGCATGTGTTGCGCAAGCCTCTTAGCAGAGTACGCCGAATGACTGCTGGATGTAGGCGGCGGAGAAAGTACTCCCTAAACGGGCCGACCCCTGCATTGACAAGCTGGCCACTTCGATGCTCCCGGGTCTTGCCTATGTCCCTAACTATGCCTGGCCAATCTAGAGCGCGCTAGGACAAAGTGGTGCGCCACAGTCTAACCCCACGTTTCTAGGGGCTTGGCAGTCTGTCACATGCAGTCCTGAGTCCTCTTAATGCGCCCTGCAATCCATGTTTATCACTTTTTATATAGTTTAAAGCTTTGTTTTAAAGTTAAAAAAGGTTTATTATTAATTATTCTTAACTTTAACTTGTTAAAAATCAGAATGTAAATATTTCTAATTTTAAATTTTCGTATATATTATAAGTAGATTTAACCAACTAGAAAGGTTATTATATTTTTAACGGCGAGTAAACTTTAAAAGAGATTCATTCAAGTCGGTAAGGCGGTAAAAAAGGCTTTATTAAAAGAGGATAGCTGTAAAGATATTAACGGCTTTTAAAGGTATTTAAACATTTAACGAGGCGACTTAAATTATCAAAAAACCTAAAATATAAATAATACATAAGATAAATATAAAAAAATAAGGGTTAATGTAGTAACGAGATAACAAACTAAAGTATTGATGCGTAATAAAAGAGCCTGGTATTTATAAACTAAGAAAACGATAGTAATTTAACTTATTAACGTGTAAATTATAAAAACTAGCCTTTAAACTTTTAATTTTTCGTTTTATTTAAAGTAAGTAAGTAAAGTTAGTAAACGTTTATAAAAAGGTAAGAGTTAAATTAAACATATAAGTAAGTGTTTAAAAATGATAAAAGAGGTAAAAAAAAGCTTAAAAGGTATTAATTAACGATCGATATAAAAAAGGAACGAACTTTAAAAATATTAACCTTTTTGTCACAAAATAGCAATTGACCACCACACCAATTGGCTAAGCTCCCCACCAAAGGATGTGGAATATTCAAGATGGCGACTGAATATTCTATGGTGGTAGATATACCTGACGTTCCACGGGCTCCAGGGCTCTGTCTCATTCGGACATACCTGTACCGTATTAGAACGTCACACTTTTTATGTTTTATTAGCTCTGACCATAATTATGAAAAATGCACTAAGCTTTTTAATTATTAGCTAGGTATATCAAACGATCGGACGATCGGTTGTTTTACGGCAAAATATATATTAACAAGCGAAAATATCAAACATAATAACTGCAAAAACGTATATACGTTTAAAGATTTATTTATAATCGGTAATATTATAAACCGTAAAAATGAATAAGTTTATATATCGCTTATAATAAGGTGATTTTTAAATTATATATCGTATATAATTATATATAATTTTATTTTATTCTTAATTTACTAATATAATATATCTCTTTGTAGTTATAATTTATAAAATAATAAATATGTTTAATTAATTAAGAATAAAATAATAGTTTTGAATAATATTATTTCGTCGTTTCAAAAACCAGCTTAAAGTAAATACCTACCTACCAGTTATGTATAACCGATAAGTTTTAAGCCGTCCGATAATTAATTATATACTTATATAAAAAGACTTTAACAAGTATAATACGACGTTAAAATAAATTAAAGATGAAAAGCTGAAGGGCGTTGAAAACGAAAAGAACGAAGCGGAGTTAAAAACGACCATAAAGACAAACCAAAATTAAATACAATGTTAAAACTCTTTCCAAGTTAAAAAACGATAAAAGAAGATGGACTTTTTTAAAGGTATATTATACGAGTATCGGTAATAATTTAATGCTATTTAAAGCCGACTGTAACTCGGAAATAATTAACGACCGAATATAGTTAATAAGCGGAGGTTTTAATACTTGTAATCTTAAATCGGTTTACTTACGTATTTATACCGTTAAAAATGCTTATAATATTACGTATATTAAGAATGTTAAGGATTATTAAGTTGAAATTATAAAGGAGTATTTTATTAAGCGTTATTCCAGGTTAAAGTTATAGTTAATAGTTTAAAAAGATGATGTGAAGCTTATTAATAACTAGAACCACTTTTTATAAAAAGGTTTACAAAGTTTTCCATTTAACGATTAAAGAAATTAAAAAGAGTAAAAAGAAAAGCGAGGTTATCGATTAACGAGTTGATTCAAAACGGCTTATACGAGAATAATTGTAAATTTTAAAGCTTAACGGCGACTTAAAAAACGGATTTAGTATTATTTTTACGAATATACTAAGAAAGTTAAATATAATAAAGTTCATATATTTATTGAAAGATTTTAAAACGTTTAAAAAAAAGTTAATAAGTTTTAAAAACGTACGTTAGACAAGTATACGCGTAATATAATAAACGACGAAGCTGGTTTTTAAGATTAAGTTATATAAATAGCAGACGAAATTATATAAATAATAAACGTAGACCTTTCGTTGTTTTTTAAAGTTTTTAAACGGCTTTTTAAGTATTACGATAGCGATTAAAGTTAGTGAACAAATGAAACTATTTTAACGGTTACGATATCGATAAATCTTAAGTTTTCAACGGTTTTCAGTTATTCATTTAAAAAGATCGAGAAGATTAAGCAGTGCGCTAAAAATAACGTTGGGGAAAATTTTATTTAAGACGTTAAATTTTTTGGCTTTAACGTCGATTATATTAATAAGACGCTAATAATTATAGGTAAAGTTAACGATATAGTTAATAACTGTTGGATCCATGCAATTCCAGACTGCAAACCATCTATACCAGGACCCACATGTATGATTAGATAAGATAAGATAGTGGATTGAGAGGGCACTTGGCCAGACCTTCGAGTCCAGCTAGATTCCTCTCAATCCAACCATCAGCAACATCATGACCTTGACACCATACTCGAGTATTATGATTGATCGTTCAAGCCTGTTCCAACAATAACATTTTCAACCCGTTTATAAAAATTAAAAACCTTAAAGATTTTATATTTAAATATTTTAAACAGTATTCTTATACAATTAATAGTTAAGTATTAGTTTATTAAATAACGTTTATTAATTCAAACGAGGTAGTAATTATATTATATAGTCTTTTATTAAATAAGTTAAACTTATAAATCGAATTACGTATTTGATAAGTTTTATAAGATAATCCTTGTATAAAATATAAAGCGTTTTTTATACACTTGTATTTACTTTATAAACTTTTATATCGGCGGTATGAAATAAAAAAAAGACGCCAAAGGTTGAAGAGCGTATACGAGGATAGTCAACGTTTTTAAAGAGGTTAAAAATAACGAGTTATCGTAATATTTACTTTTAATAACGGAAGAAAGCCGCACGACCAGGCTGGGATATATATACTCAAGAGGTTAAAAATAAAGGTGTAAGGCGGAGAGAAGGATTATTAATAAAAGTAAAATCGTAATTTTTTAACTTTCGTAGTAACAAGATCGTACTTTTTTATATTAGCTTATACGAGGGTTAAATAAGCGATGATTTAATTATATTATCTTTTTGAAAGATTGTTAATAAAAGTAAGATCGTACCTTTTTAACCTTTATAATAATAACGGCGTATTTTTAAAGCTTCTATGAGGGCTAGATAAACGAAAACTTAATTGCATTATTTTTTATGGCTTATTATCGAGTTTTTAAATATTATTAAAACGAGTGTTATTATTGTGAATATCAACTTTAAGCGTTTCAAATATTCTACTTTAAAATGTTAAAAGGTAAAAGAAATTTGTTTAACCCATTGAACGACGTTTATTAATATAGATAGTTAGGGTTTTTATCTTTTAACTATTATTATTTTCATAATTCTTAAGTTATATCGATATAAAGTCTTAAACCGTTTTTATAATTATAAGCGTAGATTTCATAGATTGTAAATTATGGCGTTAAAATTAATAGCTTTGCAAAAAGTAAGAAAGGTTTAACTAAGGCTAAAAAGTGACTCAAAAAACCTAATAAGAAATTAATAAAAATATATAATTATGTTTTCGTGATTTAAATTTATAAACATATTTAAGATAACGTAGGTCACAAGCGAGCGGCAATTACAAGCGAACGGCAACTTTTCACCAATCTTCTAACCAACATGTCAAATAACTCGACCACAACGCATTTAATTCAATCTAATCAATTGGATTCTTCTTCTTCAGACGTTTCTATCTCTATTGTACAAGTTCGCGCATTATGGCCAGTGTTGCCGCAAACGCCACAACATCGCTCACGCGCTGCCGCCCTCCTCGGACGACGACTACCTTCACCCATTTCCTGTCTTGCCAGCTCACCACCATCCTTTACAGCCTGGAGACCTATTGCATCTTCAACGGAAAGTACTCCTCCTTTCACTAGACGTTTGTTTTTTGTCCTCCGGCGTTTACTTAGTAGGTGATTGGCCTCCTCTAGCTCGCGGACCCGGGAATCAATCAAAGCGACCTTGTGCATAAGACTGTATGTAGCCTTTGAAAACGAGCTCAACGCATCAATTATTGATGTAGGTGAGCTTCCCTGGTGGTTTCTGACTCGATTTTGGATATGAACCGATTGGTTGACCGCTTCGTTGATAGTGGTAGGCGTCTTCGAAGTCCAAGTAGTGGGTGGCAGATTGGGGTCTGGCGACGGTGTTCGTACGACAGCGACAGCATCCAGTTTCGAAATGACACTTTCTGGGTCAAAAGGAACAAGCCCAGTGGCACTGAAACCTGCTCGAATGTTCCCTGGCGTCATAGCAGCGTTGTGTGCTTCACAAAACGCTGCAAGGAAGTCCTCTTTCGAAATATGGGTTATATGACGCCGCATGAGATCCTCAATCATGCGACTGTACGCTCGTTTGAGCGGGCTAAAACAACTGACATCTAAAGGCTGGAGCCTGTGTAACGAGTGGGCAGGCATACAAAGGGTAATAATGCTGTTGTTCTGGCAATATCTCTCAAAGATCTGGGAATGGTGGCTTTTGTGACCATCTAGGATGAGGAGGCGTTTACCGGCAGTCATACGCGGTCTGGTATACTTGTCGAAATGCCGAATCCATTCCAACCCAATCTCGTTCGTAGTCCACCCATTATCGGACACGGCCACCTTCCAATCGCGTGGTAATGTCGTGTCGCGATACCATGACGCGAGGTGGGTTTTGCCCTGTAGAATGATGAACGGCGGGACCAACCAACCATCAGCATTGACAGCAGAAATTGCTGTAGACCATTCCCTGTTGCCTTGCTGGGCTTGTCTAGGCCTACCACGTCTTTCGGCGCTTGTAATGACCATGCCGGACCCAATAATGCCCATCATAAACCCAGTCTCGTCGAAGTTATAAATATCCGCGTCTTGGATACCATGTTTTGCGATTGCCGCCGCAACTTGGCGAAACCACGCGCGATACGCGTCCGGATCTTCGTTCAAGACCCTCTCGTAGTCCATCCTCCGATGAAAACGCGTCCGGAGGCCTGGTGTACGTTTAATGAAGTTCGCCGTCCAGTTCTTTCCAACGCGTCCAGCCCCGCGCGCCGCCAACAATTGATTTGCCATATCTTCAACATAAGTGTACCGGGGCAGAAATGCTCGCGCATCCAGGTTGATTATGAAGGAACAAATGGCATTCTCTTCAGAAACCGTAAGTTTCAAAGAATTAGGCATGCTATCGCGTCGTGATGGTCGGCCGGCGATTCTAGCCTTCAAGGTATTGTATGGGACATGGAAAGTCTTAGAAAGCTTGCCAATGGTAATATGAGGGTCGTGTCGCTTAGCTTGGACAGCAAGCTGTAAGTCTGATTCGCTATAACGCAATGCCATTATTGTTGGTTGATCAATTAGGAGCCTTGATTGAAAGGTTGGGTGGCTGGTGAAAAGTTGCCGCTCGCTTGTAATTGCCGCTCGCTTGTGACCTACGTTAGATTAATCATGTATATACTTTAATAAGACGTTATTTATATTGTGTAAAGTTATTACTTTCGAATTACTATTAAATAAACGAAATTAATTTACTTATAAAATTGGTTTAAAATGCCGTTATAAAAGTAAACGAATTATATGTAATGAACGAAAGCGCTTAAAGTTATTTTCAGGCTGTATGTCGTTTTTAATTTTTTATTTAATTTATCATAGTTTATTCTTAACGCGTTATAAGTAGTCGAGCGAGGAAAGAACGTTAGATGTAATATTTTTAATATTTTATAAGGAGAGATAGTAATATAGTTAAACTTAGCAGTGAAGTCGAGAATCAAAATATCAAAATCGATTTTACTTATCGTCAAGGATTGACTTTCATAAACTGTAAGAATGAAAATTACGACAAGAAGGAGTTATATACAAGTATACAAGATATTTTTATAATCATAATTACGAGTAGCTCGAATAATAAGAATTATAAGAGGTTTATTATTAGTGCGGTAATCGATAAGGCTGGTATATTTATAAACGAAATACTAACGGATAAATGGGTAAATTGGAACGAAATACATTTATCGAAAAAAAAAACAAGAACAGAAACGAGAGGTTTAATACTTCAATTAAAACCTACGCATTAAACGATCTTTTTAACGGTACCAATAGTATTATTAACAAGTAATATAAGAGACGGCAAGGCCGCTTCCGGAAATGGTGGCTTGAACATGCCATTTTGGGCACCTGCCCTGTCGGGCAATCCTCGGGCGTGCAACCTCTCGCTGCTTTTCGCGCACCCAGAAATGGGATCAACCCCTCATGTACCTCCCAAGTCCACTTGTACCTCTTCTTCCCTTTGCTCAGTTCATACCACGCTACGGCTGACTCCATCACAGCCCTGTCTGTATTCCGAATAGCCTTCATTCATCAATGGCATCAGTGGCCTCCAGCACCCTGCAATCAGCATATGGCTTTATCATCGCATGCGCCATTACAATATTGCTTGTGACTTATCCTTGGCCTTTGAACTTACGCGCTGTGGCTGCCTCATAAGTCACCGAATGGGCCAAACAGTCAACTCGTCGCAGTCTACTTGGGCACTTCCATGAGCGCCCATGGAAGAAGTAACCAGATCTGTATAATAACACCTCACGTCATGGTCTGGCCAGACCCTAAACCTGCCCCGTGAGAAACGGCACAAAGGTTTGTGCCGTCACCTCATTACGGCCTTCTCCGAACCACAAGGGGCATGAAATTCCTAATCCACCAGCTTGTGATGCCAGAAGCGAGCAACGGCAGCTGACTTTCCTAATCGGGCAACTAACTGTTTAGGTCGTAATTTGACCCAACATCCAGCCGGACAAGGCCGAAGGGTCAGCGGCTCCCCCGATACCTGCAGCATGTCATAGCGACGATGGAGCTTAGTGGAAGGCAATAGTCATCTCACACATTCGGGGTACCCATCTATAAGAAAAAGTTTTTGGTCTCGATTATCAACATCAGCAGGGCGTTCTTCCGTGCAAGCAATACGACTTGATAACGGATGCTCACGAGGGTTACAATGCCAACAAGACTGCCTCTTCAGGGAATTCTGTATCCATTATGGCTTCTTGACTCCGTCAAGCTGATGCTAATTACCGAGGGCTCACAATTGCAAGGTGGCGTGCGCCTGGTTGAGGAGTCGTGCACCAAAATGCCGCCCATGATGCCACCTGGACTGGCAGTATCTGTATCCTTGTTGCATAACCCTTGAAGCTGTAAGGGTTAAGCCATTGAGCAGATGGATGCTCCTCGACTGATACCTGCTAATTTGACGCATTACTGCCTACAACCCTGCAACCCTTGTGGTGGTAGGCAGTCGAAAGTAACCCCTGCATTGAGAAACTTTTTGGGTCTTCGCGAAGCTATGGTACCTGCTCGAAAGCTGCGGAAGATACAAAGAATCAATGTAACAGACTTGGCACCATTCCCAACGCCTGCTTTCAGCCTTAACGACACTCTAAAATATCACAAGGGTCACAAGGCATTGCTTGCCCGCTACGATGACCTCTTCAGCCTAGTTTTACCTCTTCAGGAAGTCTTCGTCTTGGCCTCGCTACCATCTGCTCATATCTGTTCTCAGCTAGTGACGAGCTGGACCAAAGGCCAGGATCGCCCACAATGAAGGTGGAGCATATTAGGCTATATAAGCGTGAGTAAACGCCTCGTCAGCCATGGACAGGGTATCTTGTTCCTGTGCCCCGTATCCTCATGCTAAGGCACCTCTGAGAGGAATGGCTGGTGACCCCCCTTTTCAACCTTGCCGGATGTGACTCTCCGGCTAGCCGGCCCCTAACGGGCCTCCCAATTAGCCCAGGTCAATGTTTCTGAGACGTCGTATACTCTTTCAGAACTATCTGCAGAAAGGGTCTTACCGCCGGAGAACCCGTGAGGCTGATGTTGACCCGCTCTTGACGATCTTGGCGAAATGGAATCAGATGTGGCTACAGACTATCGTATGATGTTTTGCTGGTATTGTCATTTTGAGATGGTCAAGGATTGCAAGGATGCGGAGACGTGGCAGATGGTCATATACCGCCTTCTCGAGAGCTACAACCTATTTTGGACGTCAAACACGTCAGGCTTATCTCGGCAACTGCTGGTACATTATGATAATCAGGCATTGCGACTAATATAGACTGAGAGCTGGGTTTCTTGGCAGGGTGTAAAGTATATAAGTCGTCTTTCCTCAGTCATTTGGGGGAAAAGTGTTCTGACTCAGTCTTGCTTTATCTTGTCCTCATGTCTACTTTGAAGTTCAAGGCATGGCAGCCACCAAAACCAAAGCCAAAGCGAACAACTGTTGCTCCTACATCAAAAACAAACCCTCAGCAACCTATGAACTTCTTCCAGATGCCTTCAATCCACAGCAATCTTATCCCTCGAGTCGATGATGAGGCACTTAACTGCTATCAGACCCAGACTGTCCAGCGGTCCCTTGGGGGAGGTTTCACTGTTCAAACACCATTAGAACAGGACACTGGAGCTTTCAGTCACGGGAAACCATCCAATGACGGCCCGGCGAGGATTTTAAGGCAGCCCAGGGCATTCCTTGGAAATGCTGGTAGTACAGACTTGGACGACAGTACTATCAGCCTTTGCCAAGCCGCTGCTTCTACAGAACAACCATCAGCCTGCCATAACATGGATAACACTGCGGATATGTGTAAGTAATATACTTATCACGAGAAAGCTTAGACTGATCTTGTCACCCCGTAACAGGTATTAAAGACTATAACCATAATTATAGCAGCCCGGAGAATGCCAACCCCGACGACTCTACCTGGTCCCAAGCCACACTTGTGTCGAGCCTGAACTGCATGAATAATGACAAAGATGCCGAAGCCCGTTCTCTAGCGGCCAAACTATCTGCAGATACACTGGTCACCTCTTTCTCCGAAGGTCCATCTCCTCGATTGTGCCAAAACCCCTCGGCTACTGACCCTGGCAGTGGTGCTCTAATACCGAACCCCGATGCTTCCGAGCCCGTTCTGAACGACATTTCCCGACCCCGCCGCACAAGGTCTGGTGACAACCATCTTGAATCTGATGGGGAGAGGTACTCCGATAAGCTTGTCTTGAGCCCTGGTCAGATAAAGGAATACATTAAAGGAACCAAAATTCACCCTCGGGCTGAATCATCTGTGGATCTACTGACGGCCCCCTCCCCTATTACAGAAAGGGCAACACCGCCAAGAAGCTTGCGCTTGCTGCCTTCTCGAATGCGAGTAGACAAACTGGGCAGGTCGATCCCTCATCATGTCTTAAGCCAAACCAAGCAGTTATCCGATGGTTGAAAGCGACTTGCAGAAAGTCCGCCCGCAAACCTTCCAATAGAGAAGCGACGGGCCAGTCGACGATCCCTCCGTGACCGAACCAAACAGAGAACGCCTATCTCAGAGGGCGTAGCAGACACCAAGCGAGTTCGGTCACGTAAAGTTCAAAACCGAAATCAACAATACGAGAACCTTTATGCGAGCACTTGAAGTAATGGCAGGCCTGGTCACGAAGTACTTGGCTCAAGAATACTTGCCTCTCCTACTGTTGCAGTTCCAGAATTACTTGTGGCAAGTTGCGACGCTTGTGGCTTTTCTGCTGGGCATATCCTCGAGTTATACAACTCAGTTGAAGCTCTGTACAAAAAGGAGAACAGTGTGACCATAATGCAGCTGTTCTTTGGTTTCATTCGCAGTCATACCACCCAGAGACTTGCCCAAGGCGGGCAGGCTGCAGATATGAATCGCTCTCATAACAGTGTGGCTCGCAGCCCCTCTGTTATTCCTTCTATGACGCCAATACCTCTATACAGCATGCGAAACGGACACATCGAAAGCGTCGAGAGCGATAGCGATGCAGGAAGCCAGGCAGGTAGCTATGACTCTATCCCGGACCAAAGTGCCGGTTCAGGAGAAGAGGACGACACAGTGGTCAAGAGAAGTCGATGGACAGAACTCAAAGAACTTCAACTGTGGGGGTGGGTGGCAGAAGAAAAGGGATGGTTGTGGATTGCGAAGAAATTGCACCGAAGCGAAGGGGCCGTCTCACAGCATTGGGTCATTATGTCAAAGGAAGGCTGGGAGGTATAACAGGTGAACAGTGTCTTATAAGAGGCTTGTTCATCAGGCATTTCATTGTCTTTGTTGCGTTTGCTTGTAGTTTAAAGGGCGCTTTTGTTTGATAGATGTTGACGTTATGCAGTGTATATTCAAAGTTATACAGGTTTAATCGGCGTGACTTTATTAGAAAAGACAAGTCAGTAGATTGATGTCATAGGCCATATGACAGGCCCTGGCAGAGTAAGACGGGCTGAAAGGATACATACCGTCGTTATGCTAGCAGAATAAGATGGGCAGAAAAGGTACGTACTGCCATTATGCCCGGCAGAATAAGATGGGCAGAAAAGGTACGTACTGTTATTATGCCCGGCAGAATTGAATGGGCAGAAAAGGTACGTACCTAAGGCTAGGTGTGGCAGAATCGGTACGTACCTTGGTAGGGTTTGGCAGAAAAGGTACATACTTGTCAGCACAGATTCCACAACATCGGCAGAATATCGCTAATCTGTGCTCGTCGTGGCAGGCGTAAGCTATACAGCCACTACCTCATTGTGCGAGGCTGAGGGGGGGCGCTATTCCTTTGGCTTCACTACCTGCCTTCGACCCCTCTGCTACCCATCTAATCATAACCATTGTGCTCCCAGTTGGCAGGTAGGTTCTTAGATCAGCCGGTCTTGTCAACATGTTTTTGTTTTGGTCACAAGCTCCTTTGCTCCTTTCCTCCCTTGATGTTACAACTACTAACTGGATGTGCGCATAGAGACTTGGCTCCAAATATCCTTCTCTATCAAACCCGATCCACGCGACGCCTTACCTACGGACCTGCCCTCCGACACCCTCGATACTACCGCCATCTATGTTACATCCAAAACTCTGCCCCTGTTCAATATGATGGACACTGCTAGCTATCAAACAGCAAGAGTTAAGGGCGCCGCTTTGGCTTGCTGTTTGAGCTGTGGCAAGAAGTACGACCCAGCACGCAGCCCTCGATAGCATCATTTCCTATACGCCAACGACGATGGAACCGTCAGTCCATACGACAGTACCTGCCACGACCATATTGCCATACGCGAGACCCTGTAGAACATTCGATCGACAGCATTCGCCTTCCGCGATGGGCTTGCGGATGACGTTGTCCCTCAGCTGCTGGCCAGGCTGCTGATGGCATTCGAAGCCCAGGAGGTTGGCATGGACGAGGTAATGGCATTGGCTGCTTCATCGGTCTTACAAGAGACGGCCCGTCACCCTGGCTGTAACCGGATCACCTGGTGGATCATGGACAACGACAGTGGCGATCCTATAGCAGATGTCGAAACGAATCGTCTTCTCCAGGCTCGGCTGCCATTCTTGGCTGCTCGCGCTGTGCTAGTATCGCCCGACGGGGTTGGGAGGGACACCTGCTGCATAGCCTGCGCCTAGACGGGGGTTCGTAGTGGTGAAGTGAGCGCCTTGCTGGAAGAGCCATGCATAATGGTGTTTACGGGTATAGACATCCAAGGCTTGAAACGCATTTTAAACTAAGATATTATTACCATTGTGTCGAATACACGTTGAGTTCACATCATGCGCCCAATCCTCGGCTTCACCGGAAGACCTTATCGTCATCTTCTTCACAGATTTGATCTTTCTTTTGGATATTCGTCGTGTATCGGACATTAAATCGAACTTCGTGTCCCTGCTCGTGGGCGATGGCGTTGAGAGGGAAGTACACGTCTACGATCTGGGCTTCGGATGCACGGGAGGAATAGTCATCGTCGTTCTTGGCGTTGGCCAATGCAGGACGGTGGTGCTCGTCATGTTGGTCAAGTCTTTGGGTGAAACTTCTCAAAGACTCTGGGTCATTTACTTTGACTGCATACTACTAGTCAAACTACCAAGGGAGTTTTTGAACTAGTCAATCTAGTCATTCTGTGAAAGCAGCGAAAGGCCATGGACATGTTGATCTATGAGTAATCTTCACAGCAAACAGGGAGAATCTCGTGGGAGATCATATGGCATATAATTGGCGGCGAGAACCCTCGTTTGGAAGGTAGCTACAGACGAGCCCTAGGGTCAGAGCACGGCATTCTAGAAGCCCCTATAATCCGTGCCGTCAGAGACAGGATTCAGGGGCTACGGCCGTTAGATGTGGCAGTGAGAGTAGCTGTCATCTAGGAGGTCTCAGAGAATTGAAAAACAAATAAACAAGCAATTGATCAACGCCTTCCGTGCTATCCCTCCTTCCAGTAAGTACCATGGCTGGTGGGCGGGTGAAAAGGAGTTCTGGCGACCAATTTGCGTGTGAATAGGTTGTTGAAGATGGCAGGTTAACAGTGGTTGGGCCGGAATTGCATATGTAGCCCCACAGACCACGTACGGAATAAAAGACACCACCATCAAACTGCAGGGGTTCGACTGCATCGTGCTGATTATGTGCTGCTTATTGGAGTGCAGCCGGTCCAGTAGTTTCAGTAGAATCAGAATTGGTTTTCTTTGCTAACAGCCTGACCACAGCCTCATGCCCGCCCTCTGCCGCCTGCGACAGCGGCGTCCCGCCGTCGCTATCTTTTGAGTCGGGATTGACGTTCCCCGTGTCGAGCAGCAGCTGGACCACGGCCTCGTGCCCGTGCCATGCCGCCTGCGACAGCGGCGTCCCGCCGTCGCTATCTTTTGAGTCGAGATTGACGTTCCCCGTGTCGAGCAGCAGCTGAACCACGGCCTCGTGCCCGCTCCCTGCCGCCCACGACAGCGGCGTGCGCTCGTTACGATCTTTTGAGTCGGGATTGACGTTCCCCGTGTCGAGCAGCAGCTGGACCACGGCCTCGTGCCCGTTCCGTGCCGCCAACGACAGGGGCGTCCGCCCGTCGCTATCTCCAACATTCGCGAGGAAGTCTCCAGCCAGTGTCGCAACAGCTCCCTTCAGACCGAAATAAGCTGCCAGGTGTAATCCGGTCATGTGCTTTGGCGTTGTCTGACTGTAACCTTCCCACTCATAACCATCACTAATCCCGAGGAGTTGACTTGATGCTTCGACTTGGGCTGGCTTCTGGAGAAATGAAAGAACATTTGGACAGTTCGATACTTCGTGGCTATGATATCCCCAGTTGCGAGCCGCGTAGTCATAAAAATGGTGCAACTTAAGCCGTTCCTTGAGTTTTTTGTCTGTTGCCACGTATCCGTCTGAAAAATCGTTGAAGGCAAGGTAGGTGGTACAGACTGCCGTGATGGAGTCCTGTGCGTCGGGAAACCAGTCGCTCTTAGTCCGTTGAAAGTATTCCTGTGTTGTGTAATGAACTAGGTGGATGATACTGCTCTCTTCATCAACGGTCACCAGCCCAGCACATATAGAAACCATATCTCCTATTTGTGGGAGGTTATCTTGGTCAAGGTTCGGCTGATCAATTTCGACGGCCAGTGCATGTTGCAGTTCTAGTTTGGTGAGCGGCCTCTTCGCACATGTAATCCACAATAGGACTTCCTTGGCGCGCTTTGCCTGCTCTTGGAGTTGTCCTTGGATTCTTTTCATGGCGGACTGGTACGCAGTATCGTAAGCATTTGAACCGGTCGCCAGCTTTCCTATTGCCGTTCGTATAGCTCTTCGTGTATCTTTGCCTTTTAATAAGGCAAAATGGAGCTGTACAAGCAAAAACCTAAACCGATTAGCACAGACTACGCTGTCTTTTATGTATACATACATCCCGTCGCAAGCTTTTGTTATGCTTATTATGATCTCGTCTTGAAGGTCAGGCTGACTGGCGACGAATCCTGGAAGCTCGGACAAATGCCCTTACAAATATCTGCGAATGTCACCTTTGGTTGCGCCAATCTCTTTTGACGGGCAGTCTTTGAATCGGTCTGTGATCTCCTGCATCATCCTAGAGGTCGCGAAAATGTTTATTCCCGTTTTCGTTTGAAGATTGAAAATTGCCGACAAGAACTTTGCACGGCAGCCGTCAGAAGCCTGACACTCATCCAGTGCATCAACGATAATGAAGACCCGGGAATTCTGGGCCGTTACCAGTTCGAGTGCTCTGGAGATCTCGTCCACAGATGGTCGAGTTCGTTTTCGCTTATGCCGATCGTAGAGCTCCGTCAGATTCCGTGGTAAAGAAAGCTGGCCTTGAGCTAACTGTTTCAGCAGACTCGACAACAAGCTTTCAGTAGTCTGCTCGCTTTGGCGCTTATAGTTACAGTAGACGTAGGCGACTGCAATGCTAGTCTCGCTGCCAAATCGCTTCTCAAGGTTGTCGACGGTAATTGATGTCAAGATCGTCTTTCCAGCTCCAGGGATCCCGGGACAGAATAACGTCTTGTTTGGTTCTCTGAACCAACTCGTATACTCATCGGAGTCAAGGAGCCATTGTCCTGTGCCTGGCTGACGCCTCCTCAGGTAGTCGGTTTGTTGAGGCCCGTAGTCAGTCAGTGTCAGCCAGTCCAGGATTTCGGTATCTTCTTTCTTCTCTAAGTATTGTCTTGTGTGTGTTACACCCTCATTCATAAAAAACACAGTGTTCGAGACTGTAAAAACTATCAGAAAGGACCAAACAGGGTCGGGGACCGCTGCATGGCTAATGACGATATTCCGACAAAATCCCAAGGATACAAGAGCACTAATCATCTAACAAGATATCGCCCAACTTTTTCTCGGCCTCCACCTTGTTTGGTGCGATCCTGTGGAGGAGATCCCGCGTGTACGCGGCTGCTGTCATTGCAGCGTAGCCTTGCCAAAGCGAGTTCTTGTGACTATCAGCATAGTCGCAAATGCCGCGGACGACGAGGAACGGAAATTGATTCATCAGTCCAGCAGCTTCCATCTCGAAGCATAACACGTTCTTTTCGAGCGAAATCTTATCGCGAATTGAGGCGTCCTTCATGAGTTGGTTGGCGGAAGCAATAAGGCCGTAGTGTATGACGGGATCATCGTCATCCGCCGATCGTGCACGTCGGATAGTCAGTTTCCACTCGTCGTCTCCGCAAGCAGCCAAGCAGTCCTCGTCGTCTCTAGCGGTATGGAGGATTTCGGGTTTGTAAAGCCGGTCCGTGCTAGCGTTTGGTTGTCGAAACTCATGTTGCAGCCTTGGAAATCGATCAAGGGCGCTCTCAATTGCTTTCTTAAGCTGGTGTCCCTTCATCCGATAAGTAGCGTTAAGTGCGGCCGCTGCAGCCATTATGAATGTTGGTGGCTTGTTCAAGAACCCCGTGGGAATGAAGGCCTTGTTCTGGATAGTCTTCTCGTAGTCGTACTGGTACACGCCGCCATGCGCATAGCCAGCAGAACTGACGACGACGTCCCCCAGGCAGATATCGTGCTTGGCCGGAGCACCACCGCCGATGCCAACCATGAGGCCAACTCTGAGATTTGGAAAGCTGCGTATCATATCCCTAGCAACGTTCGCAGCATTCACGAGCCCGTACTCCCAGTGCGGCAGTACCACAATGACCACATTGTGCTTGCCTATCCGACCGAGGGTATAGTTATTGTTGTCGTTAGCCGGCTGCGAGTCTAGTTCGCCATGATCTTCGTCAAGGAACGCTTGAGCAGCGATGAGCTCTTTCTCGACGGCGCAGACCCAGCCGATGGTGTAGTCGCTGGGATCTGGCATCGTGGGACAGAGCGGCACCTGTCCTCGGAGTCTTCGTTAGAGAAAATGCCCGAGGCATTGTAGCAGAGACCGCTTGGAAGACCCACTTGATTTTGGTGATATGGTAACACCTACAATGGGAATAGCCCAGCCGCCAGGGGTTTGTGTCGCAGTTCGACTGCTAGTGACTCTAGAAATGACTTTGTTGATGTATGTGAAGAGGAGAAGAAACTATCTCTCGAATCTCTTTGTATTCATGTGTGCACTCAGTCTTTCCTTTTTGATTCCGGCTGTCGGTCTATTAATGTCGCAGGCATTTCTGCCTATGTCGCTAGGCGCTTTTGCATTTGGAGGTAGCGAGTGCATCCCGACAAGGGGGCTTGGGCTTGCGACCGTGGCGGAGGAGACTTTGAGAACGAGCCCCTGTAAGTGCGGATATGCATCGTTCATTGGTTGGTCGTCTCTGAGCAAATTCGACTCGGGGCAGGCCAGAAAGGAAACCGGCCAATGATCGGTCTGGGTGTGCTTGCACTGCATATGAGAAGGTGATGGCGGCGACGACCAAGCCATGCCAACTCGGCGTTCGACGGCAGGCTGGCAGATATTGGACGCATCGCTCGGATGGAACGAGGATTGTGCAATTAAATGCAGGCTATGAAATGCAGTCAGACGATGATGTTTTCTGCCAACGGCCAAGATCGGCAAGCCATCAGCCTAGAAAACATATTGTTATTGGGACAAGGCGTAATGAATGGGATGGTCAAAGCCGGTGCCCTAGTAAGACAAAATCTGCCTTGCGATGAACTCCAAGTCGTCAGTGAGCGAGGGCGGTAGCCTCGAGCCCTCGCTTCCAACCCAACCAACGTTGGCCATGTTCGGTCAATCAGCCCCTGCGCCACATCCCGGCACTCATTGCTGACGTGTCCCATGATGACGTTCGCGGCATGTGACCCTTGCTCAATGCCCGCGCCTCATGCTCGAGTTTGGCCTGCCGTCTCGCATCGCCGATGTGTCTCGGCTTGGGACTTGTTGTCGGCTCGGGGCTCACTGTGACAGTCCGGGTTAACGAAGGTCTGGGAGCCAAGCTTCAATCGTTTATAAGTTTGTGTGCGCTTACATGTGTTTGTAGTGTGCTGGTATCGCCGCTATCTATCGTGAACAGGAAGACCATACTTGGGCGCAGATGAACGCTCAGGCGGGGAAATATATTTGATTACAGAAGAGCGGTGGCATGGCCTTCCCCTAAAACCAGCAATGGACTTGAAACCGAGCGTCGCCCGAGCCCCTCATTCGGCTTCCACCGCCCCCGCCTCTAACGGGCTGGCTCAGTGGGCTGTGGCCATTATACCTGGCGCAATAGTACACGCTTAGAACGTTTTTAGCTAAGGATAATGGATAACGCGTCGTGACGATAGTCCCAAGTACTTTGTATTAAGTGAATGAAAAGGGCCTGGCCTGCGCGTCGACATCTAAGAAGAGATTCAAACTCCATTAATAGGAACTCGGATAGATAGATGATTTCATGAGTTCTTGTACCTGTTTTATTACTGATCCGGTTAGGCTCTGTTAGGAAACCTGTCGCCATGAGCATTTGTTGGAATATGTGCTCAATAGGGCAGCCGCTGTAACGTCCACTAATTACAGGGCTCCTAGCCCCTAAAAAGGCCCCCTATTAGCCACCGGCTCGGAGCGCCTATTGTGAGATCATCTAGAGCCTTGTTGAGCAACATATATGGTCATCATGATGGATCACCTTGCTGGATAGTCCATCTGTTGGATTTTACCCCTAGACCAAAAGGGTAAGGTGCGCAGTCATTCTGCGCACGATGTTCTTATCTGTTTTTATCTGACACACCCCCTCAGCTTGGCTGCGATGACTTCGGAGGTAAGCTGGACTTTTCTTCTGTTCGTCGCTATTGGACCTCTACGGGAATCGAACCCGCGCCTTTCTGAAAGCTGGGTCTAGTGGAACCATTGGCTTGCGCCGTGCGCAGCTAGCTCATCAAGCGATGAGAGTCTTAATTGTTGGATTTTACCCCTAGACCAACATGGTAAGGTGCGCAGTCATTGTGCGCACGATGTTCTTATCTGCTTTTATCTGACACCATCAAGGCCATTATTCTGGTTCTTTATAGGGGAATGTAACACCCATAGCTATCATAGGTCCCTTTTTAGAATCAAACATCTCGCCCCTCACAGCATTATTTGTAGCGCTTTAATTGTTCTGTTTTGTTTTATGTCATAACAAGGACACATAAGACAAGTAAAGTAACTCACAATGATTTAAATCAGTTGAAATGTTTCTACTATATATTGCCCCTTCTGCCAGTCCTTAATTGCCTCGCCATTCATTAGACCGTATACGTAACACTCACCGACAAAGAGATAAGAATCCCCAACAGGTCGCAGGACCATCGGTGTCGCTCCTCCAAAAAGTATACACAGAATATCATTTTCCTGCATGATACTTGGCCCAAGACCAATATACGTTTGATCTTCTGTGAAGAACACTCTGTGGTAATGCGCTGTATCCAGATGAAGACGGTAGATATTTGCGTCGGCCTCAACATCTGACACTATATTAGCTAAACGGTTGGCACAATCCTTTTCGAATTCTGCCTGGTCTCTGTCTGGCGCTGCTTCATTACGCAGCCTGTGATTTGCTTCCCACAAGTATGCCCAGAAGTGGCTGGTTGACTGATCTACTACCCGCTCCTGGTTGGTGAGGTTCCAGTTCGCCGACAGTGTTATCATAACCGCCCGTGCAAGTGCCTCGTTTGTCGTATACCGGGCTCCAAGGCGGCGACACGTCTCGTTGAATACAACCAGCGCCTGGGGACCAAACGAGTTAAGAACAGAGCTCGACATGACCTCACACACGGCATTGATAGCGTCGACTCGGAAACCCTTTACGGCAAGAATGTCGTCTGACGAGTGCTGGACATCAACTGGAAGGCCCCCGGCAGCGTTATTTGATATTTCCTTGACCGACCGCCAACCCTTTGCGTGAGGGCTCCACGCAAAGTACGATATTCTCTCCCATAATACATCACCAGCGAAATCCACAACCCAGGAAGGATAGGTGTCCCAATCGGGATGATAGCGAATCAGCGTAAGAATGCTGAGATTTCTAGACGACATGATAATATATCGCGTTATATTGCGGAAAACATCCCGAACTGGCTTGTCGTAATTTGCTCGAAGCGCTGTCGGCAGGACAGAAGTTTCGCCAGCTTCCTCTGTCAAGCCTATAAGGGAGTAGACGCGGTCTCGTGGTTCTGAAGCTTCAAATCGTCTGGTTTTGTTGAGCAGTGTTGTCAGGTCCCAAGGCACACCTAACTGATTCAGTTCGCTAAACAGTTTCAGTGACCTTAAAGCCGCTACGGTTATTGGTCGAAGGTTTAGAGGAGTTAACTTGTAACACATCGATGCGAGCCATGTTGCCGAAGATAAGATGGATTCCCACGACAGCTCATGTGTTCCACAGAGCATCTGGGGGGTAACCTTTGAGAGGACCGCTTCTTGTATAACCCAAGACCTGGTAAACCATGGGCGTGAGAGAATATCCCCGAGGACATCCCATGATGGATCCTCATGATAAGGCAGGCCTGCCGCCTTGTATTCGTCAATCGTATAACGCCGCCGCTTCCGATTACCGCTCCGTTCGAGATCCCGGTTGTAGAGATGCGACAGTTTCTCTAGCAGCGTTCCGACGGCTCCGATACCAGGGATCTTTGCACCCAGCCAGATAATCGTTCTCTCGGAGGTTTGGTAGATGGCCTTCATCATGTCAACCTGACTTCCACGCTCTGAGATGTTGGCCTGATTGATGCAAACTTGATCAATCCAGATCCATTCGACGCCACCACGATCGAGCTCGGTCAGATCCTGCAAGGCCCCCGTAAGGACCGGGTTGATCATCAATTCGCATCCATTGCATCGAATAGATACTGATCTGCCATCGCCGCCCCAGAAATAGCTAAGCGCGTTGAATTTGGGAGCCCCGGCAAGTGGAAAAACGGCCAATTCGTACTCAAGATACTTGGTTGCGGCGTCTGAGGTGAATCGAAGAAGGCGTATAGCCTTTTGCGGGAGCGGAGAATACATGTACGTATTTGCCATGGTTATTGCCCGTTCTTTGCAAGTCTAAAGGGTTGTGTAGTGTTTTAGGTTGACGAGACGCAAATGTATTACAAATTCAGATCACGTTCTGCCGCAGTTGATCCCTCAAGCCCCATGTCAAGACTTGGGAGAACTCCGGCCTTGGAAACCTGAACAATGAGGATTATCATATGGGCATGTGTCGGTATTGGGTGGCAGGATTGGCGACGGCCCTACAGCCTGACGCGCAGGATGCCTTGCGACAACAGTAGCAGATCGCCGATCTAAGTCTGTATGCCCGCGCCACTTTGTCAGACTGCCGACCATCTGGTGCCCTGCACGGCTTTTTACCAACCTCTACTGGACATGAATGTTGCAGCGGGCGTCTCTCTTGCATGAGCTGACAAGGTGAGAGGCAGGCTGGCCTTGGCGTGGCATATAGCCCCGGTAAAACCTGGCAGTCTCTCAGATCTTGCAGACTTATCTTCTGACTACAATCGGGGGACAAAAGTCTCCGTACAGCCCCATTTCTGGACCCCTGACCTGCTACACCTCACAACTCAATTGAACCACAACACACTCAATTCTAGTCAGAAAATTCTCAAATAAATTGCATTCAATAGCCCGTTCAGTAATGCGTGTACTATTCACCAGCACGCCTGCATGCGGCGATGAGATCGCAAACAGACTCGATCAGCACGCGTACCTGCTCAGGATCGATCTCGGACCACGCCCTCTCAATTAACTCGTGTGCGTACTGGTAATGAGGAATATTGTCCTTCAATTCGGAGAATTCAGGCTCGATAGCACGTATCTGCCTCTTCAGAAGTCGCCAAACGTGCTCGATGGGGTTAAGATCGGGGCTGTGAGGAGGCCAGTCGATATAGTGAATCCCGTGCTCTTCTAGCCACTCCGGAACACCTCCTGAGAGGTGAATTTTCGCGTTATCTTGAATAAAAGGATCTCCAGCCTCGTAGAAGGGAAGGAGGCCGTTCTCAAGGACCTGTTTATATGACTCTGCGGATACTCCTCCGCGCGGAGCATCCGGATCGAGTGGGCAGAAGATCAACTTGCCCAGTCCTCCTTCTCCATCGCGTAGCCAGATCTGAGACCACACCATTATCGAAATACGAGGCTTTCCGTGACTCGTGGGGTTCACGAGATCGTAACGGTACCGCTCTGACGAGTATCGGATGACCCAATCGCCTGGATTATCCGATTCATTTTGGACCGTACACTCGTCAGAGAACAGTGCCTTCAAGAGCTCGAGAATACGCTCCGGATGGTCATAATATTCGGCAAATTCGCGCCTTATCCGAGCCGTCTCCTCGTTCAGCTCGATTCTTTTGGCTGCTGGCCACTTCTCAAGCCCTCTGGCGTGGCAGAGGCGCTTGATAGTCTTCGCGCAGCAGAGAACGCGGGCCTTGTTTCGGATCTTCTGCCACGAGGCCCTGGGGAAGTCCCTCGCTGCCTGAATAACACGGGCGCGTTCGCGAGTGTTCAGAGCACTTGGTCGACCACTTCTGGGAGCAGATTTTGTGGTGGTGGTGGTCTCAAAGCGCTTGACAGTCTCAGTAATGGTGGCAGGGCGCGTGGTTTTGAACGCGTCGGCAACCTCCTTGCGGCTCTGCCCCAGCACTCTCGCCGCCACAATGGCAGAGCGAGCATTGTGAGTAAACTCCCCGTTCGGCGTGCGACTGCCGCTCAATTCGTCTCCAAAAGATCGAAATACCATCGTGATTTGCGTTGTTGAGAGAGTGTTGAAGTTGAAGAGTGGTTGACGCGTTGTTTTGATAGTCGGAGATTAGTGGTGGGGTGTACGGAGACTTTTGTCCACCCAGTTTAGCATAGGTGACCCCAGTTTTTGGATTTAGGTTCATTATGCGGCTGCAGAGCAGAACCCTGTTTCTCGGACCTCCTAGAACACTGCCTAGCCTAGTCCTAGGAGTATGAGGTTTCTTGCGTGCCTCACAAAAGATTAGTATGTTATCATTTATGTTCTTTCTACACGAAGCGCCGATCTTCGACCGCCCGTTTGTCTTCCTCGACTTGGCCAACGCGTCTCCATGGCAGACGCAAACCTTATCGGGATTATCAAGGTCCCATTGTGTGCTTTCACCTACCAGCCTGAAGTAGGTAGGGAAGAGTCTCCGATTATCGTGAAGTGACTGGCCAATGTATTCCGCAGGACACGTTGTAGGTCCAATCGATGGGAGAACCACGTGCAAGGACATATCAACAGTAACACCTTGGAAGCAATACTGGCAGCTCTCGGCCGTACCAAAGAACAGCTCTATTTAACTGTATACGCGGGGGATTACCCTCAGGTCTACCTAAAGAGGCAGATCCTTTGCCTTGATGGTAGACATAGGCTGGCGGCAGCGAAGAAGGTTTTCGGTAACGGGGTATGGCGGCCGGTGAAGCTCTACACTACCCCGCCAGGTACGCAACATCGCGCCATGGTGAATCAGAAGAGACTGACACAAATAACAGGACCGTGTTTCCTTCACCAGACAACATACTCCGACGGGGAGATATACCGCGGGAAGAGGCTCTGTCAGCTGGCCAAGCAAGACCTCCTGGCTCGAGAATGGACAGTGCAACTGTCATCGAGCAAGCAGCCGATTGTTCGGCAGCTGTCCAGGAATATTGAGATTGTTAAAGCACTGGATAAACTCCTGCCTTACCCGGGGCTCTGGACGGGGTTGAGAATTGACAACCTGTATAAATACCTTGCACTGCAGTGTGTCGAGCAGATTCTCAACTACCTCGGCCACATACATCACGTCTGGTCAACAATAACGGTGGGCATCATGCCGGAAACGGTTGACAACAGTTCGGTTGGTGTCCTGCAAGGCCGTGCCCCGTCCGTCGCAACAGACCGTATTTACATTGAGCACATGTTCAACCAGAATCAGATCTTTGTCCGCGTTTCCGACCCTGCAACCCGCAGCCGGCTTTTAGAAAGGATACTGTCATTGGGCAAGATGATACCCAGCATATGGACATTTGAAAAGAGCATGAAGTATTTCGAGCTGGGTGCGAGAATTCTGAGGCGCGAGCTGTTTGCAGGCCAAGAGAATGTCGATCCGGAAGCCAATGTCAATCCGGGGACCAATGTGAACCCGGAGGCCGAGGAGCCCACGCTCCTCCAGAGACTCAAGTGGCAAAATCCAATGACACCTACCGTCGAGGTGGCCGAGGGGGTCTTTGTTGAGTCTACTGTCATAACTAAGGAGAAAGCACTCAAAGCGCTCTTTCTATTCCCCCTGCGGCACTTCCCCTTCTTGGGACCCGATCCGCTGCTCCAAAATGTAAAGGGCGAAGGTATCGTAGCGGGCCTAAGCGACCTGCATTCGCTTCATCTCCGTGCCCGGGCCAGGGAATTTGGGTTTGTGTTGAGTACGCTCGATCAGGAACTGTGCCAATTATATCCCCTTGTCGTAGACCCCGTGAGCACAAAGCGACGGTCTATGCCTTGGAGAGGTGGCAAGCCCTTTGTCAGTACGTTCTTTGAGCTACGACCAGTCGCATTTCTTCCTACTCTAGATGCAGCCGATCCATGCAGCGGCGTCACCCCTGCGTTTGTATTAAAGCACTTTATGGATGCATATTTCGGCGCTTCTTCCTACGCGATGGACGTGCCGGATTCTATGGACGAATCCGGCATGTCGTCACATAGTCTGCCAGCGCCTTCAGCGCAAGCACCCGTCGGCTCCCCACGCTCAGGAGAAGGCACAGTCCATTTACCACCAATTGGATCACAATTCAGTAACAAGCCAAAGGAGCACCACGGGCGAGCCGAAGAGGGGGCTCGGCACGCCGGAGAACCGGTAGGAGATAATACCAAGGAAATACCGGTGAACGGCGAACTCTGGACAAGGCCCCCGAACGCGCCTACTTCACGAGAATCCATAGACCAGTTCGACGTTCAGCTCCCTGATCGATCAGCACAACGCTCCCCGATCTTCACCCCGGAACCTGAGGGCAACACACAAGCAAGTCTGGAAGCTAGTGCAGGGCAGTCAAGCCTAGCTGGACATGCGAGCTCGACAGTCTTCCGTCCTGGTGTGGCACTTGACGCCAGCGTATTCAGCCCCCCTACGCATCCGCACCCGAGGCCTAGGACGTACCTCAAGAAGGAGCATAGGAAGAAAGATAAGGAGAAGAGAGGACTGAATAAAATCCGGAAAAAATCCCTCGGCGAGCCACTGGTTCGTCCTGGGCAGCAGTCAAATACTGACCGTTCCAGATTCACGTTCTGGTCACATAAGAGACGAGGGAATACTCCGCCCATACCGGAAGAACCCAGGCACACTCCAATCTTTCACTTAGAGGATGCGCCGCGGAAACCCAAGAGAAAACATACCAATAAAGACCCCTAGGTAGACATAAGGCCGGCGAAGGACCCATCCCGGGGAAAGAGACCAAGATTGCATGGGCCCCATGGGAAGGCTGGGACCAAGCGGACGGTTTTTCGGACCAGGGATGGTTGGAAGTCTACCATACGGCGACAGAGCACCGGAGGCAAAGGCAAGGAGAGCATGCCGAGACCGCGCCGGGACAGCGATAATGTTCCGGCAGATCCTCAGCGGGACGACCAATATATTGAGCGTGAAAGATCACCACCGGAAGACACAAAACGTCACGGGAGTTCAGACGCGATAGCAGGAAGCCATACTCCATCTTCTGCTACCCAGGTCCGATAGACCAGTATATGCCCCTTGAAACGCAGAATATAGATACTAACATGATGTTAGGGTGCCTCCGGCTCGCGACGGTCTCGTGAGGGGGGTGTTTGGGCCCAACAAGCCACAAGCAGTAAAGAGGTGACAGGAACTCCGGGCCATACAGAGGAACATCCCAAGCGTGGAGCTTTTGCTCGAACGAAGGAGGAGTACCCTGTGTACGAAGACTGGCCTAGTGATACGGAGATTCCAGTCCCCACTAGGGAGAGGTCGGCACCGGCATCTTCAGAAGATGACGGGATTTTGTGATGCATCGGAAAGTAGGAGCAAACAGCAAGAGGCGTATCAGTAGAGCCGCATCGTGATCTATTTTCGTGGTCGGGTTTTACAAGGCAACATATGTATGGCGTAGTCTACTCACGCTGCGGCTTTGATATTACACCGTATCTGATTTCGGAAGGTAATTAAAATAGATGATTTCTTTACGTAGATTATTAAAGCTTGTAGTAGGTAATAGCATCTTGTAGAACAACGAGAAACGGCATAAAGACTCTTAAAATATAGATTATAAACTACGATCGTTATACTTGATCTCTTATACATGTGATGGCAAGGAGGGACAGCATGGCCCAAAACGAGATCGAAGTCTTAGTTAATAACCCTAAAAATCCAAAGCCTAACCTCATACCCTGCGTGCTTTAAAGTTAAGAAGGATAGCCCTAAACTTAATTAACTCAGGTAGTATGAGAACGAAACCAGAACCAGAGCTATCTTTGCTTCCGTCAGAGACCCCCATCGGCCATCCCACCAAATCACGTTATAAGCCCATGCTACATTTTAAGTCCAGCCAGTCCGCTGTCGTCATTTGTGTGTTCGTCCTGACCTCTCGCTCCTGTCGGAACTGGTCCGCGTTGGGCTATGCCAGCTTAAAGATAAGCTTGAACATAAGACAGGCTTACCAGAGTATATCAGCAATACACGCGAACCCGGCAATACAAATCGCTTTCAAGAGTTCCATGATGTCGAAGTATCTTGCGCAAGGTAGTTTGGCGGACGTAACCCTTTTGGGATGGGCGGGTGTAAATTTCGAAATTCAATAGGGGACGGCGATATGCTGGGCTGTATATGCAGCCGCACGCAGGATCGATCTGGGCAGTGCGAGGGTGAAAGGGAGCGAGCCAGGGCCCGGGTTTCGGCATCCTGCGCTGGTGCTTGGCTACAGCTCGCTGTAGATGCGAATCATGTCGTCAATCGTGGTGTGTGTGCTGATGCGATGCTCCTCGGAACTACTCCATCTGCTGTGTTTGTACTCCTCGAAGGTGGCTGCGACGAAGCCAGCTATCCGCGTCACTTTATTGTCCTGCCGCTCGATCTCTTGGAGGTAACAGACGTTTTGTTGAGTCAGGAGCGCAATAGTCTCGTGGTTTTCGGACTCCCTCCTCCTATGTTTCAGGATATGTTGTCGCAACTTCTTGTTTTCGCTCTGCAGCGCGTTGATCTGATCTTCGGACCAGCTGATTCCCCTTTTAGCGGGGTTGTGTGTGGCTTCTTAGATGGGCTGCAGCACGCGCCGTTGTGACAGTGGCAACGGCGGCGTCGCCCCTAATACTGGCAGGACGGGCAGCGGCTTGTCGCGTGGCGGCGCGGCAGCGTTGGGGTCCGGGCGCATGATGGCCTCTGGTCCCTCGGCTGTTGGCGACTGTTGCTTTGCCCGGGGTGTAGTGCTTTGTTTACTACGGCTGGCACAGCAGTCGCGCAGATAGTTAACCAACTGTTCCCTCATGGGTCACTTATGTATTGAAGTGTTATGATGGGCTGTCGTCTCGGGCGTTTACTCACAGGAAGATATATAACGAGCTAATGAAGCAGGGAATGCAATGTTTTAGTTGTCTATGTCCAAGTCCTAGGCATCGGAATAATGGCACCAAGATCCTGGAACTTGTCGAATATACTATCTGCTGGTCCGTATCCCCCACGTCACTCGCTGTCCTCGTGGCCGAGCATAAGCTTCATGTAATGAATGACCGTACGAGAGAAATCACTCAACCCCTCTCTTACTTTTTCGATACACCCTTTCGTCTGATCGACCATTGGCAAGACTTGGTCTAGCTTCTCCCACGCTCTATTGCCCGTCCTTGTTGTTTGTTCCATTGCCGACTCCAGCTTGTCCATACGGTTGCACATTAAAACCAGAACACTGATGCGGAGTTAGCAAGTAGCTTTGAGGGGCAGTAAATGTATATCCCGTACTTTTGGATGTTTTTATCCTGGCTGGTACTGTAGTTTTCCGTTTGAAGGTCTATTGGCTGCGGTAGAGGAACCGACGCGAACGGGGAGAGGTCAAGGGGAATCGGATCCTCAGGCATAAGATCCAGCCAACTCCCGGATTCCCAAAATAAATTGTTTTGAGCTTGTGTCTCCATTGTAGTCGGCGCAACTCTTGTGTAGAAGCCCCTGCCTTACAGATTGGTGTTTGGTCACTGGTCCTACTCTTATACTTACCAGTAACCGGTTTTATCCCATCGCAACCCGTCACGCTCCCTGGAACAGGACACTGCCCGGATCCGGGTTTTGTTTCTATTTTAATGCAGCATCCATTGTGCTTAAAACCCTCCCGGTAAACCTATCACGGCCCTCGAGGAAGCAGATAGTAGCTGAACATGTTTGTCCTTGGCCTGCTCGCACTAATGGGGAGCGCAGCTCGCGGTTTTCCTGACACGCCCTTTATTTGCACCTCGAGTCTTGTGTTGCAGTTGGTTGCCGGGGTGTCCAACGTCTCGGCAGTGTAGGCACAGCCTTCGATCTCTCTGAACTGTGCTAGTTGATAACGGCTCCTTAGATACGACAACCCTTTTGGTAAGGACTGCCGCGCGCTACTACAGTTTGCAGATCCTACTTACGAGCTGATCACGTACCCCTTCCCACACCTGCGCTACGCGGGCTTGGCGAGGACCAGCTTCCTTCTACCTGCTGGTCCGCCGAATGGAGGGGCCAATGTTGTGTGGTCAGCCCCTACCACCCTCTGTGTGTTCCTGCAGTAGCTAACGCGCCGCAGGAGCTGTTTAGGGCAGGTGGCTTGCCTAAGGCCGTGGTCTCGGATGGCACCGGAGACCTTTCGAAGGAGGCTGAGCAGTTAGGCGCGATTAAGTGTGTGGGATATCCCGGAATAAACGAGACAAAACCCCCCATAGCCACTGATCTGGCTTCGCCAGGCGCCTCGCGGCCCAGCACGCTGCCGATTATGACAGCCTCTATCATGCCCACCACGATATCGTAGAGGAATGGAAGCGCGCAGCCTACTTCAGAGCATAATGTCCATGCATTCCCTTCATTTGGCCTGGCCGCAGAGAACTATTTTCGTACGGGAGGGATATTGCACCCGGGTAGGACTGCGCCTGCTTGGCCATCTAGTAGCTACAACCCCCAAGCTCCGTTGCTCACGATCAACACAATGACCTCAGCTCATCTGTCGGCGAGCGGAAGAGCCGATAGTTCGTTAATCCTAACATGGGTCAGCGCGGCCAATCGCTTATATGTGCCATTGCTTGTTATGCCATTATTAGCTTAAGACAGGACGTAAAAGCTCGTATCATAACTCGATTTAGGTTGTCTTACACGAGAGCTGCGGTGTTTAGGCTGACAGGCTGAGGGAGTCCCCCTGGTAGAATGTGCTTATCCCTTCAATGGTTTCTTATTTTGATTACATTTAACGATCTGCTGGACTTTGTACGAACTTTGCTGTGTTTTCGGAGTCCACTAGATAACACTGGAATGCGATTATGCTACAGTCGATTGTGGGGTATTTCAACACGTCTCTATGTTGAATTTTATATGATTTAAGCGTTGTTTTTAATTCGCTTCACAAGGAATTGGCCTCGCTTATCATCGTGAATCCTGAGAACATTTCCCAACTTTGTCACCGTTCTTTTGCACCTCTGGGTTATAAACAACTGGCAATGGGTAACTCTCCATCTAAGAAAGTATTAGCTACTTCAAAAGTCCGCATGGCACTGTATGCTTACAACTTCCACAATGTTGTGCCACCAGTCGCAGTATGGTCGTCTGAGTATGTCAGAGAGCAATAGCCAATGTGTATGATTCAAACACTGACCTTAAATTCTTCAATAAGGCGTTGCGCCTCTTCAGCGAATTCACAGCATGTTTGGGCTTGATTTGTGTCAAGCGGCATTGTGTTAGTTGGATAAGAGGTTCAGAATTTGAAGCCCGTGCTGGAGGGGCGCTTCGATTGTATTCTATCATATGACTAATCGATTAACGCTTCAAAAGCCTGCAGGCCCCCATGCCGCCAGTCCTCATGAATAAGCTTGGGACGGCTATACAAGGTGCTTGTACCCCGGAGATATTTTGCCTAGAACGAAAGAATTCTCCACTCCCCGAAACTGGGCTTCTTCTATTCACATGTTCTATTCTTCCACTGTCACGCAACGTATGTGTTATGCCTACACAACTATCGACACAATACCTACTGAGTGTCTAGAAAGCTTCATCTTGACCCCACGACTTCACCGAGACGAAAGAGTTTTATACTTCGAGAATTCAACATGGATTCAAAATGCGGAAGTTGCGGTGGATCCGGCACGAGGGGCGGCTTTGCATGTACGGACTGTGATGGCGATGGAACTCAAAAAGCGTAAAGTAAGGCCTGTACTAATATCCTCGACAATTTTGGCACATCTGGGCTGTTGGATTGCTAAGTACTTGAATCTAGCAGCAAACTCGTGCAACTGGCCGCACTATGCGCAATACAAAGGATGTCGGTATGTGTGTCCAGGGTGATTTGTTGGACGTCTTTGTCTGGAGTGCCGAGTCGAAGCACATGTCTGACTGTATCGCAATAGTTGATCAATTTCCCTTGACAGGCCTGGGCCGGCGGGCTATCGCGTATCTGTAATGTGTAAAGCTGTTCCTGAGCATGCTCGACAACATATTGGCCTAATGCCGGTATGTATCTGTTGACGTGGAGGATGACGAGATTGCACTATCGGCAAGGCGGGCGGTTTGCTTGGAGGATATAGAGGGCGTCTTCGGGGTCAAGTTCGATGTCAAAATGTCGCTGAGTCTGGGCTGGTGATTCGAGTCGGGCTAGGAGCTGATGGGTTGCACGCACGCGTCAGCAACATCGGGCAACCCGATGGCCGAGAGGCGGCCTAACCACATACCTCAAATACTTGGAACTGAGTCACAACCTTTCGTACTATGTCCCGCTCGCGTTGTATCCAGTCAGTCGTCTCGTCATCCTGCTTGGCGCATGTGGTCGGATCAAATGTGTCGAACAGCGGCAGAAACATCGACGATAGTGTGTGTTGGTGTACAATACGCAGGTTTGACACGTCGCTGCTGAAGGCAACGTGCGAAGCGCAGAGAACGGTTATATCGATTAAGAGAGTGTCACGGAGTTGGCGGATATGGTGCACTCGCAGCCGCGCTGCGGTCGGGTCGCCACCCGAGTGCAGCCTGTCGACAACTCTTTAAAGGCCGTGTTTTGAGTATTGGATTTGGATCTCGAGCCGGTTGCGGTCCTTGCCATAGAGACGCGGCGTCTGGCCGAGCAGGCCAGTAATAGATGGAAGGCAGGTGAATATACGCACTGCTCCGTCGACATGTTCGGGACTGTCAAACGGGTGTGTTATTACATCGCCCAGCCTGACACTGATCGGATCTTTGGTCTGGCGGGACGTTCACCTGCCGAAAAGGGAGCTGGGGTGATCCTCCAGCATGCTGTGAGCTGGGCATGGCGCTCCTGGGTGCGTGCCAGAAGAGAAGAGTGCGCTTCGCTGGGACTATTGAGAATGAGTTTGAGCGAACGATGGCCCCTGTGGAAATAACTTTGCAGGTCCAATGTGGTGTAAAGCGGGAAGGTTGTGAGGTTAATACGAATCATCATGGTTGGGGGCCGGTCCTTGCATGACAGTCTTTCCAGAACATGCCTGGGGATTCATTCCACACCCCCATACAGAGGCCGGAAAATAAGTATGCTTACTAACTCTGGTCCGTTCGCGCTCTGAAGAACCATTCCTGCACACCCTGTAGAATCATTCCCCCACACCCTGCTGGTCCGGGAATTACTAGCCCATCGTGGTGCGTTAGACTGCATCTGCCACAATTGGGCAGGATGTGGGCAATGTTGGATTGAACGAAGTTCAGAAGGCACCTTTCCTAATTCAGCTCACACTGACACCAAACCTGAGTCACGGTTGGTCGCGTAAGAACGCGCATCTTGTTCGATGTCAATACCTAATTCGGCAGGATGGGAATGGGTCTCCTGAACCACTGGCCAGGGCCTCTATCAATATGCGGATACATGCATATAGTTGGTTTATAGCTATTAAAATAGGCATAGGAAAACATGGTTTTAATCCCTGTCGCTAAGATATTCATATACTAGGAAAGGCAGCTACACCAAGGACACTGTATATGAACGAATTAGAGGCCAGAAAGAGGGTGGGGTGTGCCTTCCACCGCCCGGGGTGGGGGAAGCAAGATGACTTGATGGTAGGTTTTTGGCTCACATAAAGCCAGCCTAGCCGTATCTGAGGAAAAGCTAGACCTATAAGCACCACGACTCTCGTCCCCCTCGTCCCCCCTTGTCCCCCCTCGTCCCCCCTCGTCCCCCCTCGTCCCCCCTCGTCCCCCCTCGTCCCCCCTCAACCCCCCTCAACCCACGTTCCCCTCCTTCTCGCCCTCTATAGAGTTCATCGACCCCCTTTTCAATCAGAGGTTCAGAGATGTCAGACTGTCGACCCTGCAATACATGTAACAGGAAGATCTTGAGAAGTAACTTTGCACGCCACCAACAACGGCATAATGAAACACATCAGATAACTTGCAAAATCTGTGATGTCATTATATCGAGAAAGGGAAAAAAAAGGCACATTGGAACCCAAATACACAAAGACAATGCACAGCAGAAAGCACATCCAGTAAGTGATCTTATTCTTTAAACTACAAAATATGGGTTTTATCATCTTTTTTCACCTTGCTAATTACGTTTTATAAAGACCGGCCACCTTTCTGATCTTCAGCCGTTAGCAGAAGCACAGATCATAACAACCCCCCCAAAAGACGAGATAGATTTCCTTATACACGAATTCCTCAGCACCACGGGTGGCCTTTTATCGTATCTATCTTCTGCGTACGCAACTGAGATCAAGAGGACTGGCGGACTGTCAAATCTCAATCCGTCTAGGGAGACGGCGGTGACTCGGAACTGGGCCGGCCTTGGGTTACGATCTCCCATGCTTTTTCCTGCAGTTGAATGTTGGAAGGAAAAGCCGTCTTTAGAGGACTATCTTACAGACCTGCTTTATGGGTTTCGGAAAGAGACAACAAAAATCTACTCCCGACGTAATCCTTCTGATCCTCTTGATAAGCCGCGTTTTCAAACCATTATGCGACAGTTGGACAATCCGGATCCATCGTCTACTCTATACGCTATCAATATGGCCGCCGAGTCAGTCGAAATCAAGATCCTGGAGCGACTACTTGGACAGGTCTCTATATATCAAGATATCTGCCCTATTACGACGACAAATATTACTCCTAAGTATTCAGTTGCAGGGCTCCATGTTGGTACATGAGATCTGATCATGCTGCAAGCGATATATTAACAAGACAATATATCTAGACCACAGAAAACATGGTGTCACGCTGCTCCATGGAGGATGCGTCAAGCTTTGGGCACTCTATCCCTTGACTCCTCTTAATATGCAAGAATTGTCCGCAGCACACCGATCTGATGCTGCCTTTATCGAGCTCCAAGGCCGGCTTGAAGGCGGTGAATTCTGTGTTCAGACAGAAGATCAAGCAATCTACCTGCCTCCAGGCTGCATTCATAGTACTTACACTCTCCGGGGCGGCTTCACTCCGGGCATCGAATTCAGCACAGTCGAGTGCTTGGAGCCAGCAGCGGCGATTTTGGATCTGAACTCGCAGGGATTCAGGCTTTGTGGGAATGATTGTTATCCTTTTCTTGAAGCTATTACTATAAGAATCCGCTCCAAAAACCCAGACCGGCGAGAGAAAGCCCTGGAGCTTTTATGCCCGAGGTACAAGAAAGTCTATAAGCTCAAGTCGAGAATTTTGTTCAAGGTCCTAAAGGAGCTGCCAAAGTCCTGTTCGAAATACGCTAAGGTATGTGCGAAGCATTAATGTACTATCTCCAGTACTTTGCTAGTCCGTCTGGCAGTAAGGCTGAAGAGATATACTTTGATGGTGGGTCAAACCATTGTTCACGGTACTAGGATGACGGCTGGCCCTCTAGGAAGGGTACGTGACGTATGACACCATGCATGGGATAAAGAAAGGTCACATTGAATGAGAGTGCTTACTTCGGGCTTCGTGTTTGAACCCTGCCTTCAAAAAGACATACGTAGTCACCGACTCGAGTGCGTCAAACTTAAGATGGACAGCAAGCTGAGTCAGCTCATATCGCATGGCACCATGCGCGGGAGGAACGAGGGCAACGTCGAATGGGAGTGCGTACCTTGGGCTTCGTGTCAAAGCATTTGGAATTATAGTGACATATATCCATTCGGCAAAGTGGTTTCTTAGATCAATACGAAATCAAACGAGCGTGATAAAGGCATGTGAGGAGTCGTACCTAACAGTATCAAATAGTTTGAATAAGGAAAGATATACCTACTAGGCAGTATCTAGCCAAGGACTCTTGAGGTTACGAGACGGGCAACGGCACGCGCAAGAGTGGCAATACGCGAGAAAATAATGGCACGCAACGCAAATTTACGCACGTACCAGATGAAGGAAGCGTGGACCCCATACCATCTCGGTGTCACCAGCTACCTAAACCCCGCCCCATCTCTACCTACTGCTCACTGCCTGCCCTTTCTCTTACCGCCTACCCATTTACCTCACCGCCTACCCATCTACGTCACCGCTTACCCATTCCACTCACCGCCTGCCTGCCCTCTTATAGCCTGCTCCGCTCATTCACCGCCTACTAGATTTGCTTACTCCTCACTCACCTGATTCAAAGGCTGTGTCTTATTTAAGCAGGCGGTGTCCGATCTAAGCAGGCGGTGTCCTATCTAAGCAGGCGGTGTCCGAGTTAAGTAGTCGGTGTCCGAGTTAAGCAGGCGGTGTCTGGGCAAGCATGCGGTGCCTGATTTCTGGATTGAGCAGGCGTCTTGATCAGGTAGGCGGTGTTGGGCAAGGCAGGTCAGGTGGACCGAGCCATCAGCATACAGATAGAAAACACAAGATTGACAAAGAACCTCACATATACATAATATAATCTATCTTCAAGATCGTTCAGTAGGACTATATCTAATAAAACGCACTTTAGTAAATTCAAGTTATTATCCGCAGTTTCCAAGACCCCGTATCACCTGTATGTCCCCATTACCTAATTCCCAGCTTTACTACATTTGGATACATGAAAGCCCTTATGACACAGTGTTGTGAACCCGCAAGGCATGGTTTTGTAGATGCATCTTAGAAGACAGTGTGAAATCGCAGACTTCACATTCTGGTGTCGAATCTTGCGCCAAAAGGGATAAATGTTTCCGCTTAAAGTGCTTCGTCAGATCTCCGGGGGTATAGAATTCATACGTGAGATCTTCTACACGAGGGTCATTAGGCTCCAGAGGAAGCGCGGCTCCAATGCATAGGAAGCATCTCTTAGGTCTTTCTCTGTCATTGCGAATAAACATAGACAGCCTAGCAATAGAAACGGGGTTATCCTCTGGGGGCCCAAGCGTGGGTTTGAATTATGCTTCCTTGGTCAGCGAGGTGAATTTGCGACGTGAAGTTTGTCCTTCCTCAATGCTACAATAGGTAATAATTGCATTGATGGCATCGTCCCTTCATCAATATTGGCCTTGGAGAGTAGGGTCGACAAGCGCAGTCAGGGCCTTAACTAGTCGTTTCTGCGCTGGAAGTTGCGGACGATGGGCTATGTCCACCGGTACGGGCTTAGTGAATGTAACGCCTTACAATTAGTGTTCTATGTCATCTATGGCCTGCTCGTCTGTCCAGTCTTCTCGGATCTTTTGGAGGAGCAACTTCTTCAGTCTCTGCTTTAGATTTCGAAGTTCCTGCTGTGCATCGATCTGTTGTTTCGTCCCTAGTCGTAGGTTCTTGAGTTGTCTTATAAGCCGCCTCACGTTGGGATCTGTGTTAACAGACACCGCTTGCTCAGGAGTAAGATCTACTGGCCGCCGCTTGCTCATCGAATGACCGATACTGCAGGATTGTTTTAATAGTGCTTGTTGCGGCTTCTGGCCGCAAAGAATTCCCCACATGTCTGCGCGAACAGCGCGACCCAGGTAATGCTTTTGGAATGGGGTCGAGTTGGCGTGGTCTAGCGTCAGGTTACAGAGTGCTTTACTAACGTCGGCTGCATTGGAATGTCAGCACAATAGATTCCTTGGAAGTACGGGTAGAACGTACGGCTCTGGTCCAATTCATTGCCTGCATTATAGCGCAATGAATATGTGATGATTGGGTATTAAAGGCCTAGAATCTCTCCAATCCTCTTAATCCACCCCGACATCATGTCATAGGTGATGGGTTCCGCCTGTGATATCTGCAGCCCGGTAGCGGTTGTAATGACTCGGCGGAATATGCATACGTCTTTGAGGTCATCTTTGAGTGGCAAAGACAACTCCTTCTTGCCAGGGTGGATATCAAGATCGTCTAGATAGCGAAGACAGACAAGGCTAGGAGCCCGGAAAGCTTGATGTTGGAACAAGATGCCAAGGAGGAAGACATAAGGGCTGAGAAGCAAAGATGGATCAAACATGGTTTCGGGGATCGTGAACGTCTTACTAAGCACCCGTGGTATTAATATCAAAGAGCCCCAAGTTGCCAGGATAAAACACTTATGCATCTTTTGTCCCAAGGTACGTCTTAGTAAACTCGAGAGTAAACTTGATCAAAAGCTTGTGTGGCCCGCCGTCTGGATCTCTCGCTAATACAACCCAAATATCTCCAAATCGGAGCCGCAAGATGGATTTTAGGCGTGAGGCGGAAGGAGCCAGGAAGAGAAGAAATAAAACGGTAAGAATCCGGAGCTCCCCGAGGTCGAACGACTTCCTTGTCGTGCTCAGTGTTGTCTCAATCTGTGCTTTGAGGTCGTCAATGGTCATACAGCGGTTTTCCCTTTTTTGGTCGCTCAGTTTGTGTTTCTTTGCTAGTGATCTCAAGACCTGAAAGAAAATATTAGAAATAGGTCTTCGGTGGGTCATCAAATTCCTATTTACCATATGCATGTTGCAATTCAATTTCGGATCAAGCTTCGCACCCATGGCTGTCTCATACACAAGACGAAAGACCTTCCAATTTGTGCCTAGTGAACTGCTCTTCTTCGTTCCCCTTTTTTTCCGTCCATTCTTGCCAACCATTTGGTTCAAGGACCAATCGAAAAAGTTGTAGAGGAGACGGATATCAATAGACTCAAAGCAAGTCTGGGGATCCCGTCCCACTACGTCGGTGCAGAACCTGTAAGAAAAATATCGTTAGCATGAGAAGAAATAAAGCACTAGAATGACTTACGTCCGCCACTGCTTCTCGATTGCGTCAAGTAGCACTGTGCTTCCAGGACTGTAATTTCCGCTGTCAAAAGCACTCTTGTTGAACTCTCGTAGTGCCCTCTGGTAGTATTCCGGCGGATGAACATTCCCTGCGAAGAGGTGGACTTGATCTGCAACGTTGAAATCGTCGTCAGTGAAGTCCTCTACGTCCGTCACGTCGCTCTCTGGGCTGGATACATCCTCGTCCACGTCAAGGAAGTTGTCAGCATCCACATCCCCTACTGCAGAGAAAGATGCGTCTGTGTCGTACAGGTCGTCGGTGACTTGTGAGTCACATGGCTCATTGTGGACGCGTTGGCGGGCCATGCTAGTAACGCTATAAGGGATACTCGATCATAATAAGTGCAGTTCACCAGAAGAGGTTGCGCTCACTCAACTGGAGGTAAAAAGGAAGAGCAAACGCAAAAACATTGTTGACCAACTGGAGCGAAAGAGCTGGTATTTAAAAGGAATATATGAGCCATCTCTGGTTATGCTGCTGACAGGCCGAGCAAGCAAGGGAAGGGAAAGGACACAGCATCGGTGCCAGATACCGAACTGAATAAGAGTCCAGGATTTGGGTCATGATGTACTTTGAACGATACATTGAAGTACAAGGCCCATGGGCATGGTGGGGCATGGTGGGGTATGCAGCTTAAAGCGGCGTCGGATCGCTGGCAAATGCACTGCTGGACTTGGAGGCAGAACATGCCGAAATAGGCAGCGCACTTGCCGTCTCTTTGTTTAAGGTAGTTTAAATTCTATATTAACGTTTTACGTTAATACAATATGTATGTTATTACTAATAAAACACGTTTTTTAAGTCATTGATATTTTCTGTAAAAACTCGATTTTATGCTTAACTAGTGTTTATAATATTAATAGAAATTATAAAGTACGGTAAATTTATTTTATATTTAATATTAAAATCGTTAATACGGTTGTTAATTAAAAATATACGTAAAATATGAAAGGAATTTACTGTTTTAATAATATTTAACTTATGTTAAACCTAGATATTAAGTAACTTTTAATAAGTTCAAATGATTTAATTAAAACGAAAGGTTTTAAATGTTCAAAGAAAAATAGCTCAAACGTTGCTTTATTAACGTATAATCGTATTAAAGCAAATCATCTTATCAAAAAAATTTAAACCCGTTATAGTTAAAGAATTTAAAAGCTTTTTATAAAGGCATTTTAAAATAAAAAGGGTTTCAAGCTACAAGAAGAAGTTAATAAAATGTTGTTAAATAAAATGAGATTTTTACTACTTAGTAAGTTGTTAAATATAAGATTAGCTTGACGTAAACGGCTATTGATTTAACCGAAAATTCATAAGTCGATTATTAACTTTCTATTAATAAAGATATAATAAAAGTTTTTGAAAGTACGTTATAATTAAGTGATAAAGGTTTTAATAAGGTCGTTAAACTTAAAAATCTTATCAACGGGTAAACGAGAAAATAAGTAAAAAGTTACTTTAATCATATTATTAATAGCGATATTGATAAAAGCAATACGGATAATGAGTATGAGCGAATTAACCATAACAGCTATTTATAAAAATTACGGTAAAGGATTTTTATAGTATACGACTTACTACTATTAGTAAAACTGTTAATATAAAAAAAAGGATTTTTACTAGTTAAAATGCAGCCAAAGAATATAATATATATATCGTAAAAAAGACGTTATTTAAGATTGTGCGTTTATTAATATCTTTAAAAAGAATAAAGTTTAAATAATTAATACTTTATTTACTTTATATTACGAACGTAAAAACGTGTTTGAAAAAGTTGGTTTCGTTTGAATACATATTGACAAAAAGAGTTTAATCAAAAGCAAAGTTTTATACACGATTATTAAATAAGTCGAACGAAGTTATACCTTTTACTCGTTAAAAAAGGTTGCGTGTTATTTTTTATATAAAAGTTAACAACGAAGTTTATATCTTTTTAATTTCAAATTTTCAAATGTATTAAAGTAATAATTTATAATAAAATCAATATAATAGTTCTCATTATAAGTTTTATTATAATATTAATGATAAGTATTATACGTTTACATATATATATTGTAACAAATATTATCAATAAGTTTTGTTTTTATTTAAAAAAACGAATAAGATAGTGTACTTTTATCTTAATAAGACATTATTTCTTATATTTAACGGCCACCTTGTATTTAAAAAAACAAATGAAAATTCGAAGCAGCGCTTTAAAACAAAATCGAAAAATATTTAAAACTTAGCTATAATTAATTAATTAAGAATAAATAACGTTACACAGATATTTATCATTGGTTCGTTTAAGGTATATTTTTACTTCAGTTTTACTTTAAACGATATTACCTTTCTAAATGACGTAATGAACAGGGTATTAAAACGAGACGATAAAAAAGTATTAACGTTATTATAAACGATAATTTACTTTTAACATTTATTAGTATATTTATAAAAATTACGGTATAAGAAATGTTAATAATCCAAAAATTCAAATCGATTTTTATAATGTTGTAAATAAAATAAATTTCGACGTCGTTTTTATTGATCATTTTAAACTTATTTAAATCAACAAAAAGGAAGTTCGGTTGGATTAATTTCTAATCGAGCGCTCGCCTAAAGCAAATACTTATCACCCGTAATTATACGTATATAAAATCTGTTAGATATATAGCTTTTTTTACTGGTATTATAAATACGTTTATTATATTGTTTTAAAACGTCTTTAAGGTTTAAAATTAACTGCTGTTACTATTTAACAATCTCGACGTAAATATTATTTAATTTAACAACGCTTGATTTTAACGTATAGATTAATAATACTTCAAAATTCGCTGAAAAGCATTTAAAAAGGGGCTACATTATTTAAAAATAAAATATTATAAGTATAAAAATATACTCCTTAACGATTACAATTTATTTTAACTTTTTTTCAAACGGTAATATTACAAACGAACTATATTTTAATCACTATGATACGTGTAAAATTACAAAAACGTAAACGACACTTTTATTAATTAATAACTCAAAAGGATCAAAAAATTCATGAAGAATTTGCCATTTTTAATCTCGTAACCTTTTAAACCGAGATAAATATCTTTCGAAAAAACGTTTATCTTATAACCGCTACCATTTAATTTATTCTTTATTTTTTACCTCTTTATTTTTTAATTTACAACTTTAAGTAAATTTAACTCCTCGTAGTTTATTTTCTCGTTAATATTTCTAACTCTTTTTATAATAATATAGTAGATTTTGTCGACATTTGCTTCTAAGCTGTTAATTTTAAATAGTAAACTGTTTATATTATTAAATAATATGACGGTCGTTAAAAAAAAAAATTTCGCCTTTTTTCCCCCACTTATTTAATTATATTTATACGTCGTTTTATTCAAACTCGAGGCACTTTTTTGTTAGTTGTTAATTTAATAAGTAAAAAAACGTTTAACTTACGATTAACGATATCCGTTAAAGGTTTAATATCGATAACGTTAAATCATATGCTTTATTTAACTTTATCGTTAAATATATCAAAAACCTATGTAATACTTGCTTTTATCAAAATAGTCGCCGGAAAAACCTTATGACATTTTATAACGCTTTAAGCGCTTCGTTACTATTCTTAACGCTCGTTATTATAAATCTTTAATAAAAGAACTTTTAACTCTATATATTGATTTATAATAATTAAAAAAGTTTTAATGACGATAATTGTTTTAAAATCGCTAAACAAAACTATTAGTTCCGGCTTTATATTATTGTATATTAGTTTGAAATTCGTTTCCCTACGTTAATAAAGTATGTTATTTACTTTAAGTTTCGTATTAAAAATTATTACAATAAATACGAGTAATAAACTTATAGTATTACTTATAATTATAGTTTTATCTAGTTTAAAGGCGTTTTTCTAAACGGATATATTTTTTAAGAAACTTAAAAATAGATTTACATAGTTTACAAGAAACTCTATCAATGTTATGAATATAAATCGTAACCGAGAAATATGACCTAATCTTTTATTTTAGCTTAAAATAGATACAATATAATATCGTTTAACTGTTTATTTTGCTTTTTAAGACGTTTTTAAATTTATTTTTACAACTGAGCTTATTATATATGTAAGAAAAAGTCTGTTAAAAAAAGGACTATTTATTTTTGTTAACGTTTATTCAAACAAAGCTTATATTTAATCCGCTAATTTTTAGCTTTTTATTACGTATGTAAATCTCGTTAATAACGTTATACTTTTTATTATAGCTTGTCTTTATTTGGCACATCTGCTATATTAAATCTTTTGTATTGTTTTTCAATTTTTAGACTTGTTTGTTTATTTTTTTAGTCGATCGTTTTTTCGATTTATACTATTATACGTTTATTACTTAACGAAACGACCTTTATATATATTTATATAACGTCGTTATTGTTTTTAAGTAAATAGTTAATATTAATATCTCACTTTTTACTTTTCTTAAGTAATTCAGGATCATATAGCTAAGTATTACTTTAAAGGCGAGAAAAAATTGAAAACTTAGCAAGAACTTTTCGCCGGAATCTTACTGTAAATTGATAAGTGTTCGTTTATGCTATTATTAATAACGCTTATTAATAAATAAACTCATTAATAAGCGTGATATATCGGTATAAAAGGTTATATTTTTCCTTTTTTATCTTTACTTAAAAAATCCTCTAGAAAAAATGTTAACGTTGATTATCGTTTTAACAAAATCAAAGGCGTTTTTCAAACTTTCTAAAAATTAACGATTAATATTTCGAAATTCCTTTCTCGTTATTTCAATGTTACAATTTTCGTGCATATTAAACTTAAGCCTAAGAAGTTAAAACTTATTTATAAGTCGTTGATTAAACATATTTTAAGAAATTATAGAATTATATTAAAAAACGTTGTTGACGTTAAAAAGTGATTAAAGATTAGTTTATAACTAACTTTTAAGCGGGTTAAAAGAAGATTAATCGCGCTTATGTTAATCATTTAAATACGTTTTAAAGTTTTAAATAAGTTTCGTAGTTTTGTTTTTTCACTTTGTGGTTTTTTTAAGGTTTTGATTAATAATCAAGTTAAAGCGAGCGAGCTTGTACTTGTTTTTATAATATCAGCGTAATTTTAAGGCTAGATGTTTACTAAATATATTATTAATATAATATTAATAGATATTATTATTAAGGTTAAAATTAATAAGATTATACCGGGTATTAATATAAGTAATATAATAAACTGTGTAAATAGATTATAATTAAAGTCGAAAAAGATTAAGTTTAAAAACGGAGATCAAAGTTATCGTTATTATTATTATCGTTAAAGCTATTAACAGTACGATTATTAATATATTTATTGCGTTTAAAAGTAATACGTTTATACCGCGCGGTAATAGTTGAAGGCGAATCTTGATTAAATTAGTTATAATGTAACAGTGTATTAATATTACGTTAACGATTATACTCCTTACAACGTTATAACTTTGTTATATAGTTTTATATAATAAAAAATAACGCGAAATATTTCATAAAGAAGTAGTTATAAAGCGACTTAGAAATAAATTTTAACTTATAGTTATTATATTATTTAGAGCATTAAACGTAAAAAGACGTGATTAACGAAATAGAAAAAACGTTAACGTAATAAACGAACGAGGTAACGTTATATTAAATAACTTAACGATAGTAAAGATGTTAGAGGTTGCTTTTTAAAATAAAGCTGAGTGTTAATATAACGATTAGAAACGCCATAAAAAGTTAAAACCCGTGTAAATAAAAAATGTGTTATAAATAAAAAGTAACGACGCGTAAAAGATAATAAAGGATAGCAAAAGATATAAATACTTATAATATTTACCTTTTTACGATATTTAAGACAAAGGGCGGTTTAAATAAACCGAACTTAAAAATAAAGTAATAAAGTATATGTATTTTTGAATATATTGAGTATTTAATTTACGGGATAAAATTATCTGTTTATTTAGAACGATCGCGAGAATAATTGCAACAAGGAAGGCTACTACCGGGAGGGCTAAAAGGAGGTATCATATTATTTATTATTACTATTATAACGAAGCGATTAAAAAAGCGATTAAAAACGACGTTTCGATTAACAAATATGATAAAGATTTATAATTAAATATAATAAAAGTATTATATAATAAAAGAGAAGCGATATATTACATATTTATTACGAGTTATAAAAGATAAGAAAATATATCAATCATAATCTATAAAAGATAAGGGATTAAAAGATAAGAGGATTTAAAAAATAAAAGTTATATAAAATAAACGGGCGGAGAGTTTCCGTTCTATATACGAGCAACGAGTAGGCGTAAAAGTGGACCGTGCGTAAACAAGTTGATAAGTAAATTATTTATAATGTTTTAATTAATTGCCAATATTTTAGCTAGCTTAATTATTTTTTAATAAATATTTCTATATATAAAGAGATTTACGGCATTAAATATTATTAAAGTTTATTTTAAGCTTATAAAGGATATAAGCGGTTTTTATTACTAGATATCATGGTGTTTTTTAAGAAAGACCTTTTAAATCTTTTTTATCTTGTAACGGGCTTTATTTACGGCGTATTTATGACGCTTATAATACCGTTTAACTTTGTTTTAAAGCTATTTTAACTTTTTTAAGCTATACGTTATAGTTATAACGGTCATATAATGATGTTTTAATTTATTAAAAATTATGAACTAATAAGAAGTTTATTATTATAGATTTAATTAATTTAAAAGGCGCTAATATTTTTACCGGCATATAAATTTTATAAAGACTTATTTAAATTAAAAAAGCGGTAAGAAATGCCTTGTTAAAAAGGGACAGTTAAAAGAACATTATAGGCTTTTAGAAGTATTAAGTATTTAGCGAGGCGACTTAAATTTCGGTAAAGGTTATAGTAATAAATTGGATGTTTCAAACCTTTCTTAATTATTTTACCTGCAACGGCGTTGTATGTAGCAACACGACGATCACACGATGAATTCTAAGTGACCTGTTAGAAATACCGACCAACCCATCCAACAATTGAACATCCATCCAACCAACCCTCCAAAGGAACCGAATGAACCCGCCGACTACTTAACCACCAAAAATGGCGCACCTACACCTCGCCCAGCCACACACAACCGCCGCCATCTTCTCGCCCTCAGTCGCGCGCGCCGCCGCCTCCACCGCCAAAGACTGGGCCTATGTCGACAGCTGGCTGCGGACCAGATACGCGCAGCTCCACCCCTCCAATGGCCGCAGCAAGAAACCCCCGATCTTCGAGCGCAACCAGGACACCCTGAACGCCCTGCTGGCCCTAGTCGCCGCGAACGAGGCCGCCGACGAGGAGCGCGAACAGCTGGGGCGCATAGAGGAAGCCGCGCTCAACGAAGTACGGGATGCCGAGGCCGAGAGGGCCGGACGGAGACAACAAGCCGGTGAAGGACGAGCGGATGTTAATGTTATCGACGGCGACCTCCTCGCCGAGGAACTCCTGCACGCCATAGACGACGGCCTAAACAAAGAGGGCCGCACCGCTCTCGACGCCATGGCCGACGTGGCCATTGAGCTGGGCATGGCAAGCCCACAGCCCGTCGTCGAGGCCCTGGGCCACCGCTTCGTCGAGCTGCAGGGCCGCGCCTTCGAGATGGAGCAGACGGTCCACCGTGTCGGCATGCTGCAGCGCTACCTCGACACCGAGGCCGCTCGCATGGAGGTCTTCCTCGACGAGCTGCGGGGCGACGAGTACCAGCCGGAGGAGGACCTTGCGCAGCAGAACCTGGAGTTGCAGCGCAAGGTCAAGGCTGTGTCCGCCAGGTTGCCTGAGCTGAAGCAGCAGGTCATCGCGCTTGAGAAGACCGTTGGTATCCCGAGTCTTACCGTTGAAGAGGTCAGGGAGGATGAGGAGGCCTATTTGGATTTGCTAGCCAAGAAGAAAGACCTTGATGCCCAGGTCAAGGCATTTGCTGGTTTGCCTCCCGACATTGAGGCCGCAAGAGTCGAACTGGAGGCCCTGCGCACCGAACTACGCGACGCAACCAACGAGAGGGATACCAATTTCGAGAAGCTTGTCGAACGTGAGAGTCCCGCCAAGTTTAGAAGGAGGCCGTGAAAGCCAAAAGAGTACATCGGCATGGATGCCATTAACATTATTAATAAACAAACACCAGTCCCTATGCTATGCTCTGGGTATGCCCACTGGCATCAACGTGATATACTCGGTCCCAACCCGCTCAGCGGCTTGTTATGGCCTCCGGTCCGCTACAGGGTCTATGAATACTGGCTCCCGTCCACCGACAATGAATACAACCTTACGCTATGGATTTAGTCGGCAAAACTCAACCTCGGAACACGCGAATTTATATCAACACTATTGCTGTGTTCGCTTCCCTCGGCCCGAGACCGATGCCCCCAGTCTGCCAAACTGTTTTCCAAGCCCTGAACTGCGCTTGGGCGGTGCTGCCGGAGGCGCCAAGTCTTTCTGTGGCACAGACGGCACAGGTGGTCCAGCTGGTCGCGATGTCTCCTTCGTTCCCATGCCTTCCGAGATGCGCATCTCGCTGAAGTCTGGCCCGTCGTCGAGGCCGCCACGGCCCATCAGTCTCTGCGCCCGTCTAGCCCGATCCTGCACGCTCCGGAACTTCTCGAGGAGCTGGTCCCACCGAATGCCGCCGTCCTCGCGGCCCTTACCAAGCCGGTTGGGCCTATCATAGTTGGACGCGCTGGGTGTAGTGACAGAACTGGTTGATGAAGCATGAGTGTCATGGACGCTTTTAGAACGAGGGGTATGGGTCTGGAACTGGAAAGAAGAGACTGTCTCGGCTACCACCGATCCTTGTCGTGAGTGCGAGGGGGGAGCAAGACCAGGGATGGATGAAGGTACATACGGTCGCGGCGTGATGTGCAGGTAGCCGATCGAGCTGACACTATTGAGTCTGTTCTTGAGCGCAGCAAAGGCAGATGATTGTGGTAAAAGCATCAAGAGCCCATAGAGACACTTGTATAGGTACGGGTACTTCTCCGGCTCGAGGAGCTGAAGTCGGAGATCTACCACGGCCTGTCAGCATTCTCCAAGGATGTGGACTTAAGTACTAGCCACCCACATGTAAACACGGGAGACTCAATGAGCTGGACAAGTTTGTCGATCTGGATGAGGAGATGGACCGTCATCTCGAGTTCCGCACTGCGTTTGATCAGCCACACCATCAGTCAAGACCTATAGGACCGATTCTTACAATATTTGCAAGAGATTATAAGCCGCCTCGTACGCTTGTGCAAGCAGGCACAGCGAGAATGTCGCAACGGCGTTATAGCACCATGAGCGGAACAGTGCCACAAAGAACATCTGTCCATCCTGCACGGGTGGTCAGTCGAGCGGCGGGACGCATGCGAGCCGAGAGAGTTTGACTTACCTTGCTCTCCAAGTTTCGTAGACGTTTCCGAAGATCAGCCAGCTCTGGTGCCGTGATGAGATTGTTGTTGAGGTTTTGCACCATTATGCTCGCAAATTCCAGGTCCTCTTCCTTCTCAATAGTCTCGGCGAGAGTGCGGTAGATCCGCTCCGGGCTTAATGTCATGCATAGTTGTCTGATGATTAGGTTGCCCCGCGTCTCCAGCAGCCTCCTGTCGGTAGAGAATAGCTGTAGGAGGCTGACCATGAAATTTGAGAAGTAGTCATCTTCGCTGTTCCGCGATATCTGTGACAGGAGCTGCAAGTCTTTGGTGACGACAGCTTCGGCTGGGTCCGAAAGTGTCTTAAGCAAGGCCGGGAAAGTACCGTCGTTGAATGCAACGATCTTGCGGGGTGCCTTACGGTGCAACATGATGAGCCAGGTTAGTGCAGCGACACGTGTTGCCTCATGATCGTTCAGGAACAGCAACGTCAGGGAGTTCACGGCCGCAGCGTAATCCAAATCGGGCTGGGGTTGAACTGACGGAGCGGGGGTAGTGGTGTTGCGACTCTGGCCTGGTGTGGGACTGCGTGGTTCTACCTCACGAGCACTGGACAGGGACGCACGTGTACTAGACCCAGCCTCGGGGCGATCCAAGGTGAGAGATGTCGGTATCCGAGAGGGTGGCTGGCTTGAGGGTGGCTGGCTTGGGGCCGAATCGGTCTCATCTGTGAGAGAGACGACATAATCCATCAACGAGGAATTGACTCTCGCCGCGGCTTGCCGAATGGGTTCGACTCCGCTGGCCATTGCCGGGAGCAGATGGGCTAGAACTTTGGGCGTAAAAGGCAACACCTCTTCAGGACATATGTCCAGAAAAGAGATGATCCATCGCAGGCTTTCTTGAAGACTGGCCTCCTCTGGCGTCTTGTTAGATATGTGAATGTGGCCCCCTGATTGTAGGTACTTACCCAAGGGGGAGTCCAGAGTCGCGGTCAAGATCTCCAGAATGGCCTTGTAGTTAACCTGGACGTCCTGTCCTGGTACCCAGTCATCTTCACTGCTGACGTCGTCGTCTTCGTCGTCATCGTTGACAGTGGTGGAGCCAGCCTCGTCGAGATCGTCAGGAGCGATGTGCATGCTCCCGCTGTCGACGGATTCCTCTCGCTTTCTCTTGCCGTCACCTTTGGACTTCCTGCTGTCGGCAATGCCTTTCTTGACTCGAGCGATCCGCTTAATCTCCTCCAAAAACTTATTTAGGCAAACTTGAGTGGCAGTATGGACATCGGGATTGTTGCCGCTCAGGAACTTTAGCAAACCCTCCAAGAACTCAGGCAGGTACGTGACCAGCTCCAAATCTGGAATGGAATCGAGTAGAGTGATCCAGCCAACCAGGAAGGTCCTGGTGAAAGGATTGATAACCCAGATACGTTCCTTCAGCAGCGGGATAAAGTCCGGCAGAGAGAATGCAGTGGGGGGGAGACGAGCATCGAGTTCTTCGGCATCTTCGGGGTCCTTCACCGGCGAAACTTCCAAGACCGATACGTAGGTGGCCGCGGATTCAGCCACGATGTCTTTGATGAGACGATCGAGAAGCTCTGCGCCATTCTTGACCGAAAGCTCCGAATCTGCACCTAGCTACGCAAGGTCCCGAGTTAAGAGTGGTTTCAAAGTAAGTAGGAAGAGGTGAAAGTGCTGAGTGGCCTACCTTGCATAAGGCGTCGAAGATATGGTTGAAGTACTTCAATATCTCCCCTTTGGCCACCTTGGCGATGTTGTACATGGATTCGCACGCGTAGTAGCGAACGCGTGCATCTTGATCAGTAAAGCAGGCGAGTACAGGTGGGACTATTATTTCCAGGTATCTCGGCAGGTCCTTGGATTCGTCGTCAGCATGGGGAACATAGAACAGCTAGGCTACGAACTGGGCAGGAGAGAGAGAAGAGGACGGGGTATCATGGCATACAGATCCGAGGGCAATAGCAGCAGCAGCTAGACCGATGAGACCGCCGTTACGAGCGTGCGGTTGATGAACGGCATATGCATACTCGTCGCATAGCTGTTGGATGATGGCCTGGACCCTTTTGGAGTCCTTGAGAGCCAGCTGCTCCCGGATGGAGCGTTCCAGCCTAGAGTGGCCGGTGGTCAGCCAGAGGCACTTGCTCAGGGTGACCAGATATGCCACGAATGAGAAACATACTCAAGAGCACCGGTTTTCCGCTTGTCATAAAGCTTATCGTTGAGGAGGCGCGCAATTTGAGGGTCCATAGCTGCTTCGTCCACTTAGGGTTGCAGACCACCAGACCATGCTGGTACGGCAAGAAGCGAGCAACGTCCACGATGGCACCCGGTGTCGGTGTCGGTGTCGTAGACAAAACGCGATGTCAAGTGTCTCAAGCTCAAGCTCAAGGACTGATATCCGTCGGATGTTACTGGCGACGGTTGATCCAGATACTGGGAAGTCGGCAGAAACGAGGCTGAGGATGCAATGGAACAATGATGCGGACGCGAGCAGGGGACTCATAATTGGAAGGGAACGGGCGAAGAGACAGAGCGGGGCAGTCCGGGAGCGGGTGGGAGATGGAAAGCGTGGCTGACACTGGACAGGCACTGGAAGCGCTAGACTGGGTCGCTCTAGCAGAGGTAAACACTGAAACAGCGCTAGATTGCCGCACCTTCTAGCCCCTGCCCTCTGTAGCTTCCATCTTCACGCACCAAGGTACAGGTAACTTCCATCATTAATGCCAACGCTTGCATAAAATGCCTCCGATTTTTAACCCGGAGTAAAAAGAGGCAAAATCGGCGCGAAAATGCTAGAAATTAGTGGTTCTAAAAGGGTGCTTAAAAATAGTGGTTTGAAAAGAAAAGGCGTGTGACAGTGTACAGCGGTATCCACCTGGATAGATAGATGTTTAGCCATCAGGTCACGTGTAAATTAGATAAGAAGACCAGGACCACTACATGTGCTACAGCCTCGGCTGTACGCCCATCTATTCCTTTTCTCCTACCTTGTTATTTTTATAATCAATCCCAGATTGCAACACACCGCCACAGACGTCGTGACAAGGCGGCAAAGCGTGTTAATAAGAAAATATTTTAAAAATAAGACAAAAGCTTTTATTTCCGGCCTTAAAAGTAAGTTTAAAAAATATAACGATATATATGTAAAGTTTAAATAAGTAGCTATAATAAAAACTATATTTAAAGATTTTGATATAAACTTTTAAAGGTATTTTATTCGGTTTATACCTTTCAAATTATTAATAACTTTATTATTATACACATGTTTATATAGTTAATATTTATATATAAAAATAGGTTTAATAATAATACTTGGAATAATATATAAATGTATAGTTAAAAATGGCTTAAATGTTTTAATTACTTTATTTAATTACCTTTTTAAGCGTCATTTCTTAATAGTTATAGTATTATTAAATAAAAACTTTATAGTTTATATTTTTTGGTATATTTATTAACAACGTTAAAACTTTTAAAAAATCGTTATTATGATATATAAGGTTTTTAAGGAAAAGTTTATTATTTTAAGGGTTAATATCGTTAATAATATCCCGACTTATAAAATCGTTTTTAATATATGTAAAGATTTTAACTATACGTTTTTAAAAACCTTTTAAAATAAAGCTTGTTTATAATATAGTTCAGATTATTTATTAGTTATAAAATTAATATGTTATTATTAAGCTTTATTAATATCGGTAAATCATTTTGTAAAACTTTTAAAATAATAATAATATCAAAATTAAGGTTTAATTTTAATAATAATAAAAATAAGCGTATATTAATTCCTATCGTTAAGACGTGGTTTTTAATTTTCGTTTAATTATTAGTAAGTTTGATAATAAAGGTAATTCCAATGTGATTAACCGTTTAACGTAATGTTAATTTAATATATAAATATACGCTTTATTTGGTAATTTCTATAAAAAAACCATAGGCGTTAAGAAGGAAAATTAGTTTTTTGTATTAAATTTAATTTGTTAATATTAATATTAATTTTTAAAGGTTTTATATTTTTTACTTAGATTCTTACGTTATTATATTACTTTAATTACGATAGGGTTTTTTTTGTTATCGTAAAAGTAAATAAAGATTGATAACTTAGTTAAGCGATTAAATAGTATTTCTATGGAAAAAAGTTAGTTTAATTAATATTAAAAAACTAATAATAAATACACGAAAAATATAGGTTTATTTATTTAAAGCTTTTTTATTTATTATACAATTATATATTTGTATTATTATTCTCAGTATAATTTATTATTTATATTTTTAGCTAATAAACTATTATTATTTGTTTACTTTTACTAACATTTAGTCGTAAACTTTATTAAATATATTTAATCAATTAAGTACGTTAATAGCTTATCAAATCTTTAATTTCTTAAGATTTAACTATTAAAGTTATTCAAATATACTTAGAGTCTTAAGAATTTTAGTCTTTTATTACTTGTTTACTTTTATTAATATTTAGTCCTTAAACTCTATAAAAATATTTAAATGATAAGTAGGTTTATATTATTATTTTTAAGTTTAACTGTTAAATTTGCGTAGAAAATATTTAATACCTTACATACTTTAGTATTTTACTATATTTTATTTTAATTAACGTATCATTAAAAATATAGTATAAGACAATGTTTAGTATTTTAATATTTTAATATAATAATTCTTGTTCATTTTTATTAATATTTAATAGTAAAAGTTCCTTAGAATAATTGTTAAAACAATAAGCCTTTTTTGTTTTATAGTTTGATTAAATACCTGCTTTTATTTTATTTGAATTTAAATATTTTATACTTTATAACTATTACTATATGTATTTATTATTGTAATTAAAGTTGAATAGTTTTTATAGTCTATAATTATTTATATTTATATCTTTTACCTTCGTTTAAGTTAACTACTTTTTCTTATAATTATTTCTTATTTGGAAAAGCTTTCTAATAAAATATGTAATGAAACTACTAAGCGGATTATCTATTTTTGAAGCTGTATCTTTAATTTAATTGTTTTAATTAATACGGGATTATTTTATACTTACAAAGTTCAGGTAATCGGGCTGCGTACTATCTCTATACATACTTTAATAAAGGCAGTTTCTTAATTAAACGATATTGTTTATAAAAGCCCTTATAAAGCGAATTTTAAAGCTTTAGAAATTAATAAACATAAAATAAGATGTTTTCTATTTGAAATAATTTCGATAATTACTATATTGATTAATTATACAAGTAGTTTTGTATGTTAATGAATATTTTTTTTTTACTTTTAAAGTTAAACGTGACGTTCCATATATGTGAATAGGACATAGAAGCCTTTGTTCAGTATATACATATAACTATCTCTGGCTGAAGAAAAAAAAAAGATTGAGCGGCACAGCCAAATCCAGTGGGCAACTAGATAAGCGTGTCCGCCCCACAATTCAGAGCCCTAGTGGGTCTGGGACAACCAGTCCTCCAAGACCATCACTGATAGTAGCGACGTAGCAACCATCACATTAAAGCTTAATTATTTTGTTAATTGACCTAAAATTTATTCGTAAAGTAATAGAATTTGAAGTAAAACTTTTTTATATCAAACGTTACAAATAATTATTAGCTTAAAATAACAAATACAAGCATTTTTATAATATGTCGGACGTGGTGTCTCATGGTGTGTGGCGCAGGCTGTGGCGCAGGTGATCCGTGTGTGGCTGGGGACGGTCGTTGTGAGACCGTTGCCCCACCGCTCAGCTGTTATGCTAGCGGGACACGTACGTACTGTATTTTAGCTGTATTCGTGTCCGCACTAGGTAGACACTGAACCTTAGAGAAATCACAAGCGAATGGATACGTATTCTGCACACTGCCTTTACACATAATATTTTTAAATGTTTTATTAACGAGTTCTTCGATATTATCTACATATTCTTATAATATTTAATAATATTTAAAAAAACGCATATAAGGTTTATCACGTAGAAAACGTTATAAAAAGTAAGTTATGTATATATTATAGTTATTATAATTTAAATAATAATTCTTAAATACTACTTAAATTTTTATTGAAATTTAGAAAAATTCCAAAAAACAAGCTGATATTTAATATTTATTTTATCGCTTTGGTTATAAGTATATTATATGTGTATTTAACCTTATGTATAATGTAATATATAGAAAAAATAATTCAACTAAATTTGTTCTTAAATGCCTTACTAAATTTTTAAAAAAGATTGTGATTATGCCTTTAATTAAAATAAAAATTAAAAAGGGAAAAAATATTTTACCATTTATGTTAAGATGCCAGTATAAAGTATAAATGTAAGTTTAAACGATATTTTGGAAAAAGGGGTATTATCAATAATACTTCCTTATATATATTCAATACTTATTATCATTATGTTTAAATAGCCGGTTATTAAATTTATGAGTATTATATATAAGTTAATAAATTATAAAAACGTAAAGCGTTTGATCTAAAGTAATCCAAATTTATTCAATTTTATTATAGTTTATTTATCTATTAAGTTTTGTTGGTTTATTATGATTCAATATAATTGTTATTACTTATTAGTTTTAAGTTGAATAGTCAAAACGATATATATAGAAACCATTTGCTTTATTTATCATTAAAGTTATTAAATATTTACATATTAGTATGGTTTTATTTTTATATTTTTAGTCAATAGTATATGAATATGAGCAGTAATGCCAAGAATCAATTTCAATGATGAATTTGGTTCTCTTATTAAGCGTTTATTAAGTTTAAATTTTACTTTTATACCTCAGATTTCTCTTGTTATTTTATACTCGATTTAATATATAAAGTACAAAATTTAAAAGGCTATTTTATGTTAACGTAAATGACAAGCGAGCGGCAATTACAAGCGAACGGCAACTTCTTACCAACCTCCCAACTGCGATGTCAAATAACTTAATCATAACGCATTCCATTCAATTCAATCAAGCGGATTCCTTTTCTTCAGACGTTTCTATCTATATTGTACAAGTTCGCGTATTATGGCCAGTGTTGCTGCAAACGTCATACCGTTGCTCACGCGCTGCTGTCCTCCTTGTACTATGACTATTTTCACCCATTTCTTGTCTTGCCAGCCCAGTATTATGCTTTGTAGCCTAAAAAACTATTGTATCTTTAATAATAATAAATTTCTTTTTTATTAGATAATTTTTTTTTTCTCTGGTATTTATTTAGTAAGTGACTAGTCTTTTTTAGCTCGCGGACCCAGGAATTAATCAAAGCGACCTTGTGCATAAGACCGTATATAGCCTTTGAAAATCAGCTCAATACATCAATTATTGATGTAGGTGAGCTTCTCTGGTAGTTTCTGACTCAATTTTGGATATAAACTGATTGGTTTACCGCTTCATTAATAGTGATAGGCATCTTTGAAGTCCAAGTAATGGGTGACAGATTGGGGTCTGGCAACGGTGTTCGTATCTTAGATACCATGTTTTGTGACTGCTGCCTCAGCTTGGCAAAACCATACGCGATACACGTTTGAATCTTTGTTCAAGACCCTCTGGTAGTCCATCCTCCGATAAAAACGTGGCCGGAGGCCTGATGTGCGTTTAATAAAGTTCGCCGTCTAGTTTTTCCTGATGTGTCCAGTCCCATGTGCTGCCAACAATTGATTCACTATATTTTAATATAAGTGTACTGGTGCGGAAATGCTCACATATCCAGGTCAAGTATAAAAGAACAAATGGCATTCTCTTCAAAAACCATAAGTTTCAAAGTATTGGGTATACTATCGCATCGTGATGGTCAGCCGGCGATTCTAGCCTTTAAGGTATTATATGAGACATGGAAAGTCTTAGAAAGCTTGCTAATAGTAATATAAGGGTCGCGTCGTTTAGCTTGGACAGCAAGCTGTAAGTCTGATTCGCTATAACACAATGCTATTACTGTTCGTTGATCAATTAGAAGCCTTGATGAAAAGGTTAGGTGGTTGGTGAAAAGTTGCCGTTCGCTTGTAATTGCCGCTCGCTTGTCATCTACGTTAATATAATTTTAATATTAATTGTATTTAAATTATTTTTAACAATATTTATATATTTGAACCTATATTATTTAAAAGCTTTTTATAGTTTCAAACTTTAAGTATAAAGTATAGTAAATGATTGAAATATTCTTGTTTCTATATAAATATTCAAATATAAATTTGTTATTTATACTTTTTTCTCAGTTATTATCGTTAATACTGTTAGATCCACGCGATACCAGCCTGCAAATTATCTATACCAGGACCTATATATATGATTAGATAAGAGATTAGATACCGGGTTGCGAGGTCACTGAGCCAGACCTTCAGGTCCAGCTAGACCTCCCAATCCAACCTATCAGCAACATCATGACTTTGATCTGTACTCGAGTATTATGATTGATCGGCCAAGCCTGTTCCAACAAATACGTTTATTCTATCTAGTTTAATGTTACAAATCAACAAATACCATGGCCTGTTGGAGGGCCAAGGGAAGTACACCAAGAACCAATGGAATCAGAAGCCAGAAACGGAACATTGGGTATTACGGATTACATAACGAACGATCATGTGACGGATCACTGGATCATGGCGTGAGCCTGCAAGGATCACTGGATCAGGGAGTGAGCCAGTGAGCATCACTCTGGGACAAGGTGATCCTACTCCATCAGTAAGGGAGAGATTGGATATATAAGGACGGACATTTTCCAGCTAGATAGATAGACAGTCTCTACCTCAGTGATCAATCTAAGCATCTTAGACAACCCTAAGGTGGGAGAAATCTCCTGACAACTCGACTATACAGTGATCCCCTAGATCAGACTAAGCCCCAGCATCTGAGTGTCTTCTAGTTGAAAGAAGCCTCTATCGTCTTTTGTGTTGACTTACCTCAGAATATAAACCCTATAGAACCCTTTAGCCTTTTAGGTTAGACGGCTCGTCACATTTAAGTATAATTTTAAATTAATAAAGTGCTACATCGTATTATCGTATACCTTTAATAATAATAAAATAAAATTTCCCGCTTTATTAAATATTTTGATAATTGTCAGATGTTAGATCCCAGATATAGTGCCCTTGAGTGCAGTACCCACTAAGGGGCTGTCAAGGGAACAGTGGATCCACCCTGGCATGGTGCAGTACGGTATTTAGCTGTAGATTAGCCCTGCCGAGCATACTTGAGAATGATAACAATATTTGCAGCGACCGCTCACACCCCCAAGGCTTGTGACCCTTCTAGAATCTCACAATCTCACAGCTTGTAATAATTAGTTTCTCAATTTTTGGTATTAAATATGTTATTACACTCCCCGGCCATAAGTCTCTGAGCATCCCTGTTTTACACTAAAACACACCAACTTTACGCGATTATGATAAATCGAGTAAAATAGATACAACTTAAGTACTTATAGTACATATAGTTAAATTTACTGGAATATTACAATGGTTTATTTAAAAACTTTGACATCTCAAAGATAAAGGTCGTAAACGTTACTTTATTAAAGGTTAAATTTTCGATAATAATAACTTTCTCAAATATCTATTTCTTAAAAAATCTATCACATAAGGTTTTTCGTCTTATACGTGTATTACATGTCATTCAATATTATATAACTTTATTACGACTTATACGATTTTTCAAACATTTCTTATAGCTTTATTAAGATTTAAGATTTAAGATTTTAAACTTTGCTTTTATATATCTATTTCTTAATATTTTAGTCGCTAAGAAAATAAATATTTAGAAACTAGTTACGAAAACTTCAGCATTTTCAAATATTGGTTTTTTATAATATCTCATTTTAAAATTCTTTAAGTCTTTAGTTATAAAAGCGTAAAGGTAGGGCATTTGGTGTAAATGCGGGGATGCTCAGAGACTTATGGTGGGTCAGTATATTAAATTTAATACAAGTCTTTTATTTCTAATTACCTTTTTAAATGCTAATAATTTATTTAAGTCTTTTATATTGTTTTTTTAATCACCGGATTACTCATATTGTATTCATTTGATACGATTTATAAATATTATCAATATCATATTTAAATCTAACCTTTTTATTATTTTAAGGTTTGTTTCTTTTGAAGAAGTCAAGGACTGGTTAATTGTTTTTGATAAAGGTTATAGTTAAAAGTTTAATAATATCTTTATTACGGTTAGTATATAAAGGTTGTAGCTAGTTCGCAATTGTTTTATTAAATATGTGATAGATCTGACACCCATCATGTGGTTTGGTGGGGTGGACGCGTTGTGTTGAATACACGGATGTTGGTTAATGCTATTGATTGTTCTGCTCTGCGTGAAGAAATTGATCATCTGTCTTCTTGGTGGGTCAGATGCCTGTGCGTCTCTGCCCCACTGGAGATCTTCCGGTGTCTATCCCCGGTTCCCATTCAACACGTTGCCCTACTACACAGATAGATAGATAATTGTGGGTCGGGATTTGGGATCTTTCACCACACCAGATTTGGCTGGTGCTGCAGATCTCTCTTCTCTTCTTCACCAAAGTATTTTTGTACAATTAGAGATATTGATTGGCACTTTCGTCCCGGTCTCCAAGCTGCCCCGTAACAAAATATAACTTACTGGCATTTTAATCAATGAAGAATTTATTTATATAAAAACTTTCCAATTTACTAATGTTATGATGTTATATATTTAAAACATTAAAGTCAATTACATATATAATAATATAATCATCGATTTTAAAAATATTCATTCATATATTAATAAATAATACTAAGTTTGGCTTTTTTAATAAGTTTTATATTAAAATTTTAGAACGCTATAAACTAAGGTAGTTAAACGTTATGTTTTTTATAATTATTAAGTTTACAAGTTAAACTTATAGGTTCATATTGTAATTTAAAAACGTTAAGCATTTTTTTTTATTAAGCTGTTATAGTAAACATAATCTTTGTCGTTAAAAAATCTGATACAAAGCTTATAGTAAAATTTGCTAATTCTAATTAAGTATAACATAAAAAACAATACGTCTATCATAACCGTATATTATTAGCCTAAAAGAAAATACTTATTAAATACGATCTTGTTAATTAAAAGTAATTAAATTAAAATTAGCTTTAAATCAATTTACTCTTTTTCTGATTAAACGTATTAAAACTAAAAAGAGCTAAAAGCCACTTTAGCTATTCTCGCTTTGAAACTATTTACTCAAATTACTTGATTTTAATAAAAAAAACTACGATATTTATATTTAAAAAGCGTTGATCGATATAAAAGTTACTAAGTTAAAAAGTAATATAATCGTATGTGAAGAATTAGGGAATAAAAATAGGTAAAACGAATATATTTATAAAGTTAAAAGGCAAGTAGGTATATAATTATCTATATAAATAAATACTAAACAAAACTTTTAACCTGTAACAAAACCTGGATAAAAGATTTTTAATACTTAAAAGATTTTAGATATAAGTTTTAATCAGCCTTACCTTCTTTATTTATCTTTTATAGCTATTATTGTTTTATAAACCTTATTTACCTGGTTAAAATATTTTATCTTAAACGTTAAATTATCTTATAAATATGGATTATTTACTTAAAGGCGCGTATATTATTTATTATTACTAAGTTACTTAATGAAGCTGCATTTATTTTTAAATCAAAAAGACGGATTGATATTATTCAAGAAAAATATTACGTCGTTTAATGGCGTTGAAATATTTAAAAATAAAGCGTTCGCTTAAACCTTATATAATAATAATAAACAAGTTAAGTATAAGCCATAGATATAAAACCTTAAAGATATATTTAAAAAGTCTTTGATAAAAGCTTAAAGTAAAGTATTAATCAATATAAGCATTTTAGGAAATAATTAATGAAAATGTTGGATCCATGCGATTCCAGACTGCAAACCATGTATACCAGGACCCACATGTATGATTAGATAAGATAAGATAGTGGATTGAGAGGGCACTTGGCCAGACCTTCGAGTCCAGCTAGATTCCTCTCAATCCAACCATCAGCAACATCATGACCATGACCCCATACTCGAGTATTATGATTGATCGTTGAAGCCTGTTCCAACAGAAAACCTGTCAGATGTTGGATCCCAAACATGGTGCCCCTAGGTGCAGTACCCAGTAGGGGACTGTCAAGGGAACAGTGGATACACCCTGGCATGGTGCAGTATGGAATTTAGCTGTAGATTAGCCCTGCCGAGCATACTTGAGAATGACAACAACATGGGTGCAACGCTTGATCCAAAATTGAATTGCAACATGCATAAGGTAAGTAGGAATTTGATGACCTACTGAAGACCTATTTCTAATATTTTTTTCAGGTCTTGAGATCACTGGCAAAGAAACACAAACTGAGCAATCAAAAGAGGGACAACCGCTGTATGACCATTGACAACCTCAAAGCGGAGATTGAGACGAGACTGAGCACGACGAGGAAGTTGTTTGACCTTGGAGAGCTCCGGATTCTTACCATTTTATTTCTTCTCTTCCTGGCTCCTGCCGGCTGGTGCCTGAAATCCATCTTGCGGCTCCGATTTGGAGATATTTGGGTTGTATTAGCGGAAGATCCTGACAGCGGGCCACACAAGCTTTTGATCAACTTTACTCTTGAGTTTATTGAGACGTATTTTGGGACAAAAGATGCGTAAGTGTTCTTCCTGGCAACTTAAGGCTCTTTTATATTAATATTATGGGTACTTTAGTAAGACCTTTATGATCCCTAAGACCATGTTTGATCCATCTTTGCTTTTCAACCCTCATGTCTTCCTCCTTGGCATCATGTTCCAATATCAAGCTTTCCGGGCTCCTACCCTTTTTTCCCCTCGCTATTTAGACGATCTTGATATCCACACTGGCGAGAAAGAGTTGCCTTTGCCACTAAGAAATGACCTCAAAGGCGTATGCATATTCCGCTGAGTCATTACGACCGCTACCGGGCTGCAGATATCATAGGCGGAACCTTTCACCTATGATATGATGTTGGGTTGGATTAAGAAGATTGGAGAGATTCTAGGCCTTCAATACCCAACTATCGCATATTCATTGCGGTATAATACAGGTCATGAATTGGACTAGAACCGTACGTTCTATTTTTACTTCCAAGGAATCTATTGTGCTGACGTTCCAATGCAGCCGACATTAGTGAAGCACTTCATAACCTGACACTAGACCACGCTAACTCAACCCCTTTCTAAAAGCATTAGCTCGGTTGCGCTATTTGCGCAGACCTGTGGGGAATCCTTTGCGGCCAGAAGCCGCAAAAAGCACTATTAAAACAATCCTGCAGTGTCAGTCATTCGATGAGCAAGTGGCGGCTAGTAGATCTTACTCCTGGGCAAGTGGCGTCCGTTAACACAGATCCCAACATAAGGCAGCTTACAAGACAACTCAAGAACCTACGACTAGTGATGAAACAACAGATCGATTCATAACAGGAATTTCGAAATCTAAAGCAGAGATTGAAGAGATTGCTCCTCCAAAAGATCCGAGAAGACTGGACAGACAAGCAGGCCATAGATGACATCGAACACCAATTACAAGGCGTCACATTCACCAAGCTGTTAGATTCAAGCGAGTTCAGTGATTGGAGGGTGATTCTTCGTGTATTGCATGTAGTGTGTTGTATCTGTTCTGTCTGTTCAGGTGCCCCTGATCGGTTCCCAGTTTGGTGCTGGTCATCTCCGCCGTACCGTGGTTTTTCCGGTCGGACTCGGCTCATCTTCATGACCCCTGTTATCCAACACAAGCCCGTACTGGTGGACATAGCCCACCGTCCGCAAGTCCCAGCGCAGAAACAACTAGTTAAGGCCCTGACTACGCCTGTCGACCCTACTTTCCAAGGCCAATCTTGATGAAGGGACAATGCCATCAATGCAATTATGAACTATTGTAGCGTTAAGGAAGGACAAACTTCACGGTATAAATTCACCTCACTGACCAAGAAAACACAATCCAAACCTACGTATGGGCCCCCAGAGGATAACCCCGTTTCTATTGCTAGGCTGTCTGTGTTTGTCCATAATGACAGAGAAAGACCTAAAAGATGCTTCTTATGTATTGGAGCCGCGCTTCCTCTAGAGCCTTATGACCCTTGTGTAGAAGACCTCACGCGTGAATTCTGTACTACCGGAGATCTGACGAAGCACTTTAAGTGTAAATATTTATCCCTTTTGGCGCAAGATTTGACACCAGAATGTAAAGTCTGCAACTTCATACTATCTTCTAAGATGCATCTACAAAACTATGCCTTGTAGGTTCACGGCACTGTGTTATAGAGGCTTTCATGTATCCAAATGTAGTAAAGCTAGGAATTAGGTAATGAGGACATACAAGTGATACGGGGTCTTGGAAATAGCGGATAATAACTTGAATTTACCGAAGTGCATCTTATTAGATATAATCCTACTGAACGATTTTGAAGATATATTATATTATGTATATATAAGGTTCTTTGTCAATCTTGTGTTTTTTATTTGTTTGTTGATGGCTCGGTCTACCTGAGCCACCTCGCCTAATACCGGCTACCTGATCAAGACACCTGCTCAATCCAGAAACCGGGCACCGCATGCTTGTCCAGACACCGCCTGCTTAACTCGGACACCGCTTGCTTAGATAAGACACCGCTTGCTTAGATAAGACACCGCCTTTGAATCAGGTGAGTGAGGAGTAGGCAAATCTAGTAGGCAGTGAATGAGCGGAGCAGGCCATAAGAGGGCAGGCAGGCGGTGAGAGGAACAAGCAGGTGATAGGTGGAATAAGTAGGCGGTGAGTGGAATGGGTAGGCAGTGAGATAGGTGGGTAGGCAGTGAGATAGATGGGTAGGCAGTAAGAGAATAAGGCAGATGGTGAGCTGTAGGTAGGGATAAGGCGGGGTTTGGGTAGCTAGCGACACTGAGATGGTATAAGGTCCACGCTTCCTTCATCTTGTACGTGCGTAAATTTGCGTTGCGTGCCATTATCCTCTCGCGTATTGCCACTCTTGTACGTGCCGTTGCCCGTCTCGTAACCTTGAGAGTCCTTGTCTAGATACTGCCTAGTAGGTATATCTTTCTTTATTCAAACTATTTAATACTGTTAGGTACGACTCCTCAGATGCCTTTATCACGCTCGTTTGATTTCGTATTGATCTGGGAAACCACTTTGCCGAATGGATATATGTCACTATAGTTACAAATGCTTTGACACAAAGCCCAAGATACGCATTCCCATCCGACGTTGCCCTCGTTCATCCCGCGCATAGTGCTATGTGATACGAGCTGAGTCAGCATGCTGTCCATCTTAAGTTTGACGCACTCAAGTCAATGGCTGTGTATGTCTTTTTGAAGTCAGGGTTCAAAAACAAAGCCTGAAGTAAGCACTCTCATTCAATGTGACCCTTCTTTATCCCATTCATAGTGTCATACGATACAAGCTAACTCATCCCCAGGTCAACCGGGAGAAGCTTGCTGCCAGAGCCGGCTTTAAGGACGCTGTAGCAACAAGAGCTATCCCGAGTTTTTTATACGAGTAGTAACAAGCTAGGGCCGTGGTTGAAACTAGGAAGGTTCAAGGCATGACTGAAAAAAAACAAGAAGTTCTAAAGGATATTCATAGCAAAGTAAGACGGATTCAAGTAACACGGGTCGGTGTCATGACAAGTATTCAAAAGATGGCTCTTGCAACCACCTTCTTAACTCGTAATAACTTGTTCCAAGACTCCGGTAGCAAGGAACGCTATTCAATACCCCATGCAAAATGGTAGAAATACTACACCCGGCACCTATACCAGCACTTACTGTCGGATAGCCTATCATAGCCCCCTTTATCATGTCTAATGTAGCCTTTTGGGGCATTATGGCCTAAACGCGACTGTACTTCCAAACTATTATCAGCAATCGAAACCCGGGAACTGTGACTTTTAATAGTGTTTGCCTTACTCTACCTCGAAAATGGAGACTAGTCATGACCAATACATGCAGTAACAGAATGAAGAGAATAACTTAAAAAGGTTCTGTAGATCTGCCTACGGACTAATAGGAAGCTATATGACTTAACAAGCACAGAGACAGTTTCCTTAATGGCTGTATAGGGGCTAAGTCAGTGTACCACTGCTGACCATATACCGCTAAGAATGGTTAAAGGAGAGGTGGTAGTCAAAGGGAGAGATGGAATTGGAAGGGAGAGATAGCAGTGCAAGAAAGAGGTGATAGTCACATGGGTCATTACTACTCTGCTTCTCAATGTATACCAAAGGATGGTTGAATTGATTATAGATTCCCATCTACCCTTGGGGACTACAGTGTCTCTGATAACGAACATCAAGGTGGGAATAAAGGCGTGGTATGAGCGCTGCTGCATGCATTGTGAGCCTGGCGTCAACTCGGGCCAATCATAGCTGCAGTGATGTCCCAACACTTTGGGAGCCCCTATACCTGCAGGCCAGAGCAATTTTGCTTTATATGAGGGGGATTAATGAGCTTTTTTATGATAACAAACCAAAGAAGTCATGGTTTCTTGTTCACTATTAATTAAAAGCTAAATATATAAGCTGTATATATACCCTGACAAGACACAGGTATCAAATTACTACTTATTATAATATAATTATGCCCCGGGTAATGCAACGTCTCTGATGAAGAACAGCTCATTAAGGTCGGGTTAAGGCATTACCTAAGTTCTCTTATATACTTGCGTGTTATCCTGACTGGGCTATTCATAGCTCCAGCAGACCTGGTACCCAGGAATAGAAAAAATCAGGAGCTCAGGTGAGACATCAGCATGTCGCATTAAGGGGCTTCTTGGGACAATAGATGCTGTACTACGAACGGCGATCAGGGCTATCTTGCCAGTCTGGAAAACACACCCTGGGCATATCCTACATTTTGAATCGCAGATTCCCCCAGCTAGAGTTCTTGCAGAGTTAATACAACGACGTCATGGCCTTCGACTAGGACGAATAGACCAGAAACACCCTCTTGTTGGCAGGCTCCAAATACAAGCCCGCAAGGATCCAACAAGGCTACAAAGGAGCTTCCAGCTAGTCCCTGACTTCCAGAAACCAACACTTACCAGGCCATCATGGAAGAAGCCCCCAATCCGCAAAGACAAAGACAAAGAAATAGAGCTTTTCAAGCAATGGCTACAGGAGAGAAATGTGAACACTGACCTTGTCATCTACTCAGATGGATCACAATTGGATGACCAAGGTACAACCCGCACTGGATGGGGTTACACTATCAGGAAAGGCAACACTACTCAAGAAGTATACCGGGGAAAGGGTAGACTTCTACAAGCAGAAGTAGTAGATGCTGAAGTCTATGGTGCTCTCTAAGGTCTTGCAGCAGCCATGGCAATTGGACACAAAAAACAGCTATATGTCTGCCTGGACAACACGTCAGTGGTAGATGGGCTCAATGGGACTCCACCCGAGACATCACAGAACATTTTTCTACAATTTCAAGAACTTGCCACAGCACACACTCCTGGAGTGACCGTCAAGTGGATTCCTGGACACAGAGATATTAATAGCAATGAAGCTGCCGACACACTAACAAAAAAGGATACCATGCTAAAAATAGACATAATAAACCTTTCTATAATCTCTTGGGTCAAGAGAGATCTCAAAAAAAAGGGCAAGAAAGAGTTCAACCAATGGTGGAAAGACCAATCAGAACCTAGGTATCAAGAAGTATACTCATATACAGTAACTGAAAGAGACCTTATATCTTTTAAGAGGAGTACTTTACACAGACTTTTAGCGGCCAGATCTGGACATGGTGACTTTGTCAGCTACCATGAACGCTTTGGGCACACAGACTCGAATGATCACTACAATTGTGGTGAGAAGAAAACACCACAACACATTTTCTTTTGTAAGAGGCTGGGGAAAAATCGGCTACTGTCTAGGCATTTGTTTAGGACAGCTTGTTTACAATACTTAGGGGAGAGGAGCACAGAATGGGCAAAATTTGTGGAGAAAAGCAAATTCTTTTTAATAATCTGCCCCCGATAGATAACTTTTCTTGAAAGACCAGATAGATGACCCCAAGGTCATACCGCCGCAACAACGGGGATGGGCCCGTGAGCGGGACTGACTGTACTTATTATCTTGAGACCTCCACAACCCTGCGATGCAGAGGCTCTGGGAGGCGTGGTTTGCACTACTGAAGAGCTACCCCACACGTTAAAAACAAAACAAACAAACAAACAAACAAAACAAACAAACATAGCTCCAGCACTATCCTAACTCCTTAGGAGCCCTTATACCTGGCAATAAAAATAACTTGGGTCTAAGGGGTCGGGTTTGACATGGTTTGAACTTAAATTATCTCCCATATAGGTCTTTGTCCGGTTGACCTAGCGCTAATTTGGGCATTGCCTGCCAAAGAGCCGTGATTGTCCAGCACCCTTCTATCTCTTGCCTCCTCACTCCTCCTCCTCTCTCCATAGGTTGAACTTGAATATGATTTTATAATCCCTCTATGCCACTATTATATTGACAGCGTATACATAGAAATGCCCAGTATACAACAAGATAATACATAAATTTGATGTATCTTAATATTAATAAAAATATGATAAAACAGATAGAATTTAGTGTGTGTCTTATAATAAATATTCTTTGAGACCAAATTATATATATGGAGATAAGAGACAGAAAATATTGGCCCAAAAAGATACCATAAAGACAGCTAGGAATTGGTGAGACAGAGATAAGATGGGTGAAAGACAGTGTGATAGGTGGAAGGAGAGGAGGTGCTTGAGGGACACACTTACTCTGCTTCTAGATATACATCATAAGATAGTCAAATTCTATTATAGAGTCTTGTTCTCTTAACGAATTATGTCCCAGTGAATGCAAATGCAAAGCTCATTAAGGCGTCACATGAGCGCTGCTGCATGCATTGTGATCCTAGCGTCAACTCGGGCCAATCCAGGCTACGGTGCTTTTCCAGCGTTCTGAGAGCCCTTGCATCATTTAGCAAAAATAGCTTGGGCTAAGGAGCCAGACTCGACGAGACCTGAACTCAAGCTCCTGTCCGGTTTGGCTCTTGTCCAGTTTACCAAAACAAATAAGAAAATTGCGTAGTCAAAGACTGCTGATCTTCTGGCCTTTGACCTCTCTTGACCTCCCCTGACCTCTCGTCTAAACTGATCTTGGTACTTTTTTTTTTTGTGCCGTGACGCTGTCAATACCAGAGTATAAGACATGCTCCATATGTAAAAAGGAATGCCGAGATAACTAGGCTAGCCTGGAACCGGGGATGTGTATGTGTGCGGACAGGTCAGTCAATGAGTTATAATAGAGATCAGTAAGAAGAGCCGGTTAAAAGGAGATGTGGTTAAGGATGATGTGGTTGAGGACGATGTGCTTGACGTGAGGGGTTATGAAATCTCTTTGGACTAAAAAGGCAGGCAATGACCAAAGTCATCTTTGTTACTCCGCTATGCGATGTGCGCACCAGGATAGTCGTATGCCAAGATGGAGTCCCGTTCTTGGTGCGGCTTATGCTATGGGTAACATAGCGCCTGTGAGAACAGCTCATCAAGACGGAGGGCACCAGCCGTCACATGAACGCCGTTGTATGCATGCACTAGTCTGTGATCCTGGCATCAACTCCGGCCAACCACGGCTGCGGTGCTGTCCCAGCACTCTGGGAGCCCATGTGTCTGCAAGCCGGAGCAATTTGTGTCTGTGCGGTGGGATTGCCCATGCTTCCAAGTTGGAAGAGCCATAACCAGTTGTCAACCTTTGACTGAAACCTAGATACCTGGACTGTGCAAGCTGCCTGCAGGGCATGGAAGACTCCCATTATTCTGATTCGTCCTGAAGCCAAGACAGGTGCAGGGGCGGAGCATCTCTCCACCATAGGACGGCAGACACATAAGGCAGTTCCGCATACAGTGGCACTATTAGCGGCGTTCTTGTTCAGAAAAAACATATCAGTTAATATATTCTTTGCCTCAGTCTGCTTATCCTGTACCTGTGCCGCAACTCTGGCTAAAAAAATCAAATTCCTCCTCCAAATGCCACCATGACACGGTGTAATACGTGCGAAAGATCCGTCAACTCCCGCTCATACAATAAACATCTCTATACGCCCCATACAAAATGTCCTGTCTGTGGTCTCTGGTTCGTCGGGAGATATTGGCAAAGCCACCAGTTGAAATGTCCTTCTAAGGAAGGGATGGGTTCTTGCCCACTTTGCAAGCGAGGGCTCTTTGATCGCAAAGCTTTGGCAAGACACATCAACCGCCTTTATTTCCATTGTGTATGCGGGCAAGCAGAATTGGAATCCGAGCATCCTGCCCATCAAAGACATTGCAGGCAGCTCCTTTAGGACAGTGCTATCAATGTACAACCTCATCAGTCGGCCAGTGTTCGACAACTCATGACAGCATACGCTACCAAAGCATCGCACGCCATCACGGCATCTCTGGAAATACTGGAGAAACTTTCTTGTGAAGCTACTCCCAACTCTTGTTTGAGAGAGCAGATTGAAGCAATGCTGGACATTTTTTAAGCATGTGTTATTGGGCAGACTATAACGTCGGCCAAATACTTTTCTATGGCACAGGAAACTGCAATGGACACCATTATCCTTTATTTCCTGTCAGAAACAAGAGCAATAGTCACCAGGGCAATGCCCACTTTGCCACTGCTAATTCCCGCCGAGCTGAATGATGGCAGCCGACTACCTCTGGACTAGTTCCTGAACTACCTTGAAACGCAGCCGACCATCGATGTTCACGATTTCAATATTGAAGTACCTGAGGGCGACTATATCTCAGCACATTTTTTGGAGTCGTCGACTGTGATACAAGCGTTCTGAGATTATAGGAAGGGCCCTATGAACTTCTTAAATCTGGCCGGTGTCAAAAGGAATGCTGTGCCGTCGTGTCTCCAAGACGTCTCTCAGTATAACATCATAGAGTCAGTGAAAAAAGTGCCGCAGAGTGGGAAGAGAGAGTTAGTACAACTGTCAGATTTATCTGAATCGGCTCGGTTTCACCTCTGTGCCAAGAGGGGGCTTTTTCACTCCCTCATATTGATCATCACGGGGTGCTCACAACAATCTTTAACGATGGAGGGGAGAAACTTTGGCCCTATTGGCCAAGCGGAGATTTGAAGAAGTGGGCTACATCGCAAGAGCTGCAAGACGGACCCTGTGTGGGAATATATCTTTATCCGGGATGCACACTGATCCAGCCCTAAGGGACAATCCATTCTCCCTTTTCTATAACTGATGTGCTCATGACCGGCACAATGCACTGGAGCAGTCTCAACATGCTTCAAGTTATGGAATTGTCTAAGCTTGAAGCGCAATATCCTCATATTATCAACGAGGGTACATCGCAGGAATTCTTACACAAAGTCAAGACTATCAGTGCTCTATGGGCCAAAAAGAATCCAACCTAGACCTGGGGTCCCGAAGGACATTTGTCAACGTTTTTATCCATTATTTAAATTCGTCTCATCCTACAGGGAGATTTCAGTGCTAGCTAACACTTGCTATCGTGGTTTGAGAACGGCTGCCGTTGCAAAAGCGAGTATGGAAAGAATTGCAGCTGTAAAAAAAGCAGGCAAAGATACAATGGGTGTTGTTATGATCGAGGCTCCTGTTTGTATTCTAGAGTTTTGCGTGATTGAGATATAGCATGGAAGGGTGCCATACACACTCGTATAATATATATATGTGTGACAAAACTAATATAAGTTATCTACGCATTGCCATTTTGATGCCACCAAGAACCCCTTGTACCCACGGAGAATTTTTTAATCTAGTTAAAACAGATGAATATGAGCGTGCTATGTGCTTTATAATGCCCGTTGTTATCACAAGATTGATACAATCTGATCGCATAAGAAAATCAAGGCTTTGAATTAGAGTCACCACTAATATATTAAACATGAGATAGGGACCTACCATCTATATTGCAAAAAGATTGCCATATAAGTGCAGAATCATTTTACCGGCTGGTGGGGTTGTAACGATAACACTGCCTAACCAGCTGCCCTTCAGCTGTCATAGTGAGACCTTAGCATACCTGGCTGTGCCAATCCACCACTAGAAATAAAACACAGCCAGTTCAACTATGGTGGTATGAAATATATTCCAGGTTGCTGCAATACGCAATTTGCCTTGCTTGTTGCATAGGTGATGGGTTTAATAAAGCTTACATGTTAAAATGGTCTAAGCTAAGCCGGGCCCTCATTCCCCACTCCACAGCGGTTGGGTACCCCAGCTGCGCAGCCTGGAACCTCAGCCAGGGCCTTATTCAAGCAGTTGGGCACACCAGCCGCGGGGCCTGGAACCTCAGCCGGGGGCATCGTATAACGATCCTACTAGCTCAGCCCAGGCAATTTGCGTGTATAGAATAAGGCCTGCTACGAATATAACTCCAACTACTTTTTAAGCATATGTATGGTTAAACCAGGTCTTTGAGCCTTTGTCTTGAAAGATCTTTTAAGGTTTATACCCTTTCATATCTTTTAAGCTTTTTGTATCTAGTTCCCTTCATATAGATAAAAGACCCTCTTCCTTTGTTATGCCATAGCTATTTGGCTATAATGATTCCTGTAGCTAGAACAGTAACATATTATTAGGCCTGTTGTGTTCTGTACAGACTGAGGAAACGTATATGGATACTCAGTAAGAACTACTGGGAGGGTGCACTGGCTAGTAATAGTCCACTGGTTGGAGGAGCTAGCTTCATGTCGCCCGGCTACAAGATATGGCTGGCTGACGCTATACGGGGCCGGCCCCAGAGTGTGTATCTTCCGTACAAGAATCAGTTTACGCCGAGCCCCCCGGTAGAGCCAGAGAGGATTGGCAGATCGCCCGCTTCTGCCTTCGGGGGAACGGTCACAGGACCGCCGGCAAGGGAAGGCAATGCAAGGCTCCCTCCAAATCCGGGTTGATATGCATCACTGCCCTGGCCGGCATAATAGATCAAAGTAGCATTGTTATGATGGTTAACGACAAAGGTAGAGTGAACGCTAGCCACTAGTGTTATGCTTAACATGCTGATGATATTGCCATTATATGATTATATCTTAATCCAAGTGTCCGGCCGTACGTTTGTTTTTGGAAGCAAGTTATCCGGTCTCTACACTTGTAAGCATCCCTTCTTGTCATCATACCGATATCTGCAATTCATGAGGCCACATCTGCTGAATAGAAGCCGGAAATAGATACCGGACGATCTCCAGTGGGGCAGAGACGCACAGGACATCTGACTCACCAAGAAGACAGATAATCAATCTCTGCACACAGAGCACAACAATCAATAGAATCAATCATCATCCGTGTATTCAACAACATCGGCAAAGCCTGTCAGTCTCTCTGTTGCACTAGCGGCTCCGACACATTCCACATGTCTCATTACATCTCGCCGCGCATTCTGGACAGAACCTATGTCCTATGGACGTTAGCTTGCTTTAGAAAAGCGGACACCACATAACGTACCGCAAGGATTTATCCGCCATTCAGAAGATCTGTGATAGCAAATAGCACAATTAGTTCTGACCCCAAACACTCAAAATATGCCCTGGGGTCCGTATTGTACATGTTGTAGATGAATACAGAAACGCAAGTCCCCGGACCAAGGTATTGCAATTTTTAAGGACTTTGCGTGTAATAGTTGTTAATAATTATCAGAATAATTGCTGTAATAAAGCTTATAAAGTTAACGACATAGGGCTGCTGGGTAGAAGAGGACATACGCAACCGCAGGATTCTAGAATGCAGCCTTGGTCTGTTACTACACCACATAATTGACAGCAGTATTGATCATCGCCTGTCAGGTCAATGCATCGGCGCTTGGTATAGAGATAAGTAATCTCGTCGTGGCATGGGGTGAGGTTTGTATGCGTCCATGTTGCAAACAAAGCCATCGTAGGCCGTCCAAATTACACAGATGGTTGGTATACAAGAATTGTCAAGGGTGAGAAAAAGGAGAAGACTGCACGTTTAAGTCGGATAACCTTGCTATCTTACATGCCGCGTATTGCCGCACTTACGATATTGCGGTCCCGACAAGCCCTGGCCCACAATAATATAACATAGCCGCCTGGTGAGTGCTTGTCTTGTGCAACAGTCCTAGAGCCCGTCGTTTACTCATCACAATGACTGCCTGACCTGTATAATGTTTTTCCTCCGCTACTATCCTGCCCTCTAGTCGAACCAGAACGAAGCAGTGTTCGTCCGGGATGTTAGTTGGTCGCCTCTTAGCAGAAGCACTTGTGGAACAATCTCAATATCTATCTATACATGTCGTTCAAAAACTCCAACAAGCTCATCAAACCCTTCAATAGCTCACCCAAGAAGGGAGCCACGCTATCGATGGTGTTAATGATATTCTTTGCTTAGCTGATTTTATCTTGTGACGGGACTCGGCCAACTCTGATCGTTTGCTAGTGGCAGGTAGTCGTGTGCGAGGCAAGTCGGTCCTGTCAAATTTTGTGCATCAAGATCAGCAGTAAGACCATGAATATTTTGCTCGGCGGACTTCATAGCCATCGCAGCCGGCGCCTGATACTTTTGTGCATCGCATCAACCCAAAGCAGCGACCAAATCGTCCAAAGGCGACCGGATTGCGGCAGTCAGACGAGCAGGTGACTGGTACACTCACTTTTATAAGGTCTATGAAACTTATATACCTTCGAATTAATTGACGTCTTATGCGTTAGATTACTACTACTACTAGAAGGTGGGTGGTGATGGCCTCTATAGGGGTGTTATGTAGGGCCTGATCGGAAACTTCTAGCCACGCAGCATATTAAGCTCACACTGAACTCTCACTAGTTTACACAAGCAGCTTATAATACTCGTCTTTCTCACTAACAGTCCCGCTATTTATCCAGCATATGAAGTTTTGACCTGAATAGCCTGCCAGGTACCAACGAGTATTTATGTTGGCTACTAGTCTTTGTTCAATTGTCTAGAACAAGAACGCCTCTATACGCTGCCTCTTAGCAACTCAAGTCGTTACCACGACGACGATGGTACTGGTTGTATCTGGTGGTTGAACCGTAATCCATTCAGTCGTAGTACCTAGAGCGATATTTATTGTAGTATCTGTCGCTTGGCTCGAGGTTGTTGATATAGTTCGGTTGCTTAGAAATCCTTTACTTACTGTTGTGCAAGGGTGGGCTCCAGTCGTGGTTGTCTCATTGCAAAGACTTCCCTTTTACAGAGAAGCTAAGGACTGTAGTAACCGTGTAGATGTGGAAATTGGAGTAGTCGGGACCGGGAAAGTTCCGTTATAACGTGTTACACTTGCGTCAGTCATACTATAAGAAGTATTGGTATAGAAAGCGCTCGAAAATGAGGACATGCAGATAGCATGCCGTCGAAGCATAAGGATTGAAGCTTCTTATGCAGGCAAATCCGTTGTCAAAAGACCTAGTAATTTGGAGCTTGAAAGAACCGTCTGCAGTGTGGCCGCATGATGTAGAGATGGGATGACTGCCAAAGCGGCAGTTCCAAAACACCACAAAAGCTTTTGCAAGCTGTATAAGTACATGGTAACACGGAGAAAGATCGAAACCAGGGAAGGGTGGATAAAGTTGACCTCAAAATAAGTGTGATGTGACGCCATTTATATGTTTTCTAGGAGTCCCATGTTTGGGTTCACCAGCAGCAAGTAGACCCCACACGGGCTTACAACCCATTTTTAAGTGGCCGCAAGTCTGGCTTTAGCAGGGACAAGGTCCGGAACCAGGGTCCGGGAAGTAATCACTGTCGATGTTTACTATCGAAAACGAAGTTCTTTCTGGTGTAGTCGTGACGCTGCAGTACGTTGTATGGCGATAAGTTGCGCTAATGCAGCGGTGCCTCGGTGGTACTGGCTGAGGGCCCTGCTGGCTTTAAACGCCCTATTGTTGTGATTATACTGGAGGTGCTTGAGTTTACTGATGCGCTATGGGATACTTGGATCCTGTCATCTCACCTGGCAACCTCTCCGCAAGGCTACCATTATGACATCTCCCAAGAAACGTTCCGGGAATAATGAGTGACGAAGGATTCGAAGACATTCAAGCGGTATATATATTATGTTGTGGCCTCAGGCCAACCACAATGCACAGACCACCGCTGCCCTGCTCCCCAGATATGTAGCTAGCAAGCCGAGATAGCTTCACACACCTCAAGCATCTCTGATACAACAATGTCTGCCCATATGTGTATCGGCCCTCAAAATATTACAATGTTGCGGCGTTTCAGCGTGCGGTAGTCGGGTGACTGGCGGCGCATGAGATCCGTCACCATCTCACTACGCGGAGGTCGAGGTTCGTGGAGCAGTCTACCAACTTGGACTGTAAGAGGTCGCCCCCGCGTTCAAGCGGCGGGAGGAACTGGGGACAGGGCGCCGCCGATGTGCTGTGGCGCGCATTATTAGTCAGGTAATCACCAGGAT